TAGAGAATGCCTATAACACCAGCCTGACACTGCACTACTCACGCAATCTCCACTTCTCTAGTCTCAGCATACGGGTACGGAACACACACAGACACACACACACACACACAGACACACAGATTTACAACATGAAACTGACAGTTTTATTCTCTCTCCTCCCCTCCCTTTCGATCTCTCCATCCCTATCTTTCTTTCTCTCCCTCTCTAGGAGGATGCCCAGTTGAAGATTGAGTGTACATCTCTCAGTTCCAACAGTCACTCATGTAACGTCAGCTATCCTGTGTTCCGCTCCCACTCCAAGGTCTGTCTGTCTGGCATCAAATACATTGAACAAAAATATAAACATGTAAAGTGTTGGTCCCATGTTTCATGAGCTGAAATAAAAGATCCCAGAAATGTTCCATATGCACAAAAAGCTTATTATTCTCAAATGTTGTGCACAAATGTGTTAGTTAGCATTTCTCCTTTGCCAAGATCATCCACCTGCCAGGTGTGGCATATCAAGCAGCTGATTAAACAGCATGATCATTACACAGGTGCACCTTGTGCTGGGGACAATAAAAGGCCACTCTAAAAGGGCAGTTTTGTCAAACAACACAATGCCACAGATGTCTCAAGTTTTGAGGTAGCGTGCAATTGGCATGCTGACTGCAGGAATGTCAACCAGAGAGAGATTTGAATGTTAATTTCTCTACCATAATCCGCCTCCGACGTCGTTTTAGAGAATTTGGCAGTACGTCCAACCGGCCTCACAACCGCAGACCCTGTGTAACCACGCCAGCCCAGGACCTCCACATCCGGCCTCTTCACCTGCGGGATCATCTGAGACCAGCCACCCAGACAGCTGATGAAACAGTGGGTTTGCACAACTGAAGAATTTCTGTACAAACTGTCAGAAATCGTCTCAGGGAAGCTCATCTGCGTGCTCGTCGTCCTCACCAGGGTCTTGACCTGACTGCAGTTCTGCGTCGTAACCGACTTCAGTGGGCAAATGCTCACCTTCGATGGCCACTGGCACGCTGGAGAAGTGTGCTCTTCACAGATGAATCCCGGTTTCAACTGTACCAGGCAGATGGCAGACAGCGTAGCGTGTATGGCATCGTGTGGGCGTGCGGTTTACTGATGTCAACGTTGTGAACAGAGTGCCCCATGGTGGCGGTGGGGTTCAGGCATAAGCTAAGGACAACGAACACAATTGCATTTTATAGATGGTAATTTGAATGCACAGAGATACCGTGACGAGATCCTGAGGCCCATTGTTGTGCCATTCATCTGCCGCCATCACCTCATGTTTCAGCATGATAATGCACGGCCCCATGTCGTAAGGATCTGTACACAATTCCTGGAAGCTGAAAATGGCCTGCATGCTCACCAGACATGTCACCCATTGAGCATGTTTGGGATGCTCTGGATCAACGTGTACAAACCAAACTGTTCCAGTTCCCGCCAATATCCAGCAACTTTGCACAGCCATTGAAGAGTGGGACAACATTCCACAGGCCACAATCAACAGCCTGATAAACTCTATGCAAAGGAGAGGTGGCGCGCTGCATGAGGCAAATGGTGGCCACATCAGATACTAACTGGTTTTCTGATCCTACCTTTTTTTTATGTATCAGTGACCAAAATATGCATATCTGTATTCCCAGTCATGTGAAATTCATAGATATGGGCCTAATGAATTTATTTCAATTGACTGATTTACTTATATGAACTGTGACTCAGAAAAATATTTGAAATTCTTGCATGTTGCGTTTATATTTTTGTTCAGTATAGCTAATTACGTTTTCGTTCTTGAGCGATTTTTGACAAATGCATTTATTAAAACAATAGTTATAATACATGCAAATTGATTGATAGATTGGTTGATCCCCCCCCCCCCTCCCCCTCTTCTCTCTATCAGGTGAATTTCATGTTAGATTTTGAGTTCAGCTGTACGTCTCTGCTCAGTAAAGTCCAGATGAAACTCACAGCTGCCAGGTAACTCACTATAATCCTATGGAGGAATGTAAAGGGATTTCTATTGGGAGTTTATAGAAATGAACCTGAAATTCAACCTCCACTGATTCCGTCTAACCCTAGTCATAATCATACATACAGTAGAGACAGAAGTACTGTGTGTGTTTGTCTTGCCATGTGTCTGTCACATACATCTCTGTGTGTTCCTGGTTCCCATAGTGACAGTGTAGAGAGAGAGGCTACGCTGGGAGACAACAGTGTTCAGCTCCAGACTGTGGTTCAATACGAACCTGACCTCTTCATCACCAGGTTAGTCTCTCTCTCTCCTTCTGTCTCTCTCTCACTCTTTGTCTCTGTCTCGCTCTCCCATTCCCTTTATCTCTCTCTTGCTCTCTCTCTCTAGTGACTCCAATCTGAACCGTTATGAAGTCCACCCAACCAGAACCATCTCAGAGGCAATAGGACCAGAGTTCTACACACACTTCAGGGTAAGCAGTGCACACAATGTATCCGTTTCCATAATCTCTTTACTGTACACTCACACACACACACACACACACACACGTCAGACTAATGTGTTCTGTGTGTAGCTGCAGAACCTGGGCTGTTACAGTGTGAGTAACCTGGAGCTGAGGCTGAGCCTGCCCTCTGTAGCAGCAGGAGACAGAGTCTTCATGGCTGTTACTGAGGTCTTCTCTTACAATGTGAGTACTAACCCTCTCTCACTACTGTTGGAACAAACAGTTATTGTCAACATTCTGGTTCTGAACTGTGACCTTTGTGGATGTCAGGTGACAGGGGTGAACTGCAGTGTAGACAGTGATGTGTCAAAGCTGAAGGACAGACAGAGAGACGTACGACCACTACATCCTGAAGACATGCAACAGACTGACCTACTGGTGAGAACACGCACATGCACGTATACATTGACGCACATACACACATATGCTCACATACACATGCACACACACACACACACACACACACACACACACACAAATACCCACATACAAGAAGATGATGATCACGTTCACAATCCTAACTAGCTATAAAGTATTAATTATATTCCCAGATGTAACCTGTGCTGTGTGCTGTGTGTAGAACTGCAGCAGGTCGTGGTGTGTGGAGGTGGTGTGTGAGGTACAGCAGCTGCATCGAGGACAGACCGCTCTCATACGAGTCAGCCGCAGGGTCCACGACACCTTCTTCAGACAGGTACGAAGATACACACACACACACACACATAGCTCTAACTATAAACACACTCACTCTGACTTTGTGTTTCTGTCCCCAGGCTAAGTTTAAGGCGGTGAGGATAGTGAGTGCCTATCGTCTGGCTGTTCAGGAATCTAACCTGGTCACCCTGGGGAGTGGCGCCATCTGGAGGGAGGTGAGAGAATAGCAGGATTAACACTAATGCTGGAGGACTGTGGTTTAGCCTCTGTGTCTGACTCGTTTACATCCAGATAGTAGTAAGCTGGTATAGGGTGATGAATATCTGTCTGACTGTCGTTTACATCCAGATAGTAGTAAGCTGGTATAGGGTGATGAATATCTGTCTGACTGTCTCTACTATCAGCCTTTTTGTCTCTCTTTCTCTCCCTCTCTCTCTGTCAGACGGCGTTGGAGGTTCTAAAGGGGCGGGCCATCCCCATTTCTCTCTGGATTCTGATTGGTAGCATCATCGGAGGCCTTCTGCTATTGGCCCTCATCATCTTCATAATGTGGAAGGTACACCAATCACATCTCACCTTACAGCACCTCTGTACCTCACACTGCAATAACTTATTTATCCTCTGCCTTTTTGGTAAAGATCAAAACTTTGGGTTTGACTCCTTCCTTCTCATTCCCTCCTTTCTCCAGCTGGGGTTCTTCACTCGTAAACAGATAAAGGACGAGGAACTCGAGGACTGAGCCCACCTCCTCGCCACCACGATGTCGGTCAATGGATACAGTATCTGTGACAACCAGAGAACGAGTCCACTTCGTGCCCATCCCCATGGCAACGACCTGCACAGAGACTGCTCCCCCCACCGAGCAATAAAAATATACCTTCCCTCTCTTCTAAATCAAACCATACAGAACACACAACCTGTACAGACTGCCCCCCCCCCCCCCCCCCGACCATACAGAACACACAACCTGTACAGACTGCCCCCCCCCCCCCCCCCCGACCATACAGAACACACAACTTGTACAGAGACTGCCCCCCCCCCCCCCCCCCGTACAGATGAACTGTCTAAACACCTAACACCACATGGCACAGACTGCATCTATCATCAGACACCTCAACATCTTTTCTATTTCTACAGGTCAACCCATGGCTGTAGGGCTCTATTTACACACCTGTTTAGAAACGTACAGCAGGAAGGACGTGTACAGGAGACGTTTTCTTCAGAGATGTCCCAGACAGGAAATCATGGTGTACACCACGTGTCAAACTCATTCCACGGAGGGCCGAGTGTCTGCGGGTTTTCGCTCCAACCTTGTACTTGATTGATGAATTAAGGTCGCTAATTAGTAAGGAACTCCTCTCAACTGGTTGTCTAGGTCTTAATTGAAAGGAAAAAACAAAAACCTGCAGACACACAGCTCTCTGAGTTTGACACTCCTGGTACAATGTGACTTGGTATGATGTTCAATGACAGTTTGACGTCTGCAGAGTAGATCTGCATAAGTAGATACCGTACAGATATGAACCTGTAATTAGTACCATGTTGTGCTATATGGAAAGCAGTTCCATCCTTCAAGAAGGTTGAATGAAAACGTACTACCTGATAATGGGGGCAACTTTATAATCATGTGAATATATTTGTATTTCTATGAAACGCTGTTACAAACCAAACTGTCTATTTAATATTCAGAAGTCATCATCATGACTTTACATTTTCACCCATTTTATCTACAGTACAGTTACGTTTTTGAGTCAAATTAAAACGGTTGATTAAAAAAATATGTTAATGTTATTTTTGTTTCTTTCATTCATGTTCATTTATACATACATAGGATCATTCATACACATTAACTAAATACACTTCAACCAAATATTGTATTATATCAAATTTCAAAATCAGGCATTTCAGACTACTTCATTCTATAATACAAAAAACACTTTCACACTAGCAGACATTCTTGAACATAAAACTTAAATAATGACAATCTGTACGTCAGGCAAAAAAAGCACCAAGTGAGTCAGGTATATCAACCCAAACATATTTTATTGATGCACCTTTATGTCCATCGTGTTCTCCCTCCCTCCCTCTCACTTGGTCTTGGTAGAGAAGATGTAGGACTCCAGTAGAAAGATAGTCTCATCCACCTGGTTCTCTGTAGAGTCCAACCTTCAGGGAGTAAAAGCAAGGAGAAGAGAGAGAGATAATAAAGCTACTGTAATGGAGCAGTATTAGTAATAACGGTGTCATAGTAACAAGTATGTAGTAGTACTTGTTGATGTGATGTCGTAGGCCTCTAGCGGTTGTCTATAGATATACAGTATGGGTGTCGTAGCAGTAATAGTAGTAGTAGTAGTAGTAGTATTGTAGTAGTACTTGTTGATGTGATGTCGTAGGCTTCCAGCTGTTGTCTATAGATATATAGTATGGGTGTCGTAGTATTAGTATTGTAGTAGTACTTGTTGATGTGATGTCGTAGGTCCTCTAGTTGGAGGTCTCAACTTACTGTTGAGAGTTAGAATAGTAGAATACACAAGGTGCAATTTTGAAATTTGTTGTGCATCAGCAGTTTCTCTTATGTCAGTCACTAAATTAGTAAGTTAGTCTAGCCAGCTATCTAAACTTGTAGTAATCATGGTCGAATTAGTCGCTCTCACTCAGATGTCATTAAAAACTGAAAACATTTCTCTCCACCGTATGGCAAAATGTGTAGAATTGCAGGAAATTAACTTGAAAATGTCAATTTATTCTCTCCTAGCTTAGGGCCCCCAAAAGGCTAGGGCCGGCTCTGACTGCATGTGTGGTTATGGATGTGGCCCCCGCCCCCATCCCCATCCCTGATCTATAGTATGTGTGTAGTCGTAGTAGTAATGCTGTACTTGTTGATATGATGTTGTAGCTGCTGTCTCTATAGATCTATAGTATGGGTGTAGAAGTAATTATGGTGTAGTAGTAATTAAGGTGTAATAGTAATTTAGGTGTAGTAGTAATGCAGTACTTGTTGATGTGATGTCGCAGGGCTTCTAGCTGCTGTCTCTCGGGGGCAGTGATCATCTCCTCCACCTCTGTCAGCTGTTCAGGCTCCGCCCCACTGGCCTGCAGCGACGCCAGGATCGCCTCGATTCGCTGGGACTTCTCCAGCAGACGTCTGTCAATCAAACACAGGAAGTCTTGTACCAACATTTCAGAGGATTATATACACAAAAAGTCAAATACTTTTTCCATTGTGGTCCTCTATTGTCCTCAAAGTCAATATGCAGACCTAAAGAAATCTTAGCAGGAAACTTAGTGAATAAAACCAAAATCTATCCATCCATCCACTTAGGAATCAATCAATAAACTCACTTGTTCTCCTTGGTCTCGAAGAGGCGCCTCTCAATCAGATTAGCCACTGTCTGCAAGTAGTGATGGGGGACAAATGTACAGTTACATATCGCAATATTTTTTTGGACTTGTTCTCCATCTTCTTTTTATATAGTAAGTCAACACATTTTCTGCACTTTTATTTCCATGACTGATCAAAACAAATGTTCTCATGCGCTCTCGTCTCTCTGCAGCAGACATATAGTGAGCAATGTGTTTGGAACATCACATTGCAATATCGAATCACATATAGAAACGTGAGAATCGCAATACATATCGTATCGGCACCTAAGTATTGTGATAATATCGTATCGTGAGGACCAACTGGCAATTCCCAGCCCTATCTGCAAGTCAGTGATCCACTATTAATTGTCAAGTCAGCGATGCACGAAGTAAACAGCAAACAAATCAAATGTATTTATAAAGCCCTTTTAACATCAGCAGATGTCACAACGTGCTTATACAGAAACCCAGCCTAAAACCCCAAACAGCAAGCAATGCAGACGTAGAAGCAATACCAGGCGGACTTCCACAACAATGGAGTGTGAATTGCAACACTAAATCTCTCTGCTGTTTTGTTCCTGAAGCTATCAAGTTGCAGCACCGTGAAGCACACCGGTGCACATGCACATATATTATATACACACTCACCGGCCATTTTATTAGGTACACCACCACATTCACAAAAATAGATTGCTCCTACAGACTGAGTCACGTGGCCGTGGCTTGATATATAAAGCAGGCAGACAGGCATTCAGTTACTGTTTGATTGAATGTTAGAATGGGCAAAACGAGTGACCGAAGCGACTTCGAGAGTGGTATGATCGTCGGTGCCAGATCCAGTATCTCGAAACGGCCGCTGTCCTGGGCTTTTCACGCACGACAGTGTCTATGGTTTCCCGAGAATGGACAAACAAAAAACATCCAGTCAGCGGCAGTCCTGTGGGCGAAAACAGCTTGTTGATGAGAGGTCGAAGGAGAATGGCAAGAATCGTGCAACAGGCGGGCCACAAACAGACAAATAACGGCGCAGTACAACAGTGGTGTGCAGAACGGCAACTCGTCGATCCTTGTCACGGATGGGCTATTGTAGCAGACGACCACAACGGGTTCCACTCCTATCTGTTAAAAACAAGAAGAAGCGGCTCCAGTGGGCACGTGATCAACAAACACCACTGGACAATTGAGGAGTGGAAAAACATCCAACGAATCCCAGTTCCTGTTGTGTCATGCTGATGGCAGAGTCAGGATTTGGCATAAGCAGCATGAGTCCATGGACCCATCCTGCCTGGTGTCAACGGTACAGGCTGGTGGCGGTGGTGTACCGCCGCACAATCTGCAGCAACCGTGTGATGCCATCGCGTCCAGCATGGACCAACATCCCTGTGGAATGTTTTTGACTCGTTCTCCTTCCGTATTTCCTCTTTATTTAGACAGTTTTAAATGTACATGTCTAGTTATAGAGGGGAGAGTCAGAAAGAGGCAGGGGATTTAATGTGTCAATATGTGGACAATATGTGTTTGGTAAACTGCAACACTTCCGCTGCCTCAGGTTTGCAAATATTTTGTAGCGAGTGCAACATCTTGCATTGCATTCATCTGCAATATCTGTGTTTCATCCTGCTGCTCATAGTATAGCTTAGTTTGAATGTGTACCTTGTAGCAGTGTTGTAGCAGCAGGCGGGCAGTAGGCAGCTGGTTGACAGTGTACAGGTAAAAGGTACGTGAAGGGGCGTAGTCAGGAGTCTTAGGGATTTCCTAGGGGGGCAAAACACAGGTGAGCATGATAATGTATGGTTCGTATATTGTGTGTGGGTGTGTGTGTGTGTGTTACCTGTAGCTGTACCAGGTTCTCTGACAGCAGTGTGTACAGCATGTCTTTGGCCTCCTTGGCAGGGATCATAGCAAAGTCCTCCACCTGCTTCTGCTCCAGGTGACGTTTCCTTAGCAACAGACGGAAGATCCTAGCAGACCGCGAGCCAAACCTGACAATGGGAAAGGATGAATGAATGACACCTTACAAACTATGTAGCCACCGTGGGCAGAGGCATAATCGGACACAGACAACTCAAATACAGACACACGTACCTCTCCTGTACCACTGACTCCAATGTAGCTCTCGCCAGGTTGGCCAGGGCTCTTTGTAGATCTGAGTGGTCAGTCAAGAAACAACCACTTACTTGTCTCTGCAATATTATACTGGTGACCTTCAATTTATACAAGGACTTCTCCTGCAATATTATCATAGCGACTTGTCAACTGTACAACAGCTCTGTCTGCAATTTATCATAGGCGCAATTTATCTGGTTGTTCGCAATATTACAAGCACTGCTCCTGCAATTTTAGCAAGGTACTTGCCCTCTCTGCTCAATATTAATCCTGCTCACTGCTGGCACCTGTCTTGCAGGAAATCACGCACAGAACGAGCAGTATGGCTGGTGGCATTGTCATGCTGGAGGGTCATGTCAGGATGAGCCTGCAGGAAGGGTACCACATGAGGGAGGAGGATGTCTTCCCTGTAACGCACATGGTTGAGATTGCCTGCATTGACAACAAGCTCAGTCCGATGATGCTGTGACACACCGCCCCAGACCATGACGGACCCTCCACCTCCAAATCGATCCCGCTCCAGAGTACAGGCCTCGGTGTAACGCTCATTCCTTCGACAATAAACGCGAATCCGACCATCACCCCTGGTGAGACAAAACCGCGACTCGTCAGTGAAGAGCACTTTTTGCCAGTCCTGTCTAGTCCAGCGACGGTGGGTTTGTGCCCATAGGCAACGTTGTTGCCGGTGATGTCTGGTGAGGACCTGCCTTACAACAGGCCTACAAGCACTCAGTCCAGCCTCTCTCAGCCTATTGCGGACATTCTGAGCACTGATGGAGGGATTGTGCGTTCCTGGTGTAACTCGGGCAGTTGTTGTTGCCATCCTGTACCTGTCCCGCAGTTGTGATGTTCGGATGTACCGTTCCTGTGCAGGTGTTGTTACATGGTCTGCCACTGCGAGGACGATCAGCTGTCCGTCCTGTCTCCCTGTAGCGCTGTCTTAGGCGTCTCACATTACGGACATTGCAATTTATTGCCCTGGCCACATCTGCAGTCCTCATGCCTCCTTGCAGCATGCCTAAGGCACGTTCACGCAGATGAGCAGGGACCCTGGGCATCTTTCTTTTGGTGTTTTTCAGAGTCAGTAGAAAGGCCTCTTTAGTGTCCTAAGTTTTCATAACTGTGACCTTAATTGCCTACCGTCTGTAAGCTGTTAGTGTCTTAACGACCGTTCCACAGTTGCATGTTCATTAATTGTTTATGGTTCATTGAACAAGCATGGGAAATAGTGTTTAAACCCTTTAATAATGAAGATCTGTGAAGTTATTTGGATTTATACTAATTATCTTTGAAAGACAGGGTCCTGAAAAAGGGATGTTTATTTTTTTGCTGAGTTTACATAGGTGACTTGTCTCTGCAATATTATACATACAGTGAGGGAAAAAAGTATTTGATCCCCCGCTGATTTTGTACATTTGCCCACTGACAAAGAAATGATCAGTCTATAATTTTAATGGTAGGTTTATTTGAACAGTGAGAGACAGAATAACAACAACAAAAAATCCAGAAAAACGCATGTCAAAAATGTTATAAATTGATTTGCATTTTAATGAGGGAAATAAGTATTTGACCCGTCTGCAAAACATGACTTAGTACTTGGTGGCAAAACCCTTGTTGGCAATCACAGAGGTCAGACGTTTCTTGTAGATTTTGTCCCACTCCTCTTTGCAGATCTTCTCCAAGTCATTAAGGTTTCGAGGCTGACGTTTAGCAACTCGAACCTTCAGCTCCCTCCACAGATTTTCTATGGGATTAAGGTCTGGAGACTGGCTAGGCCACTCCAGGACCTTAATGTGCTTCTTCTTGAGCCACTCCTTTGTTGCCTTGGCCGTGTGTTTTGGGTCATTGTCATGCTGGAATACCCATCCACGACCCATTTTCAATGCCCTGGCTGAGGGAAGGTTCTCACCCAAGATTTGACTGTACATGGCCCCGTCCATCATCCCTTTGATGCAGTGAAGATGTCCTGTCCCCTTAGCAGAAAAACACCCCCAAAGCATAATGTTTCCACCTCCATGTTTGATGGTGGGGATGGTGTTCTTGGGGTCATAGGCAGCATTCCTCCTCCTCCAAACACGGCGAGTTGAGTTGATGCCAAAGAGCTCCATTTTGGTCTCATCTGACCACAACACTTTCACCCAGTTCTCCTCTGAATCATTCAGATGTTCATTGGCAAACTTCAGACGGGCATGTATATGTGCTTTCTTGAGCAGGGGGACCTTGCGGGCGCTGCAGGATTTCAGTCCTTCACGGCGTAGTGTGTTACCAATTGTTTTCTTGGTGACTATGGTCCCAGCTGCCTTGAGATCATTGACAAGATCCTCCCATGTAGTTCTGGGCTGATTCCTCACCATTCTCATGATCATTGCAACTCCACGAGGTGAGATCTTGCATGGACCCCCAGGCCGAGGGAGATTGACAGTTCTTTTGTGTTTCTTCCATTTGCAAATAATTGCACCAACTGTTGTCACCTTCTCACCAAGCTGCTTGGCGATGGTCTTGTAGCCCATTCCAGCCTTGTGTAGGTCTACAATCTTGTCCCTGACATCCTTGGAGAGCTCTTTGGTCTTGGCCATGGTGGAGAGTTTGGAATCTGATTGATTGCTTCTGTGGACAGGTGTCTTTTATACAGGTAACAAGCTGAGATTAGGAGCACTCCCTTTAAGAGTGTGCTCCTAACCTCAGCTCGTTACCTGTATAAAAGACACCTGGGAGCCAGACATCTTTCTGATTGAGAGGGGGTCAAATACTTATTTCCCTCATTAAAATGCAAATCAATTTATAACATTTCAGGCGGACTTTGTCTCTGCAATCTTAACATTAGGTGACTTGTTCTCTGCAGATTTACATAGGTGACTTGTCTCTGCAATATTATACATAGGCGACTTGTCTCTGCAATATTCAGCCAATATGGCTACTTCATGGTGTGATAGTGTGTGGATGAGAAACTCAAACAGGTTTCATCAGGGTTGTAAAAGGATACTGACCACATACATTCCTCCTCCACTGTCACCTGATTTCCCCACAAACTCCATCTGAGGAACAGAGAGAGAAAACATCAGTTTACCAGCCCCCTAGGCACTGATCCAATGTCAGTCCTGCAATTTCTCTCCTAATGGTTAATGTTGGGATATGGGGAGGGTAATCTGATCCTAGGTCTGCTTCTACCGGGTCATCCACCAGCAGTGAGAGGTACTGGTCCAAGATTGGTCGGCTGATGCTGTAGTTTGGCGGGAGGGAGCGGAAGATCTCATTGGCTGAGAGGGGCTGAGTGTAGGCGGCGGTCTGTGTGGTGGTGACCTCACTCATCCTCAACATAGTCCTCACTATCTCACTGCTGGTCTGTTGGGGTGGGGGGGGGGGGAGAAGAGAGAGAGAGAGAAACTTAGACCAGGAGTTCCCTAACTTTTTCACTCAGGCCCCCCTTCCAGAATAGGGGAACATCCCGCGCCCCCCCGCACACCACGTCTATTTCTATGGGCACAAGCACTGTTCATGACACAAACTGTTCACACCCCTCTTGTTGGTGGAGAGAAAGGTTTAAAGCTTATTTCCTGCAATTCTACACATTTTGTCACGGGGTGCAGAGAAAATGTTACCGTTTTAAAGCACCTTTTCTTGGAATTCTATACATTTTGCCATGTCTAATGTGTATTCATGTGATATCTGAGTGACTCGAACATTACTACAAAATCTGTGGGCTAAAAAACCTAGCTAAAAGACGTTAGCTAACATGGGCTAGTTGATCTGGACATTTCTGACAAGTTATAAATAGCTCTCTAAGGTATGCAATGACAAGAGGAAAACTGATGATGCACTACCCAATTTGGAAATTGCACCTTGTGCATTCTACTATTAGAACTTTCAAGAGTAAGTTGACAGCCGGTCTGGGACCACTGACGTAGACCACCTCCATTACATCTCTCCTGGTCTACAATGGTCTGAGGTGGTCTGTAGGGGTCTGTCTGTGAGACACTGACCTGGTCCAGTTTGCTGGCTACAGCACTAATGATGGCCTGGTCTCTGAAGTGCTGATGGAACCTCTCAAAGTTCACCTGCCAGTAGATCCCCTCATCACCACACGACTGGAAAGAGAGGGAGGGAGGGGATAGAAAGAGGCACAAGTCATTCAAACGGTTCCATTCCTTATTGAGAGGAGTAAAAGAAGAACAGAACAAGGTTCTCTGATTCTCTATAGCGGCCCAGTATCTCTGAGTGTTAAGAGTAGAGGGTCTGACCTCGGAGTCCATCTTGGCTTTCTTCCCTCCTCTCTGCTCCTCACTGTCATCACTGGAGCGCCTGCGCTTCCCACGACCTGCCCCACAAACACAACACAAGAAGCGAGTGAGTGTATACCAAATATTTACTGAATTACATATAGCAGGAGGTTTACATGTGGGTATGTACACAGGTGAAAAGGTACTAAGTGTCATATGAGACAAAGTGTTTGGGGTACCTATTAGTGTGACATGGGGCAGCTTGTAGCAGTCAGGGTTGCTCTCTGCCGTTGGGGGGGCAGTGGAGGCGGGGGCGGCAGGGGTGCCGGGGGTCGCCGGGGAAGCAGATGGGGCTGCAGCTCCCATCTCGGCCACCGGAGGACAGCGCTGCAGGAAGTGAGTCTCCACCAACTTAGAGAAGGCGGAGACCACCTCACTGTACTCCATACTACGACCCTCTACAGAGAGAGAGAAATCATGAGAGAAGGAGAAGAAAATATTGAATAATCATACATCTTGTAATCTCTCTCTCACACACCCTCCATGTTATGAGTGAGTCGGTCAGCTACAGTCTTGACGGTGTTGCTCATGGTCATGTGGCCTCGTTGTAGGACCTCCTCCACGATGAGTTCTCCTGTGTCTCCATACAGGGTCTTAGCTGTGTAGATGTACCGCGGGTACCGCAGAACCCTTAGAACCCGCTCACAATTGGCCCGGTACTCAACTGGGCTCCCGGGGCCTCGCCGGCCCGACCCGAACTCACAAGCACCGTGCTGTACCAACACACACAGAGACTTCTTCACCTGCAGAAGAGACAGGGTCACCACCTAGGTTGAACAATATTTTGTGTGTGTGTGTGTGTGTGTGTGTATAGTACCAGGTCCAGTGGTGTGTTGGTCTCATTGGCGATGGTCCTGAGGTTCTGTGCCCCTCCTCTGAGCAGGTGAGTGCCTACCCTCTCCACTACCTCTCCAAAGTGCTCCTGTAGCAGCAGGCCACACAGCCGCACCTCCTGGGCAGTCATCTGCTGAGACAGGAGGAACAGGGGAACAGGCCAATAACACGTTGAGCACCAATTTTTTTGCATTATTACTGGGATCCCACCTTAGCTGACACTAACGACCGGTAACCAAATCACGGCTTTTTAACAACGTTTACTAACAACATTAACTTTATAACTTAACTGCCATGCTCACAAACCTTTGCAAAACACCCTTTTCAGATCATGGAATGTGTTTTAGGAGAAACCTCGCAAAACAACTTCAGAATCCCAAACACATGCGATTGCCAGCGCCACAACACAACGAACTTCCGCCCTCACAGTTCGGCTTCTTTTCCCAAAGAGTTGCGCATTGCATGAAGGGATGTTGGCGGACTGCCCTCTTTGGCATGCAGGAGGACCGACGTCACTGTTTGTGCTATTCTGGGGAAGATGGCGGAGGCTGCGGCGGTTCCCCCGCATAGGTTCTTCTGTCATTGTTGTAAGGGAGAAGTAAGCCCCAAACTCCCGGTAAGTCAGTCGTTACACCGTGTCTCGATCATGACTTTTCAGTGCAGGTCTTGTTCTTTTCCATCGGTTGACAACCGAACCTGAGTCCAGAAAATAGCAGCAGTTGTTGAACTAGCTAGCTGCTAACTGTAGACGGCTAGCCAGTAGGGCCCACGGCACTTGTTCTAGTTAACAAACAATGTTGATGTTTGTTGTTGCTAGCTCGCTTTAACAATGTTTAACAAAGACATTGCGTAATTGTTAAATATGCAGATGGCTTGGTTGAATAACCGTACCTGTAGTTTTGATGTTATTTGGTGTAATGTTAACCTTATTCGAGGTGGGTTTTCGTGAAATCCTCGAGGTAACGTTAGCTATGTAGCTATCTGGAAATCTGGTGGATATTTCAACGTAATTCGACCAGTCTGGCTACTCCTTGGCCTACAAAAGCAGAAGGAATACGGGGGTTTCCTTGGCCTGGGGCGCGTTCAACTGGACATAGCGGTTGGAACGTTCAGATAGACATTTTTATGTAGAACAAGAAATCATGTAGGCTCTATTTACGGCATTCTATCTTCAACGTTCGTGAACGTTTGGCAACTGAATGTGGCACAGTTCAGTTTCACAATCAAGTAAAATGTAGAAAGACATTGCAAAATATTTGGACTGCTTGACCCTAATTATTTACCAATATTAATCTGTATTGACTGCGTTCATTCTAGAAGAGAAGTTATGACACTTTCTGTTTTGCATTTAGCTAGCTAGTCGTGTAGCTATGTTTGTTATTGACTCGCAGTCGCTGTCTGTCAGTCAATGTGTCAGTAAGTCACTCTGTCTGCTTGTCTAAACCAACGTTAGCTAGGATACATCTGTTTAGGTTACTGCTGGTCTGTGAGAGGCAGGCTGGTAATCCCCTGTTTATTCCCATCCTGCCATTGAAGCTAAATCTGTGAGGAGGATGAAGTAGGCCTAGACACTGACCTAAGGACAGTTTTGTGATTTCCCTCTTATTGGGGAAATAGTACTGGGGGTGTGGGGGATGCGCAGGGGGCCAGGACCGAGTTTGAGAAACCCTGATCCTGATCTAGCCTACCCACAGGCTAAATCTGCCTGCTGGTCTCACTGTCTCATACTCTGTCTCTTTGTGCTGCTGAGGCATGTTTCAGCTATGCCCACTCACTGACTGCATATACCCAGTTGATCTGTCTCACACCTCCCCAAGATAACCACCGAAAGAGAGAGGGAGAGTGGCTCAAACATACAAGCAGACCCCCGTGCTTGTCTGTCTGAAGCCTTCTCCTTTCAGGCACAGTATCTGTATGTTTTCACCAGTCAGCAAGATGACAATGGCCGAGGCATAGCCTTCACACAATATTGCATAATAGCAATACAAGTTTTGCACAATTTTGGAATGAGGTTCACTTCCAGTTCAAGTGTCCTTTTTGTTTTGTTGAATAAAGCACATGTCTTTGTCGTAGGCCTAATCCCATTGTGAGTGAAACTCAACACTGGTGCCAGGGAAGAATACTTATTGATGACAACTCCCACTTTACATGTTGTATGTTCCTGCTTAAAGCTATGTTCAAATACGCTATATCCTGACTCTGCCACAGATCTCTACTAGACATTTCCTCATTCTACAGACAGAAACCCCTGCATAGCCGCCTCATCAGCCCTGAATGGAACACTGTCTGACTCATGTACTCTCTAACTGAGTGTGTGGTGTTGTGTGTTTTTGCAGGAGTACATCTGTCCCAGGTGTGAGTCTGGCTTCATAGAGGAGGTAACAGAAGACTCCAGGTGAGAATCTCTTGTTTCTTATGTCTGTAGTTTTAATTAATCTACCACATATAGGCTAGGCAGAGTGAATAGAAGGTGGTGGAGAATGAGTGTGTGTAGATGTTACTAATGCTGTGTTCTGCCTCCTGTGTGCTGTTTCCCTCAGTCTGCTAGAGGGTGGCGCTAATGGGACAGATGACACAGCCACACAGTTTGCAGAGGTATGAGATGCACTGTGCCCTAGGGGGTACAGGGGTGGGGGGGTGAGGTGGGATGCAAATGTCTTCTGTGATCTCATCCCATCTTTCTTTTACATCATTTCTCTATCTCTCTATCTCCCTTCCACCGTCCTTCTCTCCATTCCCCCTCCTCCCACCCTCCCTGTTCTCACCCTCACCCCTCATCTCTCTCTCAGCAGCTGTGGCACCTGTTGTTTGTAGAGAGGCCTTTCACAGTGGATGGTGGCAGTCCAGACTCAGAGTCCCGGGTCCCTGGTGGAGGGGTTGGGGTAGGAGCAGGGGGGTTAGGTCTGGGGGGGCTGGGAGGGCTGGGAGGGTTGGGAGGGCTGGGAGGCCTAGGAGGGGGTCCTATCGGAGGGTCAGTCCCTGCTGGGCTAGGGGGACCCCTGGGGGGTCCTCTGGGAGGGGGGGAACACTGGGGGCCCGGTCGCCCCCCTCGCCTGCACAGTCAGAGGAGGTACCGCTCCAGAGGGAGCAGCAGACCTGACCGCTCGCCTGCCGTAGAGGGGTGAGACTCCTGTCCTTACCATGCCATGTTTATATTCTTATTGGTGTTTTGATCAGTCAAAATTGGATTTGCAGGTTCTAAATGGGTATTTTTAGTTTTCAATTTTGTACTGATCTCATTCCTGACTGATGTGTGTGCCTTCTCTCTCTGTAGGATAGTACAACAGTTTCTGGCTGGTCTATTTGCCAACTCTGGAGTTCCTGGCTCACCTCCCCTCTCATGGTAAGAACCATCTTCTTACTGCCATGTAAGCAGTGGTTATACATTATCTCTTGTGGATTCCTTACAAATAGTGAGGTGGATCAACATTAATATTTGAATGTTCCCTGACTTGTTATGGTTGTGCCTCAGCCAGCACCCCTGGGGACCCCGTTATTTAAACCTAGCCTAAATCAGAACAAATATTGTTGCTGTTCATTATGTGTGAAACATAGGATAGTTACTGAATGTTTCATCTTTACCTGTAATTTACCTCCTGTGTGTGTGTTAGGACGGGGATGCTACACTCTAACCCAGGTGACTATGCTTGGGGACAGGGGGGACTGGACGCAGTCATCACACAGGTACGCACACACAAACCCCTTTCACTTTATTTATGTATGGCCACTAACCAACTATGACTTCATACTACGTAGTATGCTATATGGATGTTGGTAGACCCATAATCCTTATCAAGCTAATGAAAGTTTAGCAGTTCTCTTGTTACTTTCTTTATCTCTTCCTCTTTTCCAGGATGTTTCTGATGCTTTTACTCTTTTATTGTGTCATGCTAGGCTAGCACAAAGTTCACCGTACAAAGGTGAATTGTAAAGCTGTTCTCTTACAGTTCCTGCAGCAACCATTTTGATGTATCTTCTCTGTCTACCTGTGTGTGTTCATCTGTGTAGTTGTTAGGTCAGTTTGAGAACACGGGCCCTCCTCCTGCAGAGAAGGAGAAGATCTCCTCCATCCCTACAGTCAACGTGTCTCAGGATCAAGCAGGTTAGTCCTTTGCCTCCTCTCCTGCTCCTCCAGTCTCTCCATAGTGCCGTGGCCTATATAGAAGTCAGTGTATAGCTGTGCTGCTGACAGCTGACTCATTGGGGTAAATGAGGACTCCTATCTCTAGCTGCTGTCTCCTGTCCTCTCTCCTGTCCTCTCTGTCCTTGTCTTTCACTCTCACACATACACACATCCTTCCTCTCTCTCTCTCTCTCTCTCTCTCTCTCTCTCTCCGTCTGCCTCTCTCTCTCTCTGTCTGCCTCTCTCTCTGTCTGCCTCTCTCTCTCTCTCTCTGTCTGCCTCTGTCCCTCTCTCACACATACACATCCTTCCTCTCTCTCTCTGTCTGTCTGTCTCTGTCAGTCTCTGTCCCCCCCTCTGGCCCAGGGCCCACATAGCTGTTGTCTCACTGTCTCTTGTCATTAACAGAGAGCTACTTATTACTCTTAAATCATCTCAACCAGCCACTCAGGAATTTGGCATCAGACAGATGCTATGCTTCAGTTATTTTAATGGCTGATCAAATGTAACCTCTGCTTCATCATCCCTTCAGTCTTCCCATCTCTATTCCTCTTTCTAGCTCTCTCTTACTCTTTCTCTCCCATTATCTGTATACTGTAATATGGAGTATTTGTCCTGCGTGTAAGATACAGTATGTATGATCATTTATAACAGGAATGTAATACTAGCTAATAACAAAGGGGTGTATCTGTCTCTCTCCAGACTGCAATATGGAGTGTCCGGTGTGTAAGGAGGACTTTGCAGTGGGAGAGCCCGTCAGACAACTACCTTGCAACCACTTCTTCCACTCAGACTGTATAGTACCCTGGCTGGAAATGGTGAGGAGGGAGGGAGGAATGAACAAACAAATGAATGAAAGAGGTTGGTGGGGTAATATTTAGTAAGAGGAATGATTTGAAGAAGTTTAACTGATTTTCTCCACCCCTCTCTCTCACTCTCTCTGCAGCATGATACGTGTCCTGTGTGTAGGAAGGGGTTGAATGGAGAAGACCGCAACACCCAGAACCCCCCAGAATCCCCCTCTCTAAACACGGACCCCCGCACACAGGAGAGATGGTCCTTCTGAAATACACCTCCCCTCTCCTGTCCTCTCATCCCTCATCGCACCCCTCCTCTGACCTTTTAATCTCTCCATCTCATCCGTCCTTCATCCCTTCTCTCTACGAACTGCTGCACACAGGAGAGAAGGACTTTCTGAAGGATATACCTCCATCTCTCTGCCTCATTCCTCTCATCCCTTCATCTCACTCCTCCTTTCTGAATCATCTCATCTACAGTCATAGGATGGTCATCAGTATGGCTCTTCCTGTCTCATTGCCTTTGGAACCATGTTCACATACACACACACACACAAGTCATGATTTGTTAGACACACAGTACACACACGTCATGATCCATTAGCTGTCCTCTGCCTAATCATGACCAAGTACTTGCCTTTACCCTGCTTCAAACATCAACCCCATCTAGTTTTTTCTACTCTTTTCTCGCTATTCCTCTTTTTCCATCCTTCTGAAAAGCACTGCTGTAATACACTGTTGTCTCTCCCTACCTCTCTACTCCTGGGATGTATCTCAATAGTCTAGAGTGGCTTCCTCTCCTCATCTCCTTAACATCATCTGCACTGAACATGGTGGATGCTCACCAGGATATTTGGTTTTGCCGTTCTAGCTCTCACATCAGTGCAGAAAGGAGACGAGGAGGGGACATCACTTCTGACTATTGAGATGGGCCCCTCCACAATCTACTCTCTCTCTTTCGCCGTCATTCTGGTGTATATATTACAAACAGACTGCATCGCTCTGTCATTTTACTCCTCCGTTGATGAGTTCTGTCTTTTGTTTCACATTTCTATCACTCTATTTTTTTAATGTAAATACTTTTAGTCCAACAACTTCTGGTTTGAAAGGAAGAAAACAAAAAAGCATATTGAGAATGGAGACAAATGTGAATCCCTGGGTATTAAAGTCTGTGTATATTATTATATATATGATAACGTGTATGATGTATTAATAATTCCAAAAAATATTAAAAACCAGTAACATTGGTCATGATCGGATCTGTCTGTCACTAAGAAACCCAATAGTTGTGTGAAGACTTAATAGAGAGATGAACATCAGAACCAAATCATTTATTCAAAATTAAAAGGCAAATAGTTTAAACGGCATTAATACATTCTGTACATTATTACTTTACATCATTATCTCTTTATAAACCGTGTTAACGCGATAATGTTAACACCGCTATTAACCAGATTTTAGTTTAGAAACAGTTGTTAGCAGAGAGGTGTAATGGTCAGACCTCAAGCAGCAGCAGTGTCTGATCATAGCGGTGCACCTGGCCCTGGTTTGATCACATGCTATATTCACACATCATTTGAGAGCTTTTCCCAGAGTGATAAAGATCAGTGCAGATAGTCACGGCATACATAGGAACACAACATATTTGGCTGTATTGGCTAAACCACACACACATTTTAAGCTCTGATCAAAGAAATGACAGAGAGCACGATGCTGCAGGGTTCTCTATTAGATATGCTGTAAACAGTCAGGAACAGTATGAGGAGGCAGCACATAGGGCTTTGGATGGTGGTGGGAGTCGAGTGTGTAGTGTTGGAAATGTAGCAGACCTGGTAGGTGATGGGTAGTGAGGGATAATGTAGCAGACCTGGTAGGTGATGGATAGTGAGGGATAATGTTGCAGACAGATGAGAAACAAGACTGATAACGTTTGATCGTTGGCCATTTTGGAATTAGCAAGTGCAGCACTGGGGTAATGCCGACTTTGACAATGCTTTGGACCTGGCAGTAAAGGTGTGTGATCAGTGTGTGTTCCAAGCAAGTGTGATCAGTGTGTGTTCCAAGCAACTGTGAGCAGGGAGTGGGCCGGAGCACTGGAGGAGATGAAACCCACTGCAGGATCCCACACCTCAAACTGGACCTCTGACGACAACCTACAACACACACACAGTCTCAAGGTAACACACATGCAAACACACAAATATCAAGTGTTAACACACACACACACTTTCACCCACCTGTTGAGTATGGTAAGCACCACTGATCCATCTGGCCTGACGAAGACGGAGCTTTCCAGTTTTGTTTCCTGACTGAAGGACACGCCCACTCTCTGAGACCCCTCCCACAGGAACTTACTGTGGAGCAGAGTTAATTTACTTGTATTATATTTACTTATCAAAACACATACAGATCAGTGATTACTTCAAGTAAGTTAGGAAAGAAGGGTTAATTTTAATAAGTATTGGTACAGGGCGTCAGACCTGCCCAGGTGGGACAGTGAAGTACCTGAAGTGAGCCATGCTATACAACAGTGTTTCCCAACTCCAGTCCTTCAGTACCCCCAACAGCACACATTTTTATTGTACCCCTGGACAAGTACACCTGATTCAGCTTGTCAACTAACCATCAAGAGTTTGTCTGGGGCTACAACAACAATGTGTGCTGGGGGTACTAGAGGACTGGAGTTGGGAAACACTGCAATAGAAGGTGGGACAGTACAGTACCTGAAGTGGGCCATGCTATATAAGGTGGGACAGTACAGTACCTGAAGTGGGCCATGCTATATAAGGTGGGACAGTACAGTACCTGAAGTGGGCCATGCTATATAAGGTGGGACAGTACAGTACCTGAAGTGGGCCATGCTATAGAAGGTGGGACAGTACAGTACCTGAAGTGGGCCATGCTATATAAGGTGGGACAGTACAGTACCTGAAGTGGGCCATGCTATATAAGGTGGGACAGTACAGTACCTGAAGTGGGCCATGCTATAGAATGTGGGCTGTTTGTAGAAGATGTCTCGGCTGTGGTCCACGATGATGGGGCTGTCCACGAAGTTCTTCACCCAGTTGGGCCCTCCTCCTTGGTCCAGAGCCAGGTTCCAGTCTGTCCAGCCCACCACATAGTGGTTCAGGTCCTACAGCCGACGAGAAGACAGGGAGAGTAGCGAGAGGAAGAAAGTGACTCATTCACTGTCTAGTTTGTTGTTGTGTTACCTGACATTGCATCAGCATAAACAATCCCTGTGATTCTCAGGAGAGTAACTGTTCCAATGCAAAATGAATGGAGAGGGAACAGGTAAGAGAGTCCTATTTCAGTCCTGCAGAGTATTCAGAGAGAGAAAGGGAGAGTGAAAGACAAAAGAGAGAGACGAGAGGGAGGCATGGATAAACTGAGAGCACCATTCTAGCTTGTCCCCTAGGGCAACATAACAGAGCAGCAGTTTGAGCTGTAGAGTTCAGTTCAGTTCAGTATGAATGTGTCGAAGCAACACTGCAGGATCTGGCACAGAACTGACTTCATTAGGGCTGAACAAAGAACAAGGAGACAAAAACAGACAGGGCTCACAGACACACCTTCAATTCATCAGTTTGCCCCTGTAACATTTCACAACCAGTACCTGAGCTACTAGATCATACACAGGAATCTGACAAAACATTATGAGGTCACTCTCAACTTGTTTTTGTCTGACCTGTTGGTCATGCTGACCTGTTCAATTACTTGCTACAGTAACACCTTCACTTGCACATGTACACCTGTATGATGTCATTCTCACCCGTTAGCCATACGACTAAGAAAGAGTACGTGTTGACGATCCTCATTCTTAGTCATGACTATCTTACCTGTATGATGCTGTGTGCGTACTGCTCAGCCCTCTCCCAGCTGCCCAGCCGGACCCCTCTGTCTGTGGGGCTCCAGCCAGCGCAGGCCTCCGTGCCAAACAGGTAGTACTCTGGGTACAGGTGGTGGGTAGTGCCCAGGGAGAGCTCTGCAGGCACCAGGGTGTCCAGGTACCAGTGGACTCCAACACCATGGATATACCTGCCAGCACGCACATCACTGAGGACCTGGGGGGAGGAGGAGCATACTTTAATATTGTCAAAATGTACGTTTTCAACATTTCACTATTTCTTTATGGACTTCTCCCCTTTTCTCATGCATCCTTCTTTCATTGACTCTCTCTACTCTCTGTCCTTGACCCTACCTTACTCCATCCCTTCATCTCTCATTCCTTTCCTCCCTCCCTCCCAGCCTATCCCTGTTCTTTTCTTCTTTCAAAGTTCCTCCCTCTCTCTCACCACTTTAGCCCAGTGTGGCAGTAGCAGTCTGTTGTCATCCAGGATGAGGAGGTGTGTGTGGGGGTGTGTGGAGGTGTGCAGGGCGGGGCCAAGGTCCAGGCCCACCCAATCCCTCTGCTCCTCTGCTGTGAAGCCCAGAGCCTGGAAACTGGAGCAGGGAAAACAGATTACTGTTATAATATTATATAATATATACCATTTAGCAGACGCTTTTATCCAAAGCGACTTAGTCATGGGTGCATACATTTTACATATCTGGGTGGTTCTGGGAATCGAACCCACTACCCTGGCGTTACAAGCGCCATACTCTACCAACTGAGCTAAAATAACCTGTAACATGTACTTACTCTATAACTAACTTCATAACCAGAATGCAATAACTAACTAAATATCACTTTTTCCTGTTGTCAATGATGTACAGTGAGGAAAAAGTATTTGATCGCCTGCTGATTTTGTACGTTTGCCCACTGACAAAGAAATGATCAGTCTATAATTTTTATGGTAGGTTTATTTGAACAGTGGAGAGACAGAATAACAACAAATAAATCCAGAAAAACGCATGTCAAAAATGTTATAAATTCATTTGCATTTTAATGAGGGAAATAAGTATTTGACCCCCTCTCAATCAGAAAGATTTCTGGCTCCTAGGTGTCTTTTATACAGGTAACGAGCTGAGATTAGGAGCACACTCTTAAAGGGAGTGCTCCTAATCTCAGCTTGTTACCTGTATAAAAGACACCTGTCCACAGAAGCAATCAATCAATCAGATTCCAAACTCTCCACCATGGCCAAGACCAAAGAGCTCTCCAAGGATGTCAGGGACAAGATTGTAGACCTACACAAGGCTGGAATGGGCTACAAGACCATCGCCAAGCAGCTTGGTGAGAAGGTGACAACAGTTGGTGCGATTATTCGCAAATAGAAGAAACTCAAAAGAACTGTCAATCTCCCTCGGCCTGGGGCTCCATGCAAGATCTCACCTCGTGGAGTTGAAATGATTATGAGAACGATGAGGAATCAGCCCAGAACTACACGGGAGGATCTTGTCAATGATCTCAAGGCAGCTGGGACCATAGTCACCAAGAAAACAATTGGTAACACACTACGCCGTGAAGGACTGAAATCCTGCAGCGCCCGCAAGGTCCCCCTGCTCAAGAAAGCACATATACAGGGCCGTCTGAAGTTTGCCAATGAACATCTGAATGATTCAGAGGAGAACTGGGTGAAAGTGTTGTGGTCAGATGAGACCAAAATCGAGCTCTTTGGTATCAACTCAACTCGCCGTGTTTGGAGGAGCAGGAATAGTGCCTATGACCCCAAGAACACCATCCCCACCGTCAAACATGGAGGTGGAAACATTATGCTTTGGGGGGGTGTTTCTGCTAAGGGAACAGGACAACTTCACTGCATCAAAGGGACGATGGACGGGGCCATGTACCGTCAAATCTTGGGTGAGAACCTCCTTCCCTCAGCCAGGGCATTGAAAATGGGTCGTGGATGGGTATTCCAGCATGACAATGACCCAAAACACACGGCCAAGGCAACAAAGGAGTGGCTCAAGAAGAAGCACATTAAGGTCCTGGAGTGGCCTAGCCAGTCTCCAGACCTTAATCCCATAGAAAATCTGTGGAGGGAGCTGAAGGTTCGAGTTGCCAAACGTCAGCCTCGAAACCTTAATGACTTGGAGAAGATCTGCAAAGAGGAGTGGAACAAAATCCCTCCTGAGATGTGTGCAAACCTGGTGGCCAACTACAAGAAACGTCTGACCTCTGTGATTGCCAACAAGGGTTTTGCCACCAAGTACTAAGTCATGTTTTGCAGAGGGGTCAAATACTTATTTCCCTCATTAAAATGCAAATCAATTTATAACATTTTTGACATGCGTTTTTCTGGATTTTTTTGTTGTTATTCTGTCTCTCACTGTTCAAATAAACCTCAAAATCAAAAAATCAGCAGGGGATCAAATACTTTTTTCCCTCACTGTACCTGCCTTAGCTACACATGTAATATAAAGTGAGATGTGACCTGTAGTTGGTCATCCGTCCAGCAGAGGGTTCGTTGCCTGTGGTCATGGCCCAGAACGACAGGTTGTATTTGGCATACTCCTCCAGGAACCTGATGGAGAGGAAGGATAATGAATACTCAGAGAGTCAAATTCCTCTAAGGCTCCATGTGCCCATGTCTTTGTGTGTAAACTGTATGTTACCCAACATAGTATTTAGCCCAGGTTTAGATGTGTATACTGTATGATACCTGACATAGTATGTAGTCCAGGTTTAAGTGTGTATACTGTATGTTACCCAACATAGTATTTAGCCCAGGCTTAGATGTGTATACTGTATGTTACCCAACATAGTATTTAGTCCAGGTTTAGGTGTGTATACTGTATGATACCTGACATAGTATGTAGTCCAGGTTTAAGTGTGTAAACTGTATGTTACCCAACATAGTATTTAGCCCAGGTTTAGATGTGTATACTGTATGTTACCCAACATAGTATTTAGCCCAGGTTTAGATGTGTATACTGTATGATACCTGTCATAGTATTTAGTCCAGGTTTAGGTGTGTATACTGTATGATACCTGACATAGTATGTAGTCCAGGTTTAGGTGTGTATACTGTTTGTTACCTGACATAGTATGTAGTCCAGGTTTAGGTGTGTATACTGTATGATACCTGTCATAGTATGTAGTCCAGGTTTAAGTGTGTATACTGTATGATACCTGACATAGTATGTAGTCCAGGTTTAGGTGTGTATACTGTATGTTACCTGACATAGTATTTAGTCCAGGTTTAGGTGTGATTACTGTATGATACCTGTCATAGTATTTAGTCCAGGTTTAGATGTGATTACTGTATGATACCTGTCATAGTATGTAGTCCAGGTTTAGGTGTGTATACTGTATGATACCTGACATAGTATTTAGTCCAGGTTTAGGTGTGTATACTGTATGATACCTGACATAGTATTTAGTCCAGGTTTAGGTGTGTATACTGTATGATACCTGACATAGTATTTAGTCCAGGTTTAGGTGTGTATACTGTATGATACCTGACATAGTACACTGCTCAGAAAAATAAAGGGAACACTAAAATAACACATCCTAGATCTGAATGAATGAAATAATCTTATTAACTACTTTTTTCTTTACATAGTTGAATGTGCTGACAACAAAATCACACAAAAATTATCAATGGAAATCAAATTTATCAACCCATGGAGGTCTGGATTTGGAGTCACCCTCAAAATTAAAGTGGAAAACCACACTACAGGCTAATCCAACTTTTATGTAATGTCCTTAAAACAAGTCAAAATGAGGCTCAGTAGTGTGTGTGGCCTCCACGTGCCTGTATGACCTCCCTACAACGCCTGGGCATGTTCCTAATGAGGTGGCGGATGGTCTCCTGAGGGATCTCCTCCCAGACCTGGGCTAAAGCATCCGCCAACTCCTGGACAGTCTGTGGTGCAACGTGGCGTTGGTGGATGGAGCGAGACATGATGTCCCAGATGTGCTCAATTGGATTCAGGTCTGGGGAACGGGCGGGCCAGTCCATAGCATCAATGCCTTCCTCTTGCAGGAACTGCTGACACACTCCAGCCACATGAGGTCTAGCATTGTCTTGCATTAGGAGGAACCCAGGGCCAACCGCACCAGCATATGGTCTCACAAGGGGTCTGAGGATCTCATCTCGGTACCTAATGGCAGTCAGGCTACCTCTGGCGAGCACATGGAGGGCTGTGCGGCCCCCCAAAGAAATGCCACTCCACACCATGACTGACCCACCGGCAAACCGGTCATGCTGGAGGATGTTGCAGGCAGCAGAACGTTCTCCACGGCGTCTCCAGACTCTGTCACGTCTGTCACATGTGCTCAGTGTGAACCTGCTTTCATCTGTGAAGAGCACAGGGCGCCAGTGGCGAATTTGCCAATCTTGGTGTTCTCTGGCAAATGCCAAACGTCCTGCACGGTGTTGGGCTGTAAGCACAACCCCCACCTGTGGACGTCGGGCCCTCATACCAAATCAAATCAAATCAAATCAAATCAAATTTTATTGGTCACATGCGCCGAATACAACAGGTGCAGACATTACAGTGAAATGCTTACTTACAGCCCTTAACCAACAGTGCATTTATTTTAAACAAAAAAAAGTAAGAATAAAACAACAACAAAAAAAAGTGTTGAGAAAAAAAGAGCAGAAGTAAAATAAAGTGACAGTAGGGAGGCTATATATACAGGGGGGTACCGTTGCAGAGTCAATGTGCGGGGGCACCGGCTAGTTGAGGTAGTTGAGGTAATATGTACATGTGGGTAGAGTTAAAGTGACTATGCATAAATACTTAACAGAGTAGCAGCAGCGTAAAAAGGATGGGGTGGGGGGGGCAGTGCAAATAGTCCGGGTAGCCATGATTAGCTGTTCAGGAGTCTTATGGCTTGGGGGTAGAAGCTGTTGAGAAGTCTTTTGGACCTAGACTTGGCACTCCGGTACCGCTTGCCGTGCGGTAGCAGAGAGAACAGTCTATGACTAGGGTGGCTGGAGTCTTTGACAATTTTGAGGGCCTTCCTCTGACACCGCCTGGTATAGAGGTCCTGGATGGCAGGAAGCTTTGCCCCAGTGATGTACTGGGCCGTACGCACTACCCTCTGTAGTGCCTTGCGGTCGGAGGCCAAGCAGTTGCCATACCAGGCGGTGATGCAACCAGTCAGGATGCTCTCGATGGTGCAGCTGTATAATTTTTTGAGGATCTGAGGACCCATGCCAAATCTTTTTAGTCTCCTGAGGGGGAATAGGCTTTGTCGTGCCCTCTTCACGACTGTCTTGGTGTGTTTGGACCATGATAGTTCGTTGGTGATGTGGACACCAAGGAACTTGAAGCTCTCAACCTGTTCCACTACAGCCCCGTCGATGAGAATGGGGGCGTGCTCAGTCCTCTTTTTTTCCTGTAGTCCACAATCATCTCCTTTGTCTTGGTCACGTTGAGGGAGAGGTTGTTGTCCTGGCACCACACGGCCAGATCTCTGACCTCCTCCCTATAGGCTGTCTCATCGTTGTCGGTGATCAGGCCTACCACTGTTGTGTCGTCTGCAAACTTAATGATGGTGTTGGAGTCGTGCCTGGCCATGCAGTCATGGGTGAACAGAGAGTACAGGAGGGGACTGAGCACGCACCCCTGAGGGGCCCCCGTGTTGAGGATCAGTGTGGCAGATGTGTTGTTACCTACCCTTACCACCTGGGGGCGGCCCGTCAGGAAGTCCAGGATCCAGTTGCAGAGGGAGGTGTTTAGTCCCAGGATCCTTAGCTTAGTGATGAGCTTAGAGGGCACTATGGTGTTGAATGCTGAGCTGTAGTCAATGAATAGCATTCTCACGTAGGTGTTCCTCTTGTCCAGGTGGGAAAGGGCAGTGTGGAGTGCGATAGAGATTGCATCATCTGTGGATCTGTTGGGGCGGTATGCAAATTGGAGTGGGTCTAGGGTTTCTGGGATTATGCTGTTGATGTGAGCCATGACCAGTCTTTCAAAGCACTTCATGGCTACAGACGTCAGTGCTACGGGTCGGTAGTCATTTAGGCAGGTTATCTTAGAGTTCTTGGGCACGGGGACTATGGTGGTCTGCTTGAAACATGTTGGTATTACAGACTCAGTCAGGGACATGTTGAAAATGTCAGTGAAGACACTTGCCAGTTGGTCAGCACATGCTCGGAGTACACGTCCTGGTAATCCGTCTGGCCCTGCGGCCTTGTGAATGTTGACCTGCTTAAAAGTCTCCAGCAGTCTACCACCCTCATGGAGTCTGTTTCTGACCGTTTGAGCAGACACATGCACATTTGTGGCCTGCTGGAGGTCATTTTGCAGGGCTCTGGCAGTGCTCCCCCTGCTCCTCCTTGCACAAAGGCGGAGGTAGCAGTCTTGCTGCTGGGTTGTTGCCCTCCTACGGCCTCCTCCACGTCTCCTGATGTACTGGCCTGTCTCCTGGTAGCGCCTCCATGCTCTGGACACTACGCTGACAGCCACAGCAAACCTTCTTGCCACAGCTCGCATTGATGTGCCATCCTGGATGAGCTGCACTACCTGAGCCACTTGTGTGGGTTGTAGACTTCGTCTCATGCTACCACTAGAGTGAAAGCACCACCAGCATTCAAAAGTGACCAAAACATCAGCCAGGAAGCATAGGAACTGAGAAGTGGTCTGTGGTCACCACCTGCAAAACCAGTCCTTTATTGGGGGTGTCTTGCTAATTGCCTATAATTTCCACCTGTTGTCTATTCCATTTGCACAACAGCATGCGAAATGTATTGTCAATCAGTGTTGCTTCCTAAGTGGACAGTTTGATTTCACAGAAGTGTGATTGACTTGGAGTTACATTGTGTTGTTTAAGTGTTCCCTTTATTTTTTTGAGCAGTGTATTTAGTCCAGGTTTAGGTGTGTATACTGTATGATACCTGTCATAGTATGTAGTCCAGGTTTAGGTGTGTATACTGTATGTTACCTGACATAGTATTTAGCCCAGGTCTTGTGCTCCTTGCCCCCAGGCTGGCCCTTCAGAGAGCCCTTGCCAGTAAGAGCACCGTTGGTCTTCAACCATGCGGGGGCGCTCCAGGCACTGGCCAGCAGAGACAGGGGGCGGGGCGACAGGGTCTGGGCTCGCTGCAGCAGGGGGATCTGGGATTGGACCAACAACAGGGAAGTGGTGTTGTGAGTACATACATCCCTGTTCATCCATGACTGCGTGGCCACGCACGACTCCAACTCAATCATCAAGTTTGCTGATGACACGACAGTGTTAGGCCTGATTACCAACTCCTGCCTACAGGAAGGAGGTTAGAGCCCTGGCGGAGTGGTGCCAGGAAAATAACCTCTCCCTAATGTTAACAAAATGAAGGAGCTTATCGTGGACTACAGGAGACAGAAGAGGGAGCACATCCTCATCAACAGGCCGTCAAAAGCTTCAAGTTTCTTGGCGTGCACATTACTGAGGACCTGAAATGGTCTCGCCACACCGACATTGTGGTGAAGGTGCAACAGTGCCTCTACAACCTCAGGCGGCTGAAGAAATTCGGCCCCTAAGACCCTCACGAATGTCTACAGATGCACCATTGACAGCATTCTGTCGGGCTGCATTACAGCCTGGTACGGCAACTGCTCCGCCCTCAGCTGCATGGCTCCCCAGAGGGTGGTGCAGACTGCCCTCCAGGACTATTGCACCCGGTGTCAAAGGAAGGCCAAGAAGATCATCAAGGACCTCAGTCACCCGAGCCAGGGCCTGCTCACTCGGCTACCATCCGACATACAAAGACATTACAGGTGCATCAAAGCCAAGACTGAGAGACAAAAAAACAGCTTCTATTACCAGGTCATCAGACTGTTGAACAGCTTCTATTACCAGGCCATCAGACTGTTGAACAGCTTCTATCACCAGGCCATCAGACTGTTGAACAGCTTCTATTACCAGGCCATCAGACTGTTGAACAGCTTCTATTACCAGGCCATCAGACTGTTGAACAGCTTCTATCACCAGGCCATCAGACTGTTGAACAGCTTCTATTACCAGGCCATCAGACTGTTGAACAGCTTCTATTACCAGGCCATCAGACTGTTGAACAGCTTCTATTACCAGGCCATCAGACTGTTGAACAGCTTCTATCACCAGGCCATCAGACTGTTGAACAGCTTCTATTACCAGGCCATCAGACTGTTGAACAGCTTCTATTACCAGGCCATCAGACTGTTGAACAGCTTCTATTACCAGGCCATCAGACTGTTGAACAGCTTCTATCACCAGGCCATCAGACTGTTGAACAGCTTCTATTACCAGGCCATCAGACTGTTGAACAGCTTCTATCACCAGGCCATCAGACTGTTGAACAGCTTCTATTACCAGGCCATCAGACTGTTGAACAGCTTCTATTACCAGGCCATCAGACTGTTGAACAGCTTCTATTACCAGGCCATCAGACTGTTGAACAGCTTCTATTACCAGGCCATCAGACTGTTGAACAGCTTCTATTACCAGGCCATCAGACTGTTGAACAGCTTCTATCACCAGGCCATCAGACTGTTGAACAGCTTCTATTACCAGGCCATCAGACTGTTGAACAGCTTCTATTACCAGGCCATCAGACTGTTGAACAGCTTCTATCACCAGGCCATCAGACTGTTGAACAGCTTCTATTACCAGGCCATCAGACTGTTGAACAGCCATCACTAGCTGTCTACAAGGTGATGCACACTCACTCACACAAGACACACACACAAGCTATCACACACCTCACGAACATACACGCAAACACACAACGCTGCTGTCGCATATTATAGAGGCATTGAACCAATAGTCACTTCCCATTTCACACTGTGTATTTAAATACTGTATCCCCGAAATAGCTTACTCTATTATTTCTACTACTGTACATTGTATTTTAGTTAGACTGTTTCAACACACCGCATATTTATTTACAGTGCATTCGGAAAGTATTGAGACCCCTTCCCTTTTTCCGCATTTTGTTACGTTACAACCTTATTCTAAAATAGATTTAAAAATGTTTTCCTCACTAACCTACACGCAATACCCCATAATGACTAAGCGAAAACAGGCTTTTAGATTTTTTTACAAATTTATGAAAAATAATCAACCAAAATACCTTATTTACATAAGTATTCAGACCCTTTGCTATGAGACTCGAAATTGAGCTCAGGTGCGTCCTGTTTCCATTGATCATCCTTGAGATGTTTTTACAACTTGATTGGAGTCCACCTATGGTAAATTCAATTGATTAGATATGATTTAGAAAGACACACACCTGTCTATATAAGGTCCCACAGTTGACAGTGCATGTCAGAGCAAAAACCAAGCCACGAGGTCGATGGAATTGTCCGTAGAGCTCCGAGACAGGATTGTGTCGAGGCACAGATATCGGGAAGAGTACCAAAAAATGTCTGCAGCATTGAAGTTCGCCAAGAACACAGTGGCCTCCATTATTCTTAAAAGGAAGAAGTTTGGAACCACCAATACTCTTCCTAGAGCTGGCCGCCCGGCCAAACTGAGCAATCAGGGGAGAAGGGCCTTGGTCAGGGAGGTGACCAAGAACCTGATGGTCACTCTAACAGAGCTCTAGAGTTCCTCTTTGGAGATGGAAGAACCTTCCAGAAGGACAACCATCTCTGCAGCACTCCACCAATCAGGCCTTTATGGTAGAGTGGCCAGACGGAAGCCACTCCTTAGTAAAAGGCACATGACAGCCCGCTTGGAGTTTGCCAAAAGGCACCAAAAGGATTCTCAGACCATGAGAAACAAGATTTGCTGGTCTGATGAAACCAAGACTGAACTCTTTAGCCTGAATGCCAAGCATCACATCTGGAGGAAACCTGGCACCATCCCTACGGTGAATCATGGTGGTGGCAGCATCATGCTGTGGGGATATTTTTCAGCGGCAGGGACTGGGAGACTAGTCAGGATCGAGGGAAAGATGAACGGAGCAAAGTACAGAGAGATCCTTGATGAAAACCTGCTCCAGAGCACTCAGGACCTCAGACTGGGGCGAAGGTTCACCTTCCAACAGGACAATGACCCTAAGCACACAGCCAAGACAACGCAGGAGTGGCTTCGGGACAAGTCTCGGAATGTCCTTGAGTGGCCCAGCCAGAGCCCGGACTTGAACCTGATCAAACATCTCTGGAGAGACCTAAAAATAGCTGTGCAGCAACGCTCCCCATCCAACCTGACAGAGCTTGAGAGGATCTGCAGAGAAGAATGGGAGAAACTCCCCAAATACAGGTGTGCCAAGCTTGTAGCGTCATACACAAGAAGACTCAATGCTGTAATCACTGCCAAAGGGGCTTCAACAAAGTACTGAGTAAAGGGTGTAAATGTGATATTTCAGTTTTGTATTTTTTATAAATTTGCAAAAATGTCTAAAAACCTGTTTTTACTTTGTCATTATGGGGCATTGTGTGTAGATAGAAGAGGAAAACAAACAATGTAATACATTTTAGAATAAGGCTGTAACATCATTTGTTTGGGGAAAAAGTCAAGGGGTCTGAATATATATATATATTTTATATATTTTCTGAATATATACACTACCAGTCAGAAGTTTGGACACACCTACTCATTCAAGAGTTTTTCTTTATTTTTACATTGTAGAATAATAGTGAAGACATCAAAACTATGAAATAACACATATGGAATCATGTAGTAACCAAAAAAGTGTTAAACAAATCTAAATATATTTTATATTTGAGATTCTTCAAATAGCCACCCTTTGCCTTGATGACAGCTTTGCACACTCTTGGCATTCTCTCAACCAGCTTCATGAGGTAGTCACCTGGAATGCATTTCAATTAACAGGTGTGCCTTCTTAAAAGTTCATTTGTGGAATTTATTTCCTTCTTAATGTGTTTGAGGCAATCAGTTGTGTTGTGACAAGGTAGGGGGGGGGTATACAGAAGATAGCCCTATTTGGTAAAAGACCAAGTCCATATTATGGCAAGAACAGCTTAAATAAGCAAAGAGAAACAACAGTCCATTATTACTTTAAAACATGAAGGTCAGTCAACACGGAACATTTCAAGAACTTTGAAAGTTTCTTCAAGTGCAGTCGCAAAAACCATCAAGCGCTATGATGAAACTGGCTATCATGAGGACCGCCACAGGAATGGAAGACCCAGAGTTACCTCTGCTGCAGAGGATACGTTCATTACCAGTCTCAGAAATTGCAGCCCAAATAAATGCTTCACAGAGTTCAAGTCACAGACACATCTCAACATCAACTGTTCAGATGGGACTGTGTGAATCAGGCCTTCATGGTCAAATTGCTGCAAAGAAACCACTACTAAAGGACACCAATAAGAAGAAGAGACCTGCTTGGGCCAAGAAACACAAGCAATGGACATTAGACCGTTGGAAATGTGTCCTTTGGTCTGGAGTCCAAATTTGAGATTTTTGGTTAGAACCGCTGTGTCTTTGTGAGACGCGGTGTGGGTGAACAGATGATCTCTGCATGTGTAGTTCCCACCGTAAAGCATGGAGGAGGAGGTGTTATGGTGCGGGGGTGCTTTGCTGGTGACACTGTCTGTGATTTATTTAGAATTCAAGGCACACTTAACCAGCATGGCTACCACAGCATTCTGCAGCGATATGCCATCCCATCTGGTTTGGGCTTAGTGGGACTATCATTTGTTTTTCAACAAGACAATGACCCAACACACCTCCAGGCTGTGTAAGGGCTATTTGACCAAGAAGGAGAGTGATGGAGTGCTGCATCAGATGACCTGGCCTCCACAATCCCCCGACCTCAACCCAATTGAGATGGTTTGGGATGAGTAGGACGGCAGAGTGAAGGAAAAGCAGCCAACAAGTGCTCAGCATATGTGGGAACTCCTTTAAGACAGTTGTAAAAGCATTCCAGGTGAAGCTGGTTGACAGAATGCCAAGAGTGTGCAAAGTTGTCATCAAGGCAAAGGGTGGCTATTTGAAGAATCTCAAATATAAAATATATTTTGATTTGTTTAACACGTTTTTGGTTACTACATGATTCAATGTGTTATTTCATAGTTTTGATGTCTTCACTATTATTCTACAATGTAGAAAATAGTAAAAATAAAGAAAAACCCTTGAATGAGTAGGTGTGTCCAAACTTTTGACTAGTACTGTATATATATACTGGATTATTGACATAGCTCACTCTAATATACACTATAATAATAATAATAATAATATGCCATTTAGCAGACGCTTTTATCCAAAGCGACTTACAGTCATGCCTGCATACATTTTTGTGTATGGGTGGTCCCGGGGATCGAACCCACTACCCTGGCGTTACAAGCGCAGTGCTCTACCAGCTGAGCTACAGAGGACATACTGGATTCTTGACATAGCTCACTCTAATATACACTACATGGCCAATAGTATGTGAACATCTCATTCAAAAATCATGGGCATTAATATTGAGTTGGTCCCCCCTTTGCTGCTATAACAGCATCCACTCTTCTGGGAAGGCTTTCCACTAGTTGTTGAAACGTTGCTGCGGGGACTTGCTTCCATTCAGCCACAAGAGCATTAGTGAGGTCGGACACTGATGTTGGGGGCGATTAAGCCTGGCTCGCAGTCGGCGTTCCAATTAATCCCAAAGGTGTTCAATAGGGTTGAGGTCAGGGCTCTGTGCAGGCCAGTCAAGTTCTTCCACACCGATCTCGACAAAACATTTCTGTATAGACCTCGCTTTGTGCACAGGGGCATTGTCATGATGAAACAGGAAAGGGCCTTCCCCAAACTGTTGCCACAAAGTTGTAAGCACAGAATCATCTAGAATGTCAATGTATGCTTTAGCGTTAAGAATTCCCTTCACTGGAACTATGAAAAACAGCCCCAGACCACTATTCCTCCTGCACCAAACTTTACAGTTGGCACTATGCATTCGGGCACGTAGTGTCCACTAATTTGAAGGGGTGTCCACATACTTCTGGCCATGTAGTGTATCTATTGCTGTACATATCATTCTTAGTTTAGCTTGTGTCAATTCCCCGGTGTACATACTGTACGGATTTCATTTTGATACTGCTACAGTGCTATTTAGGTTGTTAATTGGATTTGGCCGTTCTTGATTTCTTGCCTTTCTTTTTCTTTACATTTTAATTGTTTGACATCTGACTGCATTGTTAGGAGCTAGTAACATAAGCATTTCACTGCACCACTATAACACCTGCTAAACTGTGTATGCGAACAATAAACTTTGATTTCATACGTTTACGATCTAACAAGTCAAAGGAGAGAAAGAGCTGAAAAAAGAGAGAGAGACAGATGTAATGAGAGATAAACAGAGAGACTATCTAAACCACCTTCATGTTAGTGTCCTCTGGTGCTAAGGTAAAGTTGTCCAGGTTGTAGTCTCCAGGTGAGTCGGCGTAGGTGTACAGACGGGTTGAGAAGTCACAGCTGGCCATGGGCACCCGCACCACACTGTACCCAATACCTGGGACACAAAACAAAAGCAGGATACACACTTAACTCAGCCTTTATTTTTTCCAGGTTTGTCCCATTGAGATAAAATGTCTTACTCAAGTGAGATAGGCAGGACTATTTGAGTAATTATGATTATAGCAATGGCCCTTACTGACCCCCTAACCCTGACCTCTCACCCTGAGCAGAGAAGTACTGTCGTAGTAGCTGGTCCTGTGTTCCTGGGGAGAGAGACATGATGTTGATGGCAGCTGAGTCTGTCATGGCTCCTCCAAACCCTCTAATCCTCTGGTACTTCTGGTAGGGAACCACAGTCAGCCTGAGAACTGAGAGGGAGGGAAAGGAGGGAGAGAGAGAGAGGGACGGGAGACAGGGAGGGAGGGAAGGAAGGAAGGAGAGAGGGAGAGAGAGAGGGGGGTGGTCAGTACAGGTCCTGGCTCACATCAACAGCATTATCCCAGAAACCCTAGACCCACTGTAGTGTATGGTTATTGGAAGGTGTTGTCGTCAATCAAGAAGTCTGCTTAGGTTGGATCGTGTTCAAAGGCCTTTATTCAAACCACGAGGTTCCAGCGTAAGTACGGACACAATATCCGGAGAATCAGACCCCAAATAAATCTTGCTGCATTCTAACTCTTCGTCACCGCTCCCCCCTTTATATAGCCTTCCAAGAGTTGAATAGCTCCCTCTACTGTTCAATCCCCGTATCTTACCACCCACTTCCTGTTTGTCATAAGTGACGTCACGCTAAAACCTTCCCTCTGGATAACAATAATCAACCTTCCATTTCTTCATGAAAAACCTTTAACAAAGACATAATTTTAATATACTACACCACTCCAATTTGCATACCGCCCCAACAGATCCACAGATGATGCAATCTCTATTGCACTCCACACTGCCCTTTCCCACCTGGACAAGAGGAACACCTACGTGAGAATGCTATTCATTGACTACAGCTCAGCATTCAACACCATAGTGCCCTCTAAGCTCATCACTAAGCTAAGGATCCTGGGACTAAACACCTCCCTCTGCAACTGGATCCTGGACTTCCTGACGGGCCGCCCCCAGGTGGTAAGGGTAGGTAACAACACATCTGCCACACTGATCCTCAACACGGGGGCCCCTCAGGGGTGCGTGCTCAGTACCCTCCTGTACTCCCTGTTCACCCATGACTGCATGGCCAGGCACGACTCCAACACCATCATTAAGTTTGCCGACGACACAACAGTGGTAGGCCTGATCACCGACAACGATGAGACAGCCTATAGGGAGGAGGTCAGAGACCTGGCCGTGTGGTGCCAGGACAACAACCTCTCCCTCAACGTGACCAAGACAAAGGAGATGATTGTGGACTACAGGAAAAAAAAGAGGACTGAGCACGCCCCCATTCTCATCGACGGGGCTGTAGTGGAACAGGTTGAGTGCTTCAAGTTCCTTGGTGTCCACATCACCAACGAACTATCATGGTCCAAACACACCAAGACAGTCGTGAAGAGGGCACGACAAAGCCTATTCCCCCTCAGGAGACTGAAAAGATTTGGCATGGGTCCTCAGATCCTCAAAAAATTATACAGCTGCACCATCGAGAGCATCCTGACTGGTTGCATCACCGCCTGGTATGGCAACTGCTTGGCCTCCGACCGCAAGGCATTACAGAGGGTAGTGCGTACGGCCCAGTACATCACTGGGGCCAAGCTTCCTGCCATCCAGGACCTCTATACCAGGCGGTGTCAGAGGAAGGCCCTCAAAATTGTCAGACTCCAGCCACCCTAGTCATAGACTGTTCTCTCTGCTACCGCACGGCAAGTGGTACCGGAGTGCCAAGTCTAGGTCCAAAAGACTTCTCAACAGCTTCTACCCCCAAGCCATAAGACTCCTGAACAGCTAATCATGGCTACCCGGACTATTTGCACTGCCCCCCCACCCAATCCTTTTACTCTGTTAATTATTTATGCATAGTCACTTTAACTCTACCCACATGTACATATTACTTCAACTACCTCAACTAGCCGGTGCCCCCGGACATTGACTCTGCACCGGTACCCCCCTGTATATATAGCCTCCCTACTGTTATTTTATTTTACTTCTGCTCTTTTTTTCTCAACACTTTTTTTGTTGTTGTTTATTTTTACTTTTTTTTTGTTAAAAAGAAATGCACTGTTGGTTAAGGGCTGTAAGTAAGCATTTCACTGTAATGTCTGCACCTGTTGTATTCGGCGCATGTGGCCAATAACATTTGATTTGATTTGATTTGAAGGGCAACAGTGTGTGCAGGCTTTCGTCTTGTTTGTTTCCCACCCGTGGGCTGGTGGGGGTTGTTGTTTGCAGCCCAGGCTTTTCTCACCTGCTCCAGTGCTGTTCTTCTGTACCTGTCCCTGTCCTCTCTGCAGCCTGCTGCCAGCCTTACTGCTGGTGAAGGACAGGAACTGACCCAGTGGAGGTAGTGTGTCCGACCCAATGCTGTCACAGCGGGTGGAGTTACACTCACACACCACCGAGCCATGGCCAAAGTTACGGGCCACACACTCATCACTGCCTGGGGAGAAAACACACACACACTCAAGGGTTATAGAGGTTCGTTCATAAGGGAAATGAGGAGCCGCTGTGTTTTGAGGATAAATAACAAAAAGGGAAGCTATGGGTCTTGGGTCATCATCGTCAATAAATGACATTACTGACAGTGGGAAATATGCTGATTTAAACCATGCAGGGCTTAGTTCAGAAACATGTGTCATAAAGCTTTATGTATGTGTTATAAAGTAGTTATAAACATGGTCTTGGCTCGCACTACATTTAATTCGACTAGTTCTACATTTAGTTTCCATGTGAAAGGGGCCATACATAACATACTGTACCTCTGGATAGTGTTGCTACTCCAATGAACAAAGCGAGAAGGATGAGTGCTGTTGACAATGTCATGGTCATTCTATCTGTAGAGAATAACAACAACATGCTGACAGGTGCTGTAGCCTACTAGCCCCGGATCATGACTCTCAGTTCCATTACATTACACATACGGAGTAACGTTAGGCTCCTTTAGTCCATTAGCTAGTGCTGTCATTTTAATCTACAACTGTAACATTCACTTTCACCAGTGCGCATCAGAGAGGTTCGTTCTTACCTAGTTTTTATCAGGATCTTTGACATGTCATAAAGTGCACGTCAAGTATTGAGTCGCATGTCCAACTGATCGATTTTCTCTGCTATATCCGGATTGTCCAAAGTTGTATGGACCTCGATAGTCATATGACAAGCGCACTGTGGTACGTCACTTCGATGTAAATAGTAGTTTACCGCTAGAGGTCACCAGTGCCAAATACACAAGTTGGGAACATTGCCCACCATAGTAGTGTAACCAATGGGTAACGAGCCTGCAAGGCTGCTGGCTATAGAGAAGAGAGGAGAGGATCATCACAATCATTATTTTGTGTGTGTGTGTGTGTAGAGACTTGTCCCGAAGCCACTCATGCGTTGTCTTGGCTGTGTGCTTAGGGTCACATCTGCAGTCCTCATGCCTCCTTGCAGCATGCCTAAGGCATGTTCACTCAGAGGAGCAGGGACCCCCCCCCCCACATTTTATAAATATACTCTAAAAATTAAGATTTAAAAAATTAGAAAAATATAAAAAAATAAATTGTAAAGTGGTTGTCCCACTGGCTATCATAAGGTGAATGCACCAATTTGTAAGTCGTTCTGGATAAGAGCGTCTACTAAATGACACAAAATGTAAATGTAAGAGTGGTTACATTTCTCCAACCCCATCCCTCAGCTTTTTACCAAAACGGGTGGGAAAGATGCTTGGTTATTGTTTCAACTGCGGATTGACGCTTAAAGATGGGTGGGGAATAACACATACAGTGGGGGAAAAAAGTATTTAGTCAGCCACCAATTGTGCAAGTTCTCCCACTTAAAAAGATGAGAGAGGCCTGTAATTTTCATCATAGGTACACGTCAACTATGACAGACAAATTGAGAATTTTTTTCTCCAGAAAATCACATTGTAGGATTTTTAATGAATTTATTTGCAAATTATGGTGGAAAATAAGTTTTTGGTCACCTACAAACAAGCAAGATTTCTGGCTCTCACAGACCTGTAACTTCTTCTTTAAGAGGCTCCTCTGTCCTCCACTCGTTACCTGTATTAATGGCACCTGTTTGAACTTGTTATCAGTATAAAAGACACCTGTCCACAACCTCAAACAGTCACACTCCAAACTCCACTATGGCCAAGACCAAAGAGCTGTCAAAGGACACCAGAAACAAAATTGTAGACCTGCACCAGGCTGGGAAGACTGAATCTGCAATAGGTAAGCAGCTTGGTTTGAAGAAATCAACTGTGGGAGCAATTATTAGGACATGGAAGACATACAAGACCACTGATAATCTCCCTCGATCTGGGGCTCCACGCAAGATCTCACCCCGTGGGGTCAAAATGATCACAAGAGCGGTGAGCAAAAATCCCAGAACCACACGGGGGGACCTAGTGAATGACCTGCAGAGAGCTGGGACCAAAGTAACAAAGCCTACCATCAGTAACACACTACGCCGCCAGGGACTCAAATCCTGCAATGCCAGACGTGTCCCCCTGCTTAAGCCAGTACATGTCCAGGCCCGTCTGAAGTTTGCTAGAGTGCATTTGGATGATCCAGAAGAGGATTGGGAGAATGTCATATGGTCAGATGAAACCAAAATATAACTTTTTGGTAAAAACTCAACTCGTCGTGTTTGGAGGACAAAGAATGCTGAGTTGCATCCAAAGAACACCATACCTACTGTGAAGCGTGGGGGTGGAAACATCATGCTTTGGGGCTGTTTTTCTGCAAAGGGACCAGGACGACTGATCCGTGTAAAGGAAAGAATGAATGGGGCCATGTATCGTGATATTTTGAGTGAAAACCTCCTTCCATCAGCAAGGGCATTGAAGATGAAACGTGGCTGGGTCTTTCAGCATGACAATGATCCCAAACACACCGCCCGGGCAACGAAGGAGTGGCTTCGTAAGAAGCATTTCAAGGTCCTGGAGTGGCCTAGCCAGTCTCCAGATCTCAACCCCATAGAAAATCTTTGGAGGGAGTTGAAAGTCCGTGTTGCCCAGCGACAGCCCCAAAATATCACTGCTCTAGAGGAGATCTGCATGGAGGAATGGGCCAAAATACCAGCAACAGTGTGTGAAAACCTTGTGAAGACTTACAGAAAACGTTTGACCTGTGTCATTGCCAACAAAGGGTATATAACAAAGTATTGAGAAACTTTTGTTATTGACCAAATACTTATTTTCCACCATAATTTGCAAATAAATTCATAAAAAATCCTACAATGTGATTTTCTGGATTTTTTTTCCTCATTTTGTCTGTCATAGTTGACGTGTACCTATGATAAAAATTACAGGCCTCTCTCATCTTTTTAAGTGGGAGAACTTGCACAATTGGTGGCTGACTAAATACTTTTTTTCCCCACTGTACATTCTCCAGAAACACTGTTCTGTTAAGAGTTCACTAATGTGTATTGCAACGTACTGGCCGCCTACTCGTCTTCTGTTATTCCATGGTAATGACTACTACCTGATGTTCTGGAACAACAAGGAAATGTTGGCGATTATTGAGAAACATAAACAATCTGAAGCATTGCATCAATTAGCTCACGCTAGTTCCATAACATATTTTTTTTCATCACGTAGAAAAACTGATAGGCTACTAGAGGATTCTCTTGACATGGGATTTTGCCAACTATCTTTCTTCAAACCGTGGCAGAAATTAACTGCTTTATAGTGGTGAATGTTGTATTTTATGGTTTATATGAATAGGGACAGGTACAAACACATTAACACATTGAATGAACAATAATCTGATGCATTGCACCATAGTGTATAGCTCACACTAATGTTCAACACCTGCCCCAGTGGTATTGATGGTGCTTCTGAAGTATGTTTAGTCATTGTGGCTCTCATGTACATTTCAGTCACACTTGGTCACATTTTATGTACAGTGGTACAAATCTCTTCCCACAGCTTATCCAGATACATTGTCAATGCTTCACGCCACCCATGTCCTCCTCCTTATTACTCCACCCCCTTCACCTGAGCAGTGATATAAGGCCAGAGCTGCTTCATCACCTCACAACTGCTACCTGCAACACCTTTTCAAGCTACTGCTCCTAAATATTTGTAAGTACCTACTTTATAAGAACTTGAGATAACTCTTACTTAACTTGTTTGTTAGTTTTTTCATTTTTGTAGGCCTACAGGGAATGGCAATAGTTAAAAGGGGAATATGCAGATGCTACATACATTTGACTTAAATTAATTCTATATACCTATTGATTATTGAAGAATATTGCTGGCTTCACGTACTCATGGGAAATGGGAAACTGGGAAGCTATAAGTCCGACATGATTGTGTTCAATTGCTTTTGAAGTCGGAACAATCTTCAACCAATAAGATTTTAGCTAGCTTGATAAACTAGCTAACGTTGATAATGATAAAGTTAACTAGCTTGCTTAAAGGTCAAACTAGCTACATCATCCATATTGATAAGGTCCTAATTGCCAAAATCGTATTTATTGTCATCTTTTGGTTGAAAAGTTAAAAAGGTCAGTGGTGAAACGTCACAACTCGGCAACTCTGGCAACAACATTTTCTAAACACTTAAACAACACAATGTAACTCCAAGTCAATCACACTTCTGTGAAATCAAACTGTCAAGAGTGGCAAGAAGGTTTGCTGTGTCTGTCAGCGTAGTGTCCAGAGCATGGAGGCGCTAGCAGGAGACAGGCCAGTACATCAGGAGACGTGGAGGAGGCCGTAGGAGGGCAACAACCCAGCAGCAGGACTACTACCTCCAACTTTGTGCAAGGAGGCAGGAGGAACACTGCCAGAGCCCTGCAAAATGACCTCCAGCAGGCCACAAATGTGCATGTGTCTGCTCAAACGGTCAGAAACAGACTCCATGAGGGTGGTATGAGGGCCCGACGTCCACAGGTGGGGGTTGTGCTTACAGCCCAACACCGTGCAGGACATTTGGCATTTGGCAGAGAACACCAAGATTGGCAAATTCGCCACTGGCGCCCTGTGCTCTTCACAGATGAAAGCAGGTTCACACTGAGCACATGTGACAGACGTGACAGAGTCTGGAGACGCCGTGGAGAACGTTCTGCTGCCTGCAACATCCTCCAGCATGACCGGTTTGCCGGTGGGTCAGTCATGGTGTGGGGTGGCATTTCTTTGGGGGGCCGCACAGCCCTCCATGTGCTCGCCAGAGGTAGCCTGACTGCCATTAGGTACCGAGATGAGATCCTCAGACCCCTTGTGAGACCATATGCTGGTGCGGTTGGTCCTGGCTTCCTCCTAATGAAAGACAATGCTAGACCTCATGTGGCTGGAGTGTGTCAACAGTTCCTGCAAGAGGAAGGCATTGATGCTATGGACTGGCCCGCCCGTTCCCCAGACCTGAATCCAATTGAGCACATCTGGGACATCATGTCTCGCTCCATCCACCAACGCCACGTTGCCCCACAGAATGTCCAGGAGTTGGCGGATGCTTTAGTCCAGGTCTGGGAGGAGATCCCTCAGGAGACCATCCGCCACCTCATCAGGAGCATGCCCAGGCATTGTAGGGAGGTCATACAGGCACGTGGAGGCCACACACACTACTGAGCCTCATTTTGACTTGTTTTAAGGACATTACATCAAAGTTGGATCAGCCTGTAGTGTGGTTTTCCACTTTAATTTTGAGGGTGACTCCAAATCCAGACCTCCATGGGTTGATACATTTGATTTCCATTGATAATTTTTGTGTGATGTTGTTGTCAGCACATTCAACTATGTAAAGAAAAAAGTATTTAATAAGATTATTTCATTCATTCAGATCTAGGATGTGTTATTTTAGTGTTCCCTTTATTTTTTTGAGCAGTGTATAGCCTGTACAGCCGATAGTGGCCACTATAAGGTAAAGAGCCTAGTGTTGAGAAGTGAAGGTGCGATGACGCTAAAGCGTAAGAATGGTGCAGTTAAGATCAGAGATTCTTCTCCTGAGTGCACACTCGCCATGTTTGGAGGAGGAGGAATGCTGCCTATGACCCCAAGAACACCATCCCCACTGTCAGACATGAAAACATTATGCTTTGGGGGTGTTTTTCTGCTAAGGGGACAGGACAACTTCACTGCATCAAAGGGACGATGGACGGGGCCATGTACCGTCAAATCTTGGGTGAGAACCTCCTTCCCTCAGCCAGGGCATTGAAAATGGGTCATGGATGGGTATTCCAGCATGACAATGACCCAAAAACACACTGCCAATGCAAAAAGGGAGTGGCTCAAGAAGAAGCACATTAAGGTCCTGGAGTGGCCTAGCCAGTCTCCAGACCTTAATCCCATAGAAATCTGTAGAGGGAGCTGAAGGTTCGAGTTGCCAAACGTCAGCCCCAAAACCTTAATGACTTGGAGAAGAGTGGAGCAAAATCCCTCCTGAGATGTGTGCAAACCTGGTAGCCAACTACAAGAAACGTCTGACCTCTGTGATTGCCAACAAGGGTTTTGCCACCAAGTACTAAGTCATGTTTTGCAGAGGGGTCAAATACTTATTTCCCTCATTAAAATGCAAATCAATTTATAACATTTTTGACATGTGTTTTTCTGGATTTTTTTGTTGTTATTCTGTCTCTCACTGTTCAAATAAACCTACCATTAAAATTATAGACTGATCATGTCTTTGTCAGTGGGCAAACGTACAAAATCAGCAGGGGATCAAATACTTTTTTCCCTCACTGTAGGTGTAGGGTTAGATGGTGGTGCAAATAAAACATTTCCCATTCCCCCTTTTTTTTGTGACGAAAATGTGCAATCCGCACTCCAACCTGCTAAAGGCAGTAATACGCAACACAGTCTAGTCTGCTGAAAATTCACACTAAGAATTGGTGGTAGGTATTTACCTGTCTTTTGACATATTCCACTTATCTTCTGTAAGTAGTGTGCCCAGCCGGTCATACACCCGTAAATAGCGCCCACTATCGGCTGTACAGGCTTTAACTTATAGATGCCTCATGGGCATTGTTAAACCACAGAGTTTCTAAACCCAGAGGCGCAACATCGTGAAACTTTCGGGGAACGCTTGTGAAGCAGGCCAGGCTGGGGTATGGGGTTTGAGAAGTCAATGACAGAAGTGAAAAATGATTCCTTAGTTGCTCATTTTCTCAAAATCTAAAGGCGCAACCTAGATTGTCATAAGTAGTTGTGAAAGAGAGCGACCTGCATCTACGTATTTTACTGGTTTGTGATTCACTGACACCGTCCCCGGTTCGTGGGGAATAAAGCAGCCCAAGAGTCAACACACAGGAACTTTATTTAAAACACACTAAGGAAGATTAACATGGGGATGAAAAGTGGGAAAGGTAGTGGAATGGTAGTAGTTCTGAAACAGAGGTAATTAATCTACTGTGCACAATACTATAACTGATAGCACAAGTAGAGCAACAAGTCTATTAACAAGGGAAGGACTGTATGAAAATATATATGCTAACTGCACATATTAAAATACAGCTATACACAAAGGCAGCATATAACAATAGTAACAACTAACTATGAAGAACAATATTCAAATGTCACAACTCACTTTGTGCACACACACCATCCCACAAGTCCAGAAAGATTTGATTGAGTCGTTGTTGATGGGCAGAGACAGAGATGTCATGGGAGATGGAGAGTGGAGTGTGCAGCTCAGGGCTGTGAGGTGCTGATAAGTCACTGGCAGGAAATTAGTTGAACATGTTATTACTCCAACCACGTGAAAGTGACAAACTGACACGTTTTAGTTTGTCAAAAACAGCTTTATATCGATGGAGTGCCTTTGATTTGAGGCCTGCACAGACGCAGTTCGGCGTGAGACAACCGTTAGACCTGGGCATGAGGTTAGCTAGCCAATGTCGCCATGACATCGCCTACAAGCGTGATAGGGGATTTCTATTAGAGAAGCAGTTTCAGCCTATCGTCATAGTGTACCGTCTTTGGTTAAACTGTCCTATCCCTTTTTGTGTGGGTGTTTACAATCTAGACCAGGGGTGTCAAACTCATTCCATGGAGGGCCTAGTGCCTACTGGCTTTTGTTTTTTCCTTTCGATTAAGACCTAGACAACCAGGTGAGGGGGAGTTCCTTACTAATTAGTGACCTGAATTCATCAATCAAGTCCAAGGTAGGTATCACGTTTCAGGAGAAGACCCAGACAGTGTCGAAGTAACACAAGTTTATTACGAAAACAGGGGGCAGGCAAACAGATCAAGGGCAGGCAGAGGTCAGTAATCCAGATCAGAGTCCAAAAGGTACAGAACGGCAGGCAGTCTCAGGGTCAGGGCAGGCAGAGGTCAATAATCCAGAATGGTGTGACAAGGTACAGAACGGTAGGCAGGCTCAAGGTCAGGGCAGGCAGAATGGTCAAAACCTGGAAAACTAGAAAACAGGAACGACATTGTCCCCACAGTGACAGTACATGCATATCTGTTACGAACCCCGTGGCTTTAAAAGTCTAGGGTGGATGGAAAAGAGACCCGTAACATAACTCATGCAAATTAGAATCGTGACACGGAAACAGTGAGAACAAAAATACACCGACAACCATAAACTACCGTCAAACACAAAATGTTTATTGTAAACACACGGTAAAGGTTTGGGAAAAAGGGCTGAGCAGGACCCAAGGAATAAAACAATAATGTCAAAAACCCCTAAACTGATCTTGTCTGCCTCAAGAACAATTACAGTGGGTGGTCCGCTCAGGTCTAACTAGTGTTTTTAGACAATGTTCTTTCTACGGGTAATGTATGCCCAAGGGCAACTTGCTAAATCCCCCTTTTCTCAGGAACACACAACATAGTTACCATACAGAGTAACCAGCAAATGATTGAGTACACAAAAAACAGGACACCACAGTATCCATACTCACAAACGAAAAGAGTCTGTCAGCAAACACAACTGACTGGCTTTTAAAACAATAGGATGTGTGATGTGAGTGAAAAACCAGAAACAGGTGGTGCAAGGCAGAGGAATGTCCACTGATTGGTCCACCTCAGCAATCAGCAGACAAACGGATGTCGGACAGGTGGGACACACCAACGACCACCAATCAGGAACACAAAGGACACCTGTGATTAGGGCAGAAGGAGAGGAAAAACACAAAAACACATACAGGATACCTGTATCCGTAACAATATCCCAACCAGAAGCCATGGAATACAGGCAACATCCACATTAAAGGCTAGAGCTGCCGCTTTCAAGGAGCGGGACACTAATCCGGACACTTATAAGAAATCCCTCTATGCGCTCCGACAAACCCTCAAACAGGAAAAGCGTCAATACAGGACCAAGATCGAATCCTACTACACCGTCGGATGTGGCAGGGCTTGCAAACTATCACAGATTACAAAGGGAAACCTAGCCACGAGCGGTCCAGTAACGCGAGCCAACCAGATCATCTAAATACCTTCTATTCTCGCTTTGAGGCTAGCAACACTGAACCATGCATGAGAGCACCAGCTGTTCCGGATGACTGTGTGATCACGCTCTCCGTAGCCGATGTGAGTAAGACCTTTACACAGGTTAACATTCATAAGGCCGCATGGCCAGACGGATTACCAGGAACTGTACTCAGAGCATGCGCTGAACACCTGGCAAGTGTCTTCACTGACATTTTTAACCTCTCCCTGACCCAGTCTGTAATACCTACATGTTTTAAGCAGACCACCATAGTCCCTGCGCCCAAGAACGCCAAGGTAACCTGTCTAAATGGCTATCACCCCATAGCACTCACATCTGTAGCCATGAAATTATTTGAAAGGCCTGGAGCCACTTCAATACACATACCACCCCAACAGATCCACAGATTAGGCAAGCTTTATATTTCACTCCACACTGCCCTTTACCATCTGGACAAAAGGGACACCTACGTGAGAATGCTGATCGTTGTCTACAACTCAGCGTTCACTAAGCTAAGGACCGGGCCACCCCCAGGTGGTGAGGGTAGGCAACAACACATCCGCCACACTGACCCTCAACACAGGGGCTCGAGACCTTTAAGTTCCTCTGTGTCCACATCACTAAGGAATTATCATGTTGCACACACACCAACAGTCATGAAGAGGGCACGACAACACCTCTTCCCCCTCAGGAGGCTGAAAAGATTCAGCATGGGCCCTCAGATCTTCAAAATGTTATACAGCTGCACCATTGAGAGCATCTTGTCTGGCTACATCACCTCTTGGTATGCCAACTGCTTGTCATCTGTGCCTAAACTGCTATATTATATTGTGGCCTTTCTCTTGCATTTCAAAGATGGAACAAAAAATACATAGAAAACACATGTTTTTTTGTTTGTATTATCTTTTACCAGATTCTCCTACATTAATTTCACATTTCCACTAACTTCAAAGTGTTTCCTTTTAAATAGTATCGAGAATATGCATATCCTTGCTTCAGGTCCTGAGCTACAGGCAGTTAGATTTGGGTATATCATTATAGGCGAAAATTGGGGGGAAAAAGGGTCCGATCCTTAAGAGGTTAACCTCATTTGAACTAAATTTATTCATGTAAAAATTGAAAGTTGGCAGGTTTTGTAGATGATCCATTCTCATTATAAAAGGGGCTAGTTTACGTACATTTTCTTTCTCTCCTTTTCCTTTTTTTGTCTCTAAATGTGTTTTCTTCATCCATGTTTGTGTGGGTGTTTACTATCTAGACAGACTTTGCCATCATACGCTGCAGCAAATAAACTATACAATCCTCTCTTTAAAATGCTGAGTTTTAACTACACAGCACAGACAGGATTCTGCTGAAAGGGGACTTTCTCCTCTCCAACAATGGAAAATACAAAGCTATCATTCAGGTTCAATATAGTTAGTGAAACACCTAATTTTCACTTCTATAAACCTAAGATATTTGGTCTGCAACTTATTTTGAAAGTACAATGCCTATAGAAAGTCTACACCCCCTTGAACTGTTTTCACATTTTGCAGGCTTAAAATTAAATCGAAAAAGGGATTAAATTAGATTATTTTCCCTACAGATCTGCACAACCTACATTTTCAAAGTAAAAGAAAGTTATTTGAAAAAATCAGATTTAAGAAAAAACTAAATGAAATATCATAATTTGATAGGTCTTACACCCCCCTGAGTTAATACTTGGTGGAAGCATCTTTGGCAGCCATTACAGCTGTGAATCATTTTCAATAAGATTCTACCAACTTCACACAACTCTTAGCAAAATATATCCATTGTTTCTGTCAAAATTGCTCAGACTCATTAAATTTGGTGTGGATCATTGATGGACAGCGATATGTAAACCTTGTTTCTGACCTTTTAAGCAGATTTAAGTCAGGACTGAGACTTGACCACTCAGGAACACTGCAGAAAAATAAAAGACTGAGGTGGGTTTTCCTCTAACTTTTTACCTGGGTTTTTCTCATTTCCTATTTCTTTTGATCCTAACAAACTCCCCAGTCCCTGCTGATGACGAGCATACCCATAACATGATGCTGCCACCACAATACTTGAAAATACAAAGGGATCAACAACGTTGCATTCACTACATATTACTGGCCTATGTGACAAAGTGAAAAGAAAGCCTGTGTTAAAAGGCTGTTAAGTAATACTGCAATACAGCATGGCAAATAAAATACTTTTTTTGGCCTAAATTATAAACTACAGGGTTGGTTCAAATCCAATACAACACAACAGAGTGAAACCCTCTCTATTTTCAAGTATTGTGGTGGCAGCATCATGTTATGGGTATGCTTGTCATCGGCAGGGATTGGGGAGTTTGTCAGGATCAAAATAAATATGAAAGGAGCAAAGCCCAGGTAAAAAGTTAGTCTTCTGAAAACCTGACCCTGGGATAGAGTTTTATTTTTCAGCTAGTCAATTGTACACATTTTATTGCCAAAGACACACCAGAATGGCTTGCCAAGAGGTGACAAGGTTTATATTTAGCTTCCCATCAATAATCCCCAACCAAATTTACTGAGCAATTTTGACAAAATCGATGTATGTAAGAGTTGGTAGGATCTTAATGAAAATTATTCACAGCTGTAATGGCTGCCAAGGGTGCTTACACAAAGTATTACCCTGAGGGGGGTTGAGACCTATCCAATTATGATATTTAATTGATTTAGCAAAACATTCTAACTTTCTTTCACTTTTAAAATGTGGATTAGGTTGTGTAGAACTGTAAGAAAAAATCTAATGTAATCCCTTTTTGGATTACATTTTAAGGCAGCAAAATCTGAATAAAGTTCAAGGAGGTGTAGACTTTCTATAGGCACTGTATATTTTGCTGACGGACACCAGTTGGTTTTGGTGTACACAATGCTAATATTAACATTTTTGGGGGGGGGAAATGTTATCACACTAACTTGTTATTGCCCTCTAATTATGATATCCCTTTTAATAAAACAATAAAGTAATAATTTAAAGTGGACACAGACAGCGGATCAAGGGAATGCACACAGCACTACAGAACAGAGGCATCCTTTTACGCTAATTAATTTTCTATTTGCAGACCGATGGCAACTTTGTGCTCTACGGTTGGGATCGGGTTCTGGGAATCTCTGAACACAGATGCTCAGGAGGTCATCCTCCAACAGGATGGCAATCTGGTCATCTACGCCAGGGTTTCCAAAACTCGGTTCACCCAGGGGGGCCCCAGGACTGAATTTGGGAAACCTTGATCTACGCCATCCCACATGCCACCCCAACAATGCACAAAGCGGTCACCTCACCTTCACTGACGAAGGCGCCCTGGTGCTTTACATTCCCGGAAATGTGGTCTGGTGCTCTCGTGATGACACTGGTAATGAGGGAGAGTAACACCTTCGCATCGCAATACCTGTCTATGTCTACCACTAAAATCTGCATTCAAAAGCCTCTCTTGGCCTTTGATTTGCTCAAATAAAGAAGACATTTACTTTTAAAGTAGTGGTTTGTGTTGTAATTCTGTGCATTGTGACTGCGGATTCTCTGTGTTCAAAAGACAAACATCACTAACTTTTCATCATGGAGATTATAGCTTTGACTCACATAAAAGAGAACATGAGATCTGACTGTTTTTCATGTACATTTTTATTATGAAAGAGACATACACTATCATGCATCACAACAGAATAATTTATGGAGGGATACACACATATACATGGATTATAACGTTGCAGTTATGCGTGAGTCTGTATTGGTGTTTGTCCCATAGAGAATGATAGAGGCCGCTAATGGCAAAAAAGCGTTTTAGCACGGGCAGCACCATTGAGGGCTTCAACCATGCTTCTGCCATTTTAAAGTAGTCAACTGGGTGGGGATTCCTATGGGTTGTAGCCTCAATGGCGCTGCCCATGCTGTCACAGATGCTATAACGGCACAGATAAAGATGAGTCCTCTATCCATCTCTATGACTTGTCCATGATTATGGGTGTGTGTGAGTGGGAGGATGTGGGCCCATGTGTGATGTTACAGGAAGGCACACAGTCTCTCCAATACAGAAGGGTTTCTGTTGCTGAGGAAGATCAGTTCTTTCTTCCCTTCCTCTGTCTGACCTGAGAGAGAGAGAGAGAGAGAGACGGAGCTCAGTTCAAAATGTCAATCTAAACCAACACAAACTGTGCCAGGGGTGAAAGTGAATAGCTCTTACTATGTGGGTGTTGTAGCCAGTGGCGGTCCAGGTAGTAGAGGTAACAGCTCTCAAACTCCTTCTCACTGTAGTTGGAGACTGGTACTGGGACAAACGGGTCCATGCTGTCAAAGCCCTCCTGTATGGGGAACACAGAAGAGGATAGAAGTGTTTATAGGTGAACTTATGTTTCTATTTGACTGGTCATACAATAACATGAAACATGATGTATGTAAACACGTCAGAAGAGTATTTTCCAAAACATCTAGATCAGTCCCTTCCCTTAGCCCAGATCAATAGACACCCAGGGCTGGAGGTTGTTTTTGGACTGGACATACAACATTATAAATCGGGATGTAATCATGACCCCTGACCTCTCCCAGCAGCTCCTGGGGCAGGTAGGCAGAGCTTGGAGCGTAGAGAGACCCTGTCTGAGACAGAGTGGCGATGACCGCCCCTCCACACTGAGGAGAGAGAGACATATATAGGGGTGGTGGTGTAAATCAGATTTAATTTTCTAATGTCTATTAGACAAAGAGGATAACTCCATGCAGTTCTGACCCAGTCATTGTTGATCATCTTCCTCAAGTTATGAACCAATGTCAACTCCTCTGGAGCCACCTGAGAGAGAGAGAGAGAGAGAGAGAGAGAGAGAGAGAGAGAGAGAGAGGGGGGAGAGAGAGAGAGAGAGAGAGAGAGAGAGAGAGAGAGAGAGAGAGAGAGAGAGAGAGAGAGAGAGAGAGAGAGAGAGAGAGAGAGAGAGAGACACATAGAAAAAGTAGAGAGAAGGGAAAAGTTACAAGAAGAGAGGATGAAATGGAGAGGAGAGAAAGAGACAGGTCCGTCAGGTACGCAATCTTTATACAGAAATTACAAAGACATGACAATGGAAGCACAGTGAGGTGAATGAATGTATAGGTGTGTATAAGTACTGGGCTCTTGTCCTCCTTCTTGAGCGTGGTCCTTCCCCAGAGACCGTTGACTCCATCAACAGCCACAGCTAGCCTGAAGCCCTCCACAGCCCCCTCTGTCCCCCCAGCCTGAAGCCTCAGCTCCTTTAGCACCGCCCCCACCACATCACTGCTGCTCTTCACACGAGACACTCCCTGGGGTGAAAACAAACATGGTTTAACAATGATACGTGGTATGAGATTCTTAAAAGAGAAGTGCACTGAACCAATTATGTTGCAGGACTGGAGCCCAGACGCAAGGCGTCCGCATGATTCCCAGCCGAAACAATTCGGAAGAGTTTGTGCATATATTATGACAACATTTTTGTTCATTTTGGACTTCTGTAAGGTTTTTTTGGGGGGGGCTGTTCAGGCACAAGTACATTTTTTCTTGAGGCAAGCCGAAGTCGGTAGCCGAAGTCTATGCCCCATTCGTCAGTGATTGGTCAACAGTAGGGATTCTTCAATAAAGTCTTTGTTGTCATTCAACAAGAGATTCCTCGTTTTCATGCACATTTTTTAATTGAGAAATACTGCACCAAACATCTTAGTTAGACTAAGATCTCCTTGGCAAAAACGCCAAAATTAATGACTGAGTTATTTTAGATTAATTCTGACTACGGCGTCTCAAAATGGACAAACAGCACTATTGATGCTTTTTTCTCATTTTTCAAGTGAAGGCCTTAAGGGATTATGCGAGCACATTCGTTCGGTTCGCCTAGCCGAGTTCGGCCGAACTGAAGCATGCTGACGCCTTAATACGGGGCAGGTTGACACTGGACTCACCATGTCCACCAGCTCCCCTAGTGGCCGTCCCTCCTCAGTGCTCTCTCTCTTAGTCCACACATACCGCTGCCTCAACTTGATCTAAATCAACAACAAGGGGAGACACAGTCACAAATACAGCATGCCTCAAGCTTACTTACATACAGTGCCTTCAGAAAGTATTCACACCACTTGACTTTTTCCACATTGTTGTGTTACAGCCTGAATTTAAAATGGATTCAATAGAGATTTTGTGTCACTGATCTACACACAATACCCCCCCCCCCCCTTTATTTTTTTTCAAAGTGGAATTATGTTTTTTTTTAAATGTAATTAGAAATGTTTATATGAAATGTCTTGAGTCAATAAGTATTCAAACCATTTGTTATGGCAAGCCTAAATAAGTTCAGGAGTAAAAATATTCTTAACAACTGTGTGCAATAATAGTGTTTAACATGATTTTTAAATGACTACCCCATCTCTGTACCCCACACATACAATTATCAGTAAGGTCCCTAAGTCAAGCAGTGAAAAATATTCCAAAACATACATCCTGTTTACAATATGGCACTAAAGAAACACTGAAAAAAATGTGGCATGAAATGTAGTTTTGTCCTGAATACAAAGTGTTATGTTTGGGGCAAATCCAACACATCACTCTTCATATTTTAAAAATGGTGGTGGCTGCATCATGTTATGGGAATGCTTGTCATCGGCAAGGCCCAGGGAGTTTTTTAGGATAAAAAGAAACAGAATAGAGCTAAGCACAGGCAAAATCCTAGAGGAAAACCTGGTTCAGTCTGCTTTCCAACAGACACTGGGAGACAAACACAAGGCCAAATATACACTGGAGTTGCTTACCAAGATGACATTGAATGTTCCTGAGTGGCCTAGTTACAGTGTTGACTTAAAATCAGCTTGAATATCTATGGCAAGACTTGAAAATGGCTGTCTAGCAATGATCAACAACCAACTTGACAGAGCTTGACACATTTTTAAAGAATAATGGGCAAGTATTGTACAATCCAGGTGTGCAAAGCTCTGAGACTTACCCAGAAAGACTCACAGCTGTAATTGCTGCCAAAGGTCATTCTAACATGTATTGACTCAGGGGGTTGAATACTTATCTAATCAAGATATTACTGTTTTATTTTCCATGAATTAAAAAAAACATACTTTTTCTTCCACTGACAACTTCTGTAGATCGTTGACAAAAAATGTCAATTAAATCAGTTTTAATCCCACTTTGTAACAACAAAATGTGGAAAAAGTATAGGGGTATGAATACTTTCTGAAGGCACTGCATCTTACTTCTAATGTTAGGATTAGGGGAGGGTAAGCTGATCCAAGATCTGTTGCTACAGGCAACATGTACCTGGCGCCCACTATTTATCTGAGGAGGAGGAGCTACCTTGGAAAGGAAGTGTTCATTGGTGGTTCTGAAGTTGCGTAGCCAGTTGGACGCCTGGATTGGCTGGTCGAAGCGGGAGGCGTGGTAGGAGGAGGGCAGCAGCTCCTTACAGTTCTTCACCCACAGGTGGGCTATAGAGAAGAGAGGAGAGGATCATCACAATCATTATTTTGTGTGTTGGGGTAGTGTGTGTGTGTGTGTGTGTGTGTGTGTGTGTTACTACCATCTGGAATGTGTAGTACTAGCCATCCCTGTGTGGAGCAGTAGTGGACAGTATGACAGAGAGACATGGTCTTCCCACTGCCCTTCACCCCATCTACACAACCAGTCAAGGTCAACACAAACACAGTTCAACACAATACAGGTAGACAACACTGGTCATAGAGCGGTACAGGGATGACGGTGTGTATATTAAAAATGTGTAAAGGCACAAAGGTACATTGAGGTGTGATCAGGTGTATTAGGTAGGGTAGGATACAGAGTAGGTAGCGCAGGGTGGGCTGGCTGTAGTCGGCTCTCTTCAGGTGAGATATCAGCTCCAGAGCAGGCTGCCTCACCATCACACAGCCCTCGTTAAATGTCTTCACCTGGACACGGGTACAGACAGTCAGTCAGTCATACTGTAACACCCTAACACATGCTCGGATGCGGACACACAATACCTGTTGTTGGTATCGTGGAGGCAGGCCGTGGGGGAAGACAGTGTGGAAGTGGGAGGGGGGCACAGTGTAGTACTGCCCTAGGTGCTGCTCCGAATGACAGGCCTGGGGACAGAGGGAGATTAAACATCAGTACTCTCCAGACTTATTACGACATGCTACAGTATACTAATAAAGTGGGATTGATTAGTTGATTGATTTCTTCCACCTACCGGGTCGTTCTCCTGTGTTCTGAAGATGGAGAATGTCTCCTGTCTCGTCTCCGACTCCATGGCAACCGCCTCCTGCTGCTGGCCACACCCACTGCCATGGAGCGGCCGCACCTGCGCTACCTGTCCGTGACATCATCACATTCCACAAGTAAGATGCAGGTGTAGGTGTTAAGCGTCTATCATAGTCCAAAACGTGTACACCTAAGCACAGCAGTGTTCTAGAATACAGGACCGTTAGAATGAACTACAGTGGTGAATCACAACATGCATTTTCACTAGTACCAGCAACCAGCACAACATCTCCAGAAAGACGTGTACTGTATATGTATAGGGCTGACTTTTCAAAATGCATTATCCCACGGAAACTGACATCACAATGCATATTAAATGTTAATAAATATGCATAGCTAGCACTAGCCCAAGATGTACTCTTAAGGAGCCTAATGTTACCGTTACTCCGTAAGGTCCAAGGACCTTATATGTTATTTTCAGAGGTAGACTAGCTCTGGCGGCCAAAACAGCCAAATACTACATGTAAACGCGAATCGATTCTCAATTGCCATACGGTTCTAGAAACATAAAGCCCTTTACATTCATATCAGATCAAAATAATTTCACAAATGCAAAATACACACCTACTGCACACCACAGGAGGTTGGTCGCACCTTAATTGGGGAGGTCAGACTTGTGGTAATGGCTGGAGCGGAATGGTATCGAATACATCAAATATGGGTTCCATGTGTTTGATGCCATTCCATTAGCTCCTTTACAGCCATTATTATGAGCCGTCCTCCCCTCAGTAGCCTCCACTGCTGTACATTGTTTTAACCGGCTTTATCACAGATGCAGCCAACAGTATTTTTCAGTGACAACACGTTTCTGGCGGCCTTCTTCCATTACAAACAGGTGTTCGGGGCATACTAAATAGCAGCACAGGTGGTCCCTCAGTCTTCCGTAAACACGCGCTGTAATATGAATTATGGCAATGTGGGAACACTAACCCTATAAAAGGTGTGTATCAATTTAACATTTTGTTTTTTGAAAATTGTTTCTCGCTGTTATTTAGGATAAGGAAGGTCCTTATGTTTCCAAAACTGTAACGCAAGCGATGCGTGTTAATGTTCAGACCGAGCGTCGGGGCTCTTAACTAAACTCACCCATACAGAAGACGCCTTCGTCCAATGACTTATGTGTAATGGAAATGTGAGTCGAGAGCTAGCACATGACAACAATTAGGTATAAGAGACTATAGTATTAGTGCAAGCCTCATGCTATGAATGTCATGGGATCTTGCACCATGGACTCACCGTTTGTCGTAATCTGAAGGATAGTCTGTGAAGGGCCATGTTCTGGAACATGAATAAGTACATCAACCCAGGTCAGTTTACACAGCTACACTGGTGCCATCTCTACTATTGTAGGGGCGACCTTGACTGTAAAATTTGTATTTTATTTTATTAGGACTAGCAAGCTATCTTAGCTCAATCGCTAGCTAACCTTGCATTAGCTAGCTAGATATCTGCTAGCATGAGACTGTAACATGCATCGTCATACAGTACACTGCAGCAAGACTACAACAACTGTAGGTACACTACAATTTACCAAGCAATTAATTCATTAAATTCCAAATTAAGATCCAAACAGAAAGGTCATGTAGTTATAGACGGTCTATTTTGAGAAACACTGAAGTTGCACAATTTCGGTCGAACTGTCACGGTGCTAAATCAGTGGACGTTGCCATTTTGGTTTGTAGACAAAGGATGTGACGTGGAGAGCTCGAACATGCGCAAATCCAGATGTCAATCACAGCTTTTGTAGCGCTAGGTGGTCTTATTTAGAACCAGTCTGATTTATATATAAAAATCATAATAATAATTGTCTACAGTTGGGATAGCCGGATGGTGGGTGATGAGAATAGTTGGCCTAAAATAGATTTAAGTCAATGGACCTAGGACCTAGGCCTATAGGTTTCCAATGGTTATGACAGGTGAAAAAAAAAACGTTATAAACACTCAGGATGATTCTATGCAAGATGGTCCCATCAATTCCAGTGTGGAGTATGCGCGAATGAAACCAAAAAATATAGTGTTTTAGTTTGTAAACATAATTATAGCCTCAGGCCTAATATTAGACATTCAACCACAGTAATGATATAGCTCAGTTGATAGAGCATGGCGTTTGCAACGCCAGGGTTGGGGTTCGATTCCCACGGGGGGCCAGTATGAAAAAAATATATAAAAAATGTATGCACTCACTAACTGTAAGTCGCTCTGGATCAGAGCGTCTGCTAAATGACAAAAATGTAAATAATGCTCTATAGTGATAATGTTTCAAATGAAATATAATTTATAAACAAAACAAAAAAAAACTGTAGGCCTTGGTTGTGTAGGCTTACAGGCTACTGGATCTCCCATAGCGCACATCAATCACCCTTCTCTCCCGCCTCTTGGAGCTTCTGAAAGTGTGGCGTGTGTTGCTTTCAGCTTGTTTGAGACTTCTGAAGCCTTCAACTCAGTGCTTCTTCTACGGGCGCTTTTCGCTCAGAAGCCCCGGTTTTGTGAATGGGCTTCAGTCCGCCCTGACTTCAACCATGCCTGGGTAGCGCAAGGAACGAATTCAGATATGCAAACAGGTAACTGCTTGGGAAAGAAGGGCCAAGAGAAAGCAAGGCTTGATGTTTCGGAGCTTATATGTCGTCGCCATTTTGTTAGTTTTTTTTGTTTTTATATCATTATGCATATCTAAATAATTTAGGCTATTTTGTGAACATACGTTTTTAGCTACTTTTTTGATCATTTAGATGCACATTGAACTGTTGAGTGTTTTTATTATTTCGGACAACTGCACATATAGCTTCTGAATACATTTTCTCATGAAAGTTGCTTTTGCTAAGAGATTGCTGTCTTATGTGCTCATCATTTATTACGAGTGAAGCTTGCAACGATGCAATCGAATAGAAAGTCTAGCTGTCAACAATGTTTTGGCACAGAATGACGCAGCCTCACCGGGGGCGTTCTCCGTTATCGAGCACAGTGCACGATCTGATCAGTCTGAAGGAAACAATGTAGCCTAACCTTCCCTTTCCCTGGATGAGAAATAGTTACAAAATAAACATAGCACTACTGCAGGGCAACAGGACTGACCCCCCCCAAAAAGTTTTTAGTACAAAATAAAAAAATAAATAGGATTTTATTGTTTATGTCAAAAAATACTACAATCACAAGGAATTCAGCTAAAAATGAGTATAATTTAGGAAACTGTTCCCAAGTATATAAACAAATAAAAAAAGAGACATAGCCTTTGTATGTGATCATGTCTCAATGTAATCAAGGTATGAAATTATTGTTATTTTCAAATACAATCTCTTATTAGGATTAGTTGTGGTCAATTTGCAGTGTACAAATTATTATAATTATGTTTTGGCCCCCGAACATTGACTCGGCGGCTGAATCTAGTTGCCTTCCCCTGCACTACTGTAACTAGCTTGCCACCTAGCTGTCGAGACAAGTTACCACGGAGAATGCTACTGTAGTGTCTTCAACCGAGCGCTATGAAAACAGCCGCGCAAATGTTCTCTTCTGTATCCAGCCAGCCTATGCGTAGGGTTTCCGAGGAGGAGTAGGCCAAGCGACTTTAGTTATGTAACCAAACCAATATCTGAATACATCGCATGATTGTTGATGGTTGTCGAGAGGATAGGGCAGTATCACCAAGCTCTCTGATCTTGTGTAATGTAGGCTAAACGCAGTTTTGGGACGGGCACGCTCGGTAAGTAGCACGATTATGTCTAATTTTGTAGCATATCAAACCAGCATGTTATGTTAGTTTGTAAGTATATGCTAGCGTGCTGTATCACAGTGTTGCAACAGTATTGCATCTATCATATCATTTATTATGGGGGTGTGGGACCAGGGTTGAATTCTCGCTTTACAGACTGTGATAATATTTATCAAGCCAATGTTGCTGACACAAGTATTATAAGGCAGACAGAGGACAGATGAGGGGGAGGAAAGGGGCATGGACTCATCACAAAAAAAATATTGTTTCATCATAGAGAATTGTGATCACTGACAGACATGTAATAGTTTAATGGTTAAATTGGTTAATTTCGTTGTGCAATAATATGTATTATTGGCAGATGTTCTGTGAAATAGGCTATATGAATGACAACAACAACAATGGCACGTGTCATGTCATTACCTACGTTATGTGTGCACTGTGCATAATGCCTACAAGCTGCCATAGTTCACACGACGCATCAAAGCCATTCGCAAAATATACTAGTGGGTAATGTTGTCATGACAGTGACAAGGTGAACGCGGGTAGATCACACAGCGAGTGCAGTACTGGACATCCCTCCCCTCCCCTCAGCTCCGCTCTAGATCAGCCAGCCAGTGTAGCAGCGACCAGGGTACAAAATGTAAGACCCACGGACCAAGAGCCTGATACAGCCAGTAATAACTGTGAAGAGAAGGGCAGAGAAAGAGAGTGTGTTTGTGTGTCACAACATTAGCTCTCTGAGATACATTGGTATCGAACATGTTAAAACACCTAGGAGGGAGGGGAGGGAGATACTGATAATCTATTATTGAGAAGATAATTGTATTGGATTCATCGTTTGTGTACCATGTCTCCTAAAGGTCTGAACCAAGAGTTTGATATCAGATCATTTCTTACATGAATATGTCACTTTGATTTGTCTTGCCTTCCAGGGCTCCTACTTGGTCATTTTGTAAATATATTTTATTTTCTGGAACTACTACATGTACCCCTCTCATTGATATCAAATTATTATTAGAGATGCACAAAAGGTTTTTGCACCCACCATGCGTCATGTGCGTAATGATGTGAGGTGAAATGTGTATATTTGGGGATGTGAGCACTCAGTTTATTTGTTTGACCTGACGAAGATCCGTTCGGATCGAAAACGTTGTCAATAAAGCGGTGAATTGGGAGCTTTAACAGTGTGCAGGCCTTGAACTTTACTAGTATTCTTTATTAGCCCAGCACCTATGTTTTTAAGGATGTGCATATGACCACAAACTTTTCTGTGTGTGCGTGTGTGTCTCATCAGCTTGTATGGAGTAGCGGTACCACTTAGTATACTGCAATACTATCTCAACCTATCACTATCATGTACACTGCATGACCAAAAGTATGTGCACACCTGTTTGTCGAATATCTCATCCAAAATCATGGGCGTTAATATGGAGCTGGTCCCCCCCCTTTGCTGCTGTAACAGCCTCCACTCTTCTGGGAAGGCCTTCCACTAGATGTTGGAACATTACTGCGGGGACTTGCTTCCATTCAGCCAAAAGAGTATTAGTGAGGTTGGGCACTGATGTTGGGCGATTAGGCCTGACTCGCAGTCGGTGTTCAAATTCATCGCAAAGGTGTTCGATGGAGTTGAGGTCAGGGCTCTGTGCAGGCCAGTCAAGTTCTTCCACAGCGATCTTGACAAACCATTTCTGTATGGACATCGCTTTGTGCACGTGGGCATTGTCATGCTGAAACAGGAAAAAACTATTGCCACAAAGTTGTAAGCACAGAATCGTCTAGAATGTAATTGTATGCTGTAGTGTTAAGATTTCCCTTCACTGGAACTAAGGGACCTAACCCGAACCATGACAAACAGACCCAGACCATTATTCCTCCTCCACCAAACTTTACAGTTGGCACTATGCATTGGGGCAGGTAGCATTCTCCTGGCATCCGCCAAACCCAGATTTGTCAGTCGGACTGCCAGATGGTGAAGCGTGATTCATCACTCCAGAGAATGCGTTTCCATTGCTCCAGAGCCCGGCGAGCTTTACACCACTCCAGCCGACGCTTGGCATTGCACATGGTGATCTTCGGCTTGTGTGCAGCTGCTCGTCCAAGGAAACCCATTTCATGAAGCTCCTGACGAACAGTTCTTGCGGTGACGTTGCTTCCAGAGGCAGTTTGGAACTCGGTAGTGAGTGTTGCAACCGAGGACAGACTATTTTTACACGCTACGCGCGTCAGCACTCGCCACACCCATTCTGTCAGCTTGTATGGCCTACCACTTTGCGGCTGAGCCGTTGTTGCTCCTAGACGTTTCCACTTTACAATAACAGCACTTACAGTTGACCGGGGCAGCTCAAGCAGGGCAGAAATGTTACGAACTGACTTGTTGGAAAGGTGACATGCTATGACGGTGCCACGTTGAAAGTCACTGAGCTCTTCAGTATGGACCTTTCTACTGCCAATGTTTGTCTATGGAGATTGCATGGCGGTGTGCTCGATTTTATACACCTGTCAGCAACAGGTGTGGCTGAAATAGCCAAATCCACTCATTTGAAGGGGTGTCCACATACTTTTGTATATACAGTATAGCGTATAATGGGATGCTCTGTCAGCAGTGTTGTCACAGAGCTGCTAATATACAAGTAGTTATGGCTGATAACAGTGACAGTCAGATGGTGATAGTTGGATATGAGAGGGTCATTAGAGTGATTTAACCCACTGCTCGTTGAGTGCTTACGATCACAATGATGATAGTGACAAGTCTATCCATCACTCTGACATCCGCAATAGCTGTAGACCTGCTGCTTAAAGGTAGACTGAGTGAAATTACTTTGCCATGAGCAGCACAGCGTGGTAACCAGGGCTCCAAAACAGCGGAGAAGTTGAGCCTCGCGCGTCTACGCTCAATTACAGTAGTTGTTGCGGAAATTGACCCACTATGCTGTTTACTTTCTGCATCTATGTCATATCGCTGAGTCTACCTTTAATGTTGAGATACCGTCGACTGCTGGTTAGTTAGCACAACAGACAATACCCTGGAGCAGACAGACAGGCTGTTTATAGGACTGAGGGTCATAACATTAGTATTTAGTCATAGTGAATAATACGATTAGCTTTTTTGTCTATCCAGTATGTATTGGCCACACCCCTTTCCTCAGTTTATCTACATGTAGGCTAAGCGTGGGCCTGCTTGTTGACTCATGGCACTTGTACTTGTGTTATCTAAACGCATAATGTAGCCTATTCCATAAATCTATATTCTGAGAATTAAAGGTATTTCAACCTGTCACTCAATTTAGCCAACTTGACATTGTATTGACAAACAGGGCTGTACTATACTATACTGTACTGTACTGTACTCTAGCTCACCATGTCTCCTTAGTCTTCATGTCACTGTGACCTCCACATATGTATACTCTCTCTCTCTCTCTCTCATTCTATTTCTGGGTTCTCTCTGTCCTTATATCTGGGTCAGGCCACAGTAGTGGTCACTGTAGAGGTGACCAGTAGTCAGAGAGATACTGAGCTCTACATGCTAACATGGTCTGACTGGAAGCCTCTTCAGAGGACAAGGACAAGGCACTGTTGAGAGACAGATGAGTTGTTTCATAAGAGGCTCTCCATAGAGAGTAAAGAATGTACAACAGGGTGTGTTTTATTAGGAAATGGAAGAGAGAGAGAGAGAGAGATACAGGAGATGGTGTTTGTCTTGGCGTATATTGGTCAGCACATAGAGACTACAGAGCAAGTGTGTGAGAGAGAGGGAGACAGAGAGTAAAGTATGGCTGTTCAGGGGAACGTTATTGCTGAGTGTGATACTTGCCTTAGCGTCACATTAAAAGTCAATTTACAATGGAGTAAATGAAAAGCTTACTTGACTTAGAGGAAACCAGAGGAGGGGGAGGAATTCACTCGTTTCCAAAAATACGTTTTGCCCGTTCCTACGGATTTGTGTTACACCACTACTGAGAGGGGAGGAGGGGAAAGTTCTGGAGGACGTGAATGGAGGGATTGAGGTTGAAGAGGAGAAAAAGACGGGAGAGAAGAGGGGGAGGAAATATGGTTTTGATTAACATGGATACGGTGCCTGGTGCTTGGTTGACCATTTTACTGTGTGGTCTGTTCTGAGAGAGAGAGAGGACGAAAAGAGAATTGAAGTATGCAAAGGGTTGCTGACAGACATGAAACAGAGAAGGTTGGAGAGAAAAGAGAGAAAAGAAAGAGGTGGACTACAGTAGAGGGGAGGGAGGGAGGAGGGAAAGGTAGAGGGATTGTGGGGTGGAGAGAAATCGAAGTTGGTATCGAGCATGAGCCCTTAGATCTGTGATCACTTCACGAACGAAAGAAAGAAAGATGGAGTGAGGAATGGAAGGAAGGAAGCAAGGAAGGAATGATACCTTTTTAAAGAATTTTGAACAGGGCCCCTGTTTTCCAGTAATTGTGGGCATTCTTGGAAAGGGCTGCTCTGCTGAGTGTGATTGGTCCCCTGGGGTTCTGTTCAGTGAGGTCATCAGTGAGGTCATCATCTGAATCATCTCCTGAGTGACTTTACTGCCATCTGCTTCTCACACACACACAAACACACACACACATACATATACACACGCGGCTTCGGAAATTGTATTGCAGAATTTTCTTCAGGACTTTGGACGGAGAGAGCGGGGGAAAGAGAGAGAGCTGACTCCAGTTGTAGGGTTTAGTATAGTGTTGGCTGCCAAGCTGCGTGATGCTGTGGTCAGCTGCAGTGGAGAACAGAAGATAGCCTACATGTAAGCTGACATTTAGCTGGTGTCTTTTGTCGTCTGTTGTAAGCATTATAGGAAGTGCCATAGAGGTAGTATAGTTTCTGTGTTTTCACTTTCTTGTAAAGTGCCCTACATTTGGATTGTCATTCTGTTGTTTTTCAGTAAAGCTGATAGGGGACTTTTCGTCTGTCGTTGTTGAATTTCTGCTACTAATGTCTGATGTCAGTGAAATGACTAATCTCTCTCTCTGTCTGTTTCTCTCTTTCACTCCATCCTTCTCAGCTCAAGCCTGACTGACAGACAGAGAGGGACAGAGCGCTGGACAGTTGGGTCAAGAAAGCCTTTTGACATTTCATCTCTGGACAGTACCTGTTCCCTCCCACCCTGGGTGCTGCACCCCCCACCCCTCCCCCTTCACATCTCTGATGGACCAGAGAGCGAAGGGGGGACCATCTCTACCTCCACCATCCACACCGCCTCTCCTCCTCCCTGCCCCGCCACAGCAGTACCCAGAGAAAGAGGTAGGCAGTGGGAAGCGGAAGAGGAGAGAGAAGGAAGGAGGAGGTGGTGCAGTACTGGAGGTGCTCATTGAGGGGCGCTGTGGCGCTGCAGGGCAGAGACGGCTCCCATTCCCAGGCAGAGAGAGGAGCTGCACTGAGGGCAATGTGAGGCTGAGGATCGGAGTCCAAGCGGCCAAACGCATCAAGAAACCCCCCAGGACCCTGGAGGGCTACGAGTATAAACCCACCATCAGGACCTACCAGAGGCCTGGGAGGGGGGCAGCGGGGAGGGGGGATCAGGAGGGAAGGGGGAGTGGGCAGGGGAACAGCCCTCAGGAGGAGGGGGACGGAGAGCAGAACCAGGGGTCGGACCCCAACACCACCCAGACCAGGAAGATACACTCCTCCTCGCCTCCGCCTTCATCACCACCATCATCATCATCATCATCATCATCATCATCAACAGCCCCTACAACCACCACTCCCAGCCCAGCCAACCCTCAGACTGCGCCAGCCAAACAGGTAAGAAGAGAACCACTACTACCTCACTGAATACCTGACTTGTTAACCGCTTACTACTAATTTATTACATTGACTAGTACTTCAGTTCTGTTTTATTTGTACACTGGGTCCCCTACAAACCTCTCTAGTGTGGAGAAGGAAAAGTCATGGATATTATAGTATTCACATTTGACACAATTGTATATTATTACACGTTTATCTAGGCCTATGCATGATATGCATTAGTGTACAATTAATGTACAGTATGTGTGTTTCCTATTAATTCTCCACCAGGCGTGTTATCCTGTCCCGAACACTCAGCGCTGTTCCTAATGGTTTATAATAATAAGGTGAAGTAAGTGATTGTCTGGATAGAGAAACTTAAACAGCAGCAGCAGTAGTGTAGTGGTGCATTAGAATATAGAGAACAGGACTATTAATAGTCACACAGCACAGCAACTATTAGCAGCTGATCCAGACATTGGTCCATCAGCTCTTATGACAATCACCTACCCCAGAGAGTAGATTATTGCTTTAGCTGCAAATACACCAGTCAGGCTGCAGCAACGCAGCTCACAAATGACAGGACAAGCATGAAATGTCAAGCCTCCTCATCTCTATTAGTGGGCATTTATAGCTACCAATAGCACAGCTGCCTTTCTCTGTCTTTCTCGATCGCTCTCGCTCTCTAATTCTCTCTCCTCTGTCTTCTTCTCTCTGTCTATTTTTACCTCCCCTCTTTTCTCTACCTGCTCTCATTTATCTTTCTCTCCACCTCTCTCTCTCTCTTTTTTGATAGCTCAGTTTCTCCTCATGGTGTGTCAACCTCATTTCAGTCTCCATCACCTCAGCTTCTCTCCTCCACTTTGTCCTAATTTCTCTCTCGCGCTCTCTCTTCCTCTCTCTCTCTTCCTCTCGCTCTCTCTTCCTCTCGCTCGCTCTCTCTCTTCCTCTCTCTCGCTCTCTCTCTCTTTCTCTCTCTCGCTCTCTCTCTTTCTCTCTCTCTCTCTCGCTCTTCCTCTCGCTCTCTCTTCCTCTCGCTCGCTCTCTCTCTCTCTCTCTCTCTCTTCCCCTCGCTCTCTCTTCCTCTCTCTCTCTCGCTCTCCTCTCTCTCTCTCGCTCTGTTTTTATGTCATTGTGTCCTTTAGCTTTCTTTCAACAGGCTTGCACCAGCACCCCACCCTTACTGTTTATCTCTCTCTCGTTTGCTCTCCTTTTCCTTCCCTCTTTCCTCTCCCTGTCCTCTCTCTGACCCACTAATGCTAATGAACTATGCAGCTCTGAAATACATTACATTTACATACAGTTGAAGTCGGAAGTTTACATACACCTTAGCCAAATACATTTAAACTCAGTTTTTCACAATTCCTGACATTTAATCTGAGTAAAAATTTCCTGTTTTAGGTCAGTTAGGATCGCCACTTTATTTTAAGAATGTGAAATGTCAGAATAATAGTAGAGAGAATTATTTATTTTAGCTTTTATTTATTTCATCACATTCCCAGTGGGTCAGAAGTTTACATACACTCAATTAGTATTTGGTAGCATTGCCTTTAAATTGTTTAACTTGGGTCAAACGTTTCGGGTAGCCTTCCACAAGCTTCCCACAATAAGTTGGGTGAATTTTGGCCCATTCCTCCTGACAGAGCTGGTGTAACTGAGTCAGGTTTGTAGGCCTCCTTGCTCGCACACACTTTTTCAATTCTGCCCACAAATGTTCTATAGGATTGAGGTCATGGCTTTATGATGGCCACTCCAATACCTTGACTTTGTTGTCCTTAAGCCATTTTGCCACAACTTTGGAAGTATGCTTGGGGTCATTGTCCATTTGGAAGACCCATTTGCGACCAGACTTTAACTTCCTGACTGATGTCTTGAGATGTTGCTTCAATATATCCACATAATTTTCCTTCCTCATGATGCCATCTATTTTGTGAAGTGCACCAGTCCCTCCTGCAGCAAAGCACCCCCACAGCATGATGCTGCTACCCCCGTGCTTCACGGTTGGGATGGTGTTCTTTGGCTTGCAAGCAACACCCTTTTCCCGCCAAACATAACAATGGTCATTATGGCCAAACAGTTTTATTTTTGATTCCTCAGACCAGAGGACATTTTCCAAAAAGTACGATCTTTGTCCCCATGTGCAGTTGCAAACCGTAGTCTGGCTTTTTTATGGTGGTTTTGGAGCAGTGGCTTCTTCCTTGCTGAGCGGCCTTTCAGGTTATGTCGATATAGGACTAGTTTTACTGTGGATATAGATACTTTTGTACCTGTTTCCTCCAGCATCTTCACAAGGTCCTTTGCTGTTGTTCTGGGATTGATTTGCACTTTTCATACCAAAGTACGTTCATCTCTAGGAGACAGAACGCGTCTCCTTGTCACGTTCGTTGAGAGACGGGTCAGACCAAGGCGCAGCATGGTATGCGTACATATTTAGTAATGACGATAAACACTTGACAAAAAAACAAAAGCAATGTAACGTGAAGCTCAAACAATGGCTACACACTAACAAGCCAAACACAAGTCAAGATCCCACAACTAAGGTAGGCAACATGGCTACCTAAGTATGATCCCCAATCAGAGACAACGAGCGACAGCTGCCTCTGATTGGGAATCACACCCGGCCAAACATAGAAATACACATTCTAGATCATAAACATAGAATCTAATAACATAGATCTCAACCTGAACTCACACCCTGACCCAACCAACAAGAGTTCTCTAGGTCAGGGCGTGACAGTACCCCCCCCCCCCCCCCCCCCCCCCCCCCCCCCAAAGGTGCGTACTCCGGCCGCACCAACCTGATTCATTAGGAGAGGGTCCGGGTGGGCATTCAGCCTCGGAGGCGGCTCAAGCCCTGTCTGGACCCTGGTGTGGGAGACCCCGAACCTGGAGAGGGGCTGACGTCTGGGCCTGGATCGGCAATCCTCCCACGATGCACCAAGCCCTGTCTGGACCCTGGTGTGGGAGGCCCCGACCCTGGAGAGGGGCTGACTTCTGGATCTGGAGTGGAGCCGCTGACCGGAGCTGGACTAGGCACCGGTGGAGCGGACTGCTCTGGCTCTGGAGTGGATCCGCTGACCGGAGCTGGACTGGGCACCGGTGGAGCGGACTTCTCTGGCTCCGGAGTGGATCCGCTGACCGGAGCTGGACTAGGCACCGGTGGAGCGGACTGCTCTGGCACTGGACTGGAACAGCTGACCGGGGCTGGACTAGGCACCGGTAGAGCAGATTACTCTAGCACTGGAATGGAGCCGCTGACCGGAGCTGAACTAGGTACCGGTGGAGCGGACTGCTCTGGCTCCGGAGTGGAGCCGCTGACCGGAGCTGGATTGGGCACCGGTGGAGCGTACTGCTCTGGCTCCGGAGTGGAGCAGCTGACCGGAGCTGGACTGGGAACACGCACCACTGGTCTGGTGCGAGGGGCAGGCACGGGTCGTGCCGGACTGGAGACACGCACCACTGGTTTGGTGCAAGGAGCAGGCACGGGCCGTGCCGGACTGGATACATTTACATTTACATTTTAGTCATTTAGCAGACGCTCTTATCCAGAGCGACTTACAGGAGCAATTAGGGTTAAGTGCCTTGCTCAAGGGCACATCGACAGATTTTTCACCTAGTCGGCTCGGGGATTAGAACCAGCGACCTTTCGATTACTGGCACAACGCTCTTAACCACTAAGCTACCTGCCGCTTATACACGCACCACTGGTTTGGTGCGGGTAGTATGTATGGGCCGTACCGGACTGGATATGCGCACCACTGGTTTGGTGCGGGGAGCAGGTACAGGGCGTACCGGGTTGGCGACATGCACCACTGGTTTGTTGCGGGGAGCAGGTACGGGCCTTACTGGACTGGATACGCGCACCACAGGTTTGGTGTGGGGAGCAGGTACGGGGCGTACCGGGCTGGCGACAGGCACCACTGGTTTGGTGCAAGGAGCTGGCACAGGCCATACTGGGCTGTGGAGGCGCACTGGAGGTCTGGAGCTTAGAGCTGGCACAACCCGTCCTGGCTGGATGCCCACTTTCGCACGGCACGTGCTGGGCGCTGGCACAGGACACACTGGGCTGTGAATGCGTACCTCCGCATACCTAGGTTCTTCAATGAACTCACGCTCCTTTTGTTGCCTGACCAGCTCCTCTCTCAGTGCCTCCACTATTTCCTTCTCCCTACGGGCCTCCTGCAGCGCCTCCTCTGTAAGGGAGCTCTCCTGCTCTATTCTCCCTATCAGCCCCCGTAATGTGGTGGCCTCCTCTCTTAAACTCTCGATCCGCAGGTCTTGGAGGACCTCTAATATAGCGGCCTCCTCCTCTATAGTCAGCCCTTTCACGGCCTCCTGCTGCCTCGTCGTCCACCCCGTGTGCCCCCCCCAAAACAATTATTGGGGCTTCTTCTCTGGCTTTCTTCATGACCGAGCCCTTATGAGTCGCCGTTTCTCCTCTCCTGCCTGGGCTTCCTCCTTCGCCCAGGGTCCTCTATCGGCTACACTCTCCTTCATCGCCTCCCGATAACGGACGGCCTCCTCCTCAGTAATCCTCCCCCAACTGAGGAGGACATCTACTAAGGTTACCTCCTGTTGAGTCCCAGGCGTTTGCTCCTTCTGGGCACGCTGCTTGGTCCTTTTATGGTGGGATCTTCTGTCACGTTCGTTGAGAGACGGGTCAGATCAAGGCGCAGCGTGGTATACGTACATATTTATTAATGACGATAAACACTTGACAAAACAACAAAAGCAACGCAACGTGAAACTCAAACAATGGCTACACACTAACAAGCCAAACACGAGTCAGCGACAGCTGCCTCTGATTGGGAATCACACCCGGCCAAACATAGAAATACACATTCTAGATCCTAAACATAGAATCTAATAACATAGATCTCAATCTGAACTCACAACCTGACCCAACCAACAAGAGTTTTCTAGGTCAGGGCGTGACACTCCTTCCTGAGCGGTATGATGGCTGTGTGGTTCCATGGTGTTTATACTTGCGTACTATTGTTTGTACAGATGAACGTGGTATCTTCAGGCGTTTGGAAATTGCTCCCAAGGATGAACCAGACTTGTGGAGGTCTACAATTTTTTTTCTGAGGTCTTGGCTGATTTCTTTTTATTTTCCCATGATGTCAAGCAAAGAGGCACTGAGTTTGAAGGTAGGCCTTGGAATACATCCACAGGTACACCTCCAATTGACTCAAATGATGTCAATTAGCCTATCAGAAACTTCTAAAGCCATGACATCATTTTCTGGAATTTTCTAAGCTGTTTAAAGGCACAGTCAACTTAGTGTATGTAAACTTCTGACCCACTGGAATTGTGATAAAGTGAATTATAAGTGAAATAATCTGTCTGTAAACAATTGTTGGAAAAATTATTTGTGTCATGCACAAAGTAGATGTCCTAACCGACTTGCCAAAACTATAGTTTGTTAACAAGAAATTTGTGGAGTGGTTGAAAAAACGAGTTTTAATGACTCCAACCTAAGTGTATGTAAACTTCCGACTTCAACTGTACCTCTACTTCCTTGTCAACAAGGGCACTATGCTGTAAATGATTAGAAAATAGCAATGGGCTAGTACATTAACAGAACTATCATAGGTCTAACCGGGATTCTTTTGGAGATATACAAATCAATACCTGTAAATTACCTAGATCTTGAGTGATAGATGACATAATAAATGACCAATCTGATCTGATAACAATGTGTTTATAACCATGTTTTCATCCCAGCAGGTCCCTGTGAACCTGGCCCATAAGAAGTCAGACACCCCACCAGAGAAACCAAGGCACCCTGACCCACCTGCTCAAATGGATCAGGCAACCCCCTCTTACCCCACGGCTTCATCCTCCCATTCCCCCCCTCCCTCATCACCCCGTTCCCCCTCGGTGAAGGACCCTAGCAGTGAGGCAGGTGTTAATGGTGAGGGAGGTATGCTGAAGGGGGGAGTACCTACAGTCACCTGCCGTCCTACCAGACTCACAAAGGTCAAAGGTCGCAAACAGAACTGTTCTTCCTCAGCCGCCCCCACTAACGTGAACTCAACAACAAGACCTCCAGCCTCCAGCCCCCATCGGGCTGACCTTGCAGCCCAGGACAGGACTACAGGCTTCAGCTGCCCTCCTACACCGCCCCCATCCACACCCCTACATCCAGACCAGAGAGGAGCCCCAGTGGCTGATGGGAGACTGAGTCCTGCTGCCTCCCTCACCAGCCTGAGCAGGGGACCATTACCACAGTCCTCCGTGGGAAATGAGAGAGGGAGAGAGGAGAAAGCAAAGAAGAAGAAAGAGAAAGATGAGAAAGCGAGGGGTGAGAAAGGGAAGGGCAAGAGAGGGGAGAAGGGGAGAGGGAAGGAAGACAGGGGGAGGAATGAGAGTCCAAAGATGGACAGAGATGAGAAAGCAATGGATGAGGGAAGGAAGGAGGGAACTGGGATGGATGAGAGAGGGAGGGATATGACTGGGAAGGAGGAGAGAAAGGGGGAAGAGGACAAGGAAAGCGAGAAGCCCAGAGACTTGAGGATGAATAAATCGCCCTCTTCTACAAGGTGTCAGATGTTGTCTGAGGTTCAGAGCAGGAAGACAGGTACACCCAGCCCAAACCCAGACCTGACCAGCAGAACAGGGGAATCAGATGATCCAGGTGGCCCCTCAAGACCCACCGTCTATCCCTCCAACCCCTCCTCTCCCCTCACCTCCCTCCCTCCTCCCTCTCTCTCTCTCCGCTCCTCCTCTCCTCCTACCTCTTCCCGAGAGCAGGACAGCCGTCCGCTGAAGAAGCGTAAGACCCGACGGCCAAGCTGGACCAGGCTGGTGAACCGGGCACAGAGACTGGCAGAGAACCCAGATGGCCCCCAAGATGCCCCCTTAGTTGCCCCACTGACCACCACTACCCCCCAGACACCCCCCACTACCCCCCAGACACCCCCAACTACCAACTCACCCAACCTTCGGTCAACTGAGTCATGCCTAGCCCCCTTCGTTCTTCCACCCCCCAGTCCGTCCTCTCTCTCCCCCTCTACCTCCACCCCTGTGAGACCCAGACCAGCAGGGCGACCCCCATCCCCCACCCAGACTCACCTGTTGACCTCTGATCCTAGCCCTTCACCTGGACCTGACCGTCCCGTCTTTCAGGCCAGAAAAAGGGGTCGCCCCAAATCCCAAACCTCGAGCATGGACGAACCTCCACCCAGACACTTGCCCAAACCTAACCGAGCTGAGGTGCTCCCTCATGGGCATGATGAGACTCTGGACCCCCATGTGCTCAACCCAGTGCTGGATCACAGTCCCACCCTCACCAATCCCTCTAGCCCCAACCCCACACCCAGGAAACGAGGTCGCCCCAAACGGCTGCCCCCCTCCCCCCTCCTCCCCAAACAGACTCTCCAGGACCAGAACAGGGGTACCCTGACCCCCTCTGGAGGTGAGGAGGGGGGTAAAGACTTCCCCTCTGAAAAGGGGAACAGGCAGCTGAGGATGAGGAGCATCATCGGAGAGATGAAGAGGAGGAAGAGGAGGCTACTCAGGGAGATGCTTTCTGGGTGTGGTTGGGGGGAAGGTAGAGAGAACTCTCACGGGGGTGAAGGAGGGGTGTGTGGGTCGGCTACAGCACCCTCCCTGTCCTCCTCTTTTGGGGGTAACCTAGGTCCCCAGATCAACGTGAGTAAGAAGGGGACCATCTACATGGGGAAGAGGAGAGGACGCAAACCCAAAGCTCCAGCTAACTCTAACCCTGCCTCTCAGTCCACACTGTTCACCAGTCTCTCTGGTCCCTCTCTCTTCTCCTCTCCACAGTCCCAGCCCCATCCTCCCCTCCCTCACCCATTCCCCTCCCCATCTCTCACCCACTCCAGTGGAGCCCAGAGCCCTTACAGTGATGGAGGCTTCACAGAACCAGCTCCCTCCCTCTTCCTCCCCCACACCTTCACCCTCCCCTCACCCTCCTCCTCCTGCGCATCGCCACGTCCTCTCTCCTCCTCATCCCTCTCTCCCTCCCTAAAGAGGAGTTCTCCAGGTCAGGCACGACATCCCCTCTTCCACCATCCCTCCAGCAGACTCTCTTCTCCTCCTCCTCCTCACCCTCCTCACCCCCACCTGCCTGTCTCCCTTGCTCACCTGAAAGAGGCCACACCCTCACCTATCAGCGAATCACACAGCGAGGAGATGTTGCCTAGTGACAGTGTGATTGGAATGGACCACAACAGTATCTCAGAGCGGGGGGAGAGGAGGGGCCGTGGGAGAGGGGGGGTAACCATGGGAATGACCTCAGAGGTCACCAGGTCAGTGTTCCAGACAGGCTTGGGGATCAGCCTGAAGGGTCAGAGACAACTGTCTCCCTCCATGTTACCAGAACACCCCTCCCCTGTACCCTCACCCCTCAGAGTGTCGGCCCCCTCCGCCTCCCCCAGACACACACACCCTGCTACCCCTCCTTCTGCCTTAGTGGAACCCAGAGACAGACAGAGGCACAGGCGGAGGGGGTACGAATGCCCCTATACCTGCCCCCCCTGCCCCTGCCTAGGGCACAACCAGCGCTCCCACCTGGACCTCTGCCCCTGCCTCGCACACAACACACTCAAAAGACAGAAACACAAACGCAAGAGGAAGTACCAGCACCTGCTCATGCACGCGCACGACCCAGACTTCCTGTCTGAACTGGACGATCTTATTGGGCAGTTCAGCGAGGTCCGCATCGGGCGCCACCGGGATTGGGCCAGACTGGATCTCGATGAGAGTGGGGAGAAAAGACGCCCCTCTTCCTCATTGTCATCGCATAATTTCCGCTCAAACGTTTACAGAATCAACTTGAGTGGATACTACTCGCCTCAACCCCTGTCTTACCCCCCTCATCCCTCCTTCTCCCCCCTCCACCCCCACCCCTGCCACGGCCTGCCATATGGCAGCAGAAAGCCAGAGCGGAGGTTGAGCTGTGGCTGTCCCAACAAGCCCTGTGAGTCCCTAGACCAGGGTGACTGTGGCCAGGGGCGGAGGTGTCCCTTACAGGGTAACACAGGGCACCTCCATCCCTCCTCTCTCAGTACCCCCCTGTCCTCCTCCACCACCTCTTCCACAACCCCCATGCCTCTGGGTTTTGGCTACTACAGAGGCTATCCTCTGACCATGGCCCATTACCCAAACCCCCACCTCCACCCCTCCTTTCCCCTGCCTCCCCCTAACCCCTACGCCCCCCACCACCCCCACCTCCACCCCCCTCACCTCCTCCTCAACCCAGCCAGGTTCAACAGGAGGAGGAGCAGGCAGCTGAGGGAGGCTGGGTTGGGTGGAGGAGGAGGTGAGGACGTGAGGGGTAGGGGTGAGGGAGAGAGGGACGGGGTCCGTTCCTGTCCAGCAGGGTCCATCCCTGGTCGGTCCTGTGCCTGTGGGGGGAGTGAACACAAGCTCAGACACAAACATCGTCACAGACAGCGTAATCGTGAACGAGAGGAAGAAGAGGAGGAAGAGGAGGAGAGAGTGGCAGGGTCACAGCCAAGGTCAGAGTTCACCACAGGGTCTAGAGGAAGTAGAAAGACTGGAGGACAAGGGAGTGCTGGGTTGATGGAGTCTCCATGGCAACATAGGCACGGCAAATACCCCTCTGCTTTCTCCCCTGCTTCTGCTAAACCAGCCTCTTCATCATCATCATCATCATCAGAGAGGCTCAAACACACACCCCTCACCTGTCTAGGCTCCTCTCACCTGTCCTCGTTTGGGGAGGCCTGGGGGGGTCGGCAGAACCCCTGGCTGAGGAGAGGGGGGCTGGGGGCAGGATTCAGACCCCCCGACCCCACCTGGGGCACTCTGACAGAGGGGCAGAGGACGGCCGCTGTGGGGAGGTCAGAGAGAGAGGCGGGGGAGAGCCACACACCCTGTCACAGCACCTTCACCCCTCAGACACACACCAATCTCTTCACCTCCTCTGCCACCAGTGGGAGGGGCATGAGGAGCGGAAGAGACAATTGGAGACCAGGGAGCCAAGACGGGTCACTGAGGAGGGAGGAGCCATCACAGACCGAGAGGAGAGGCACAGGTGAGAGAGAGAGACCCAGGACAGCAACACAATTAGACCCAACCAAATCATGAGAAAACAAAAAGATTATTACTTGACACATTGGAAAGAATTTACACAAAAAAATGAGCTAACTAGAATGCTAAGGCCCTAAACAGAGAGTACACAGTGGCAGAATACCTCACCACTGTGACTGACCCAAAATTAAGGAAAGCTTTGACTATGTACAGACTCAGTGAGCATAGCCTTGCTATTGAGAAAGGCTACCGAAGGCAGACCTGGCTCTCAAGAGAAGACAGGCTATGTGCACACTGCCCACAAAATGAGGTGGAAACTGAGCTGCACTTCCTAACCTCCTGCCAAATGTATGACCATATTAGAGACACATATTTTCCTCAGATTACACAGACCCACAAATAATTTTGATAAACTCCCATATCTATTGGGTGAAATACCACAGTGTGCAATCACAGCAGCAAGATTTGTGACCTGTTACCTCAAGAAAAGGGCAACCAGTGAAGAACAAACACCATTGTAAATACAACCTATATTTATGTTTATTTAATTTCCCTTTTGTACTTTAACTATTTGCACATCATTATAACACTGTATATAGACATAATATGACATGTGAAATGTCTTTATTCTTTTGGAACTTTTGTGAGTGTAATGTTTACTGTATTTCACTTTAGTTTTATCTATTTCACTTGCTTTGTGGGGGGGGGGGGGGGAGAGCGAGAGAGAGTGAGACTGCATGACCAGTCATGCACACTCTCACATTATTTTCCCCTCATTTGTTAGTTCATTCTCACAGTCTGTTAATAGCCCTTCCAGTCCGATCTTACAAATGTTTCTGCTTGTGAAGTTGGCCGCTTGCTGTGCTGTTTGAGCCCTGGGCTATGAAGCTATGAGCAGAACACAGTCATTAGTTAACCAACAGTCTCTATGTATAGCCCTGTCCATGTCTCACTGTCTCAGCTGCTGCATGCCTCGCTGCCTGCCTGCCTGCATGGCCAACATACTAAAATGTACACTGGCTGGCTGGCTGGCCAACATACTATAATGTACACTGCCTGGCAGGCTGGCTGGCTGGCCAACATACTGTACTGTACACTTGCTGGCAGGCTGGCTGGCCAACATACTGTACTGTACACTGGCTGGCAGGCTGGCTGGCTGGCCAACATACTGTACTGTACATTACTTGGCAGCTGGCTGGCCAACATACTGTAATGTACACTGCTTGGCTGGCTAACATATTATACTGTACACTGCCTGGCTGGCTGGCTGGCCAACATACTGTAATGTACACTGCCTGGGTGGCTGGCTGGCCAACATACTGTACTGTACACTGCTTGGCTGGCTGGCTAACATACTATACTGTACACTGCCTGGCTGGCTGGCCAACATACTGTACTCTACACTGCCTGGCTGGCTGGCTAGCCAACATACTGTAATGTACACTGCCTGACAGGCTGGCTGGCTGGCCAACATACTGTACTGTACACTTGCTGGCAGGCTGGCCAACATATTGTACTGTACACTGGCTGGCAGGCCAACATACTGTACTGTACACTGGCTGGCTGGCTGGCCAACATATTGTACTGTACGCTGGCTGGCTGGCTGGCCAACATACTGTACTGTACACTGCCTGGGTGGCTGGCTGGCCAACATACTGTACTGTACATTGCTTGGCAGCTGGCTGGCCAACATACTGTACTGTACATTGCTTGGCAGCTGGCTGGCCAACATACTGTACTGTACACTGCTTGGCTGGCTAACATATTATACTGTACACTGCCTGGCTGGCTGGCTGGCCAACATACTGTAATGTACACTGCCTGGGTGGCTGGCTGGCCAACATACTGTACTGTACATTGCTTGGCAGCTGGCTGGCCAACATACTGTACTGTACATTGCTTGGCAGCTGGCTGGCCAACATACTGTACTGTACACTGCTTGGCAGCTGGCTGGCCAACATACTGTACTGTACATTGCTTGGCAGCTGGCTGGCCAACATACTGTACTGTACACTGCTTGGCTGGCTAACATATTATACTGTACACTGCCTGGCTGGCTGGCTGGACAACATACAGTACTGTACACTGCTTGGCTGGCTGGCAAACATACTATACTGTACACTGCCTGGCTGGCTGGCTGGCCAACATACTGTACTCTACACTGCCTGGCTGTCTGGCTGGCCAACATACTGTAATGTACACTGCCTGACAGGCTGGCTGGCTGGCCAACATACTGTACTGTACACTGCTTGACTGGCTAACATATTATACTGTACACTGGCTGGCAGGCCAACATACTGTACTGTACACTGGCTGGCTGGCTAACATATTATACTGTACACTGCCTGGCTGGCAGGCTGGCCAACATACAGTAATGTACAATGCCTGGGTGGCTGGCTGGCCAACATACTGTACTGTACACTGCTTGGCTGGCTAACATATTATACTGTACACTGCCTGGCTGGCTGGCTGGCCGGCCAACATACTGTAATGTACAATGCCTGGGTGGCTGGCTGGCCAACATACTGTACTGTACACTGCTTGACTGGCTGGCTAACATACTATACTGTACACTGCCTGGCTGGCTGGCTGGCCAACATACTGTAATGTACACTGCCTGGGTGGCAGGCTGGCCAACATACTGTACTGTACACTGCTTGACTGGCTGGCTAACATACTATACTGTACACTGCCTGGCTGGCTGGCCAACATACTGTACTCTACACTGCCTGGCTGGCTGGCTGGCCAACATACTGTACTGTACACTTGCTGGCAGGCTGGCTGGCCAACATATTGTACTGTCTGCTGGCTGGCAGGCTGGCTGGCCAACATAATGTACTGTACACTGGCTGGCAGGCAGGCTGGCTGGCTGGCCTACATACTGTACTGTACACTGGCTGGCAGGCAGGCTGGCTGGCCAACATACTGTACTGTACACTGGCTGGCTGGCTGGCCAACATACTGTACTGTACACTGGCTGGCAGGCTGGCTGGCCAACATATTGTACTGTACACTGCCTGTCTGGCCAACATACTGTACTGTACACTGGCTGGCTGGCTGGCAGGCTGGCTGGCTGGCCAACATACTATACTTTACACTGGCCGGCTGGCTGGCAAACATACTATACTGTCTGCTGGCTGGCTGGCAGGCTGGCTGGCCAACATTCTGTACTGTACACTGGCTGGCTGGCCAACATACTGTAATGTACACTGCCTGGGTGGCAGGCTGGCCAACATACTGTACTGTACACTGCTTGACTGGCTGGCTAACATACTATACTGTACACTGCCTGGCTGGCTGGCCAACATACTGTACTCTACACTGCCTGGCTGGCTGGCTGGCCAACATACTGTACTGTACACTTGCTGGCAGGCTGGCTGGCCAACATATTGTACTGTCTGCTGGCTGGCAGGCTGGCTGGCCAACATACTGTACTGTACACTGGCTGGCAGGCAGGCTGGCTGGCTGGCCAACATACTGTACTGTACACTGGCTGGCAGGCAGGCTGGCTGGCCAACATTCTGTACTGTACACTGGCTGGCTGGCTGGCCAACATACTGTACTGTACACTGGCTGGCAGGCTGGCTGGCCAACATATTGTACTGTACACTGCCTGGCTGGCTGGCCAACATACTATACTGTATACTGCCTGTCTGGCCAACATACTGTACTGTATACTGGCTGGCTGGCTGGCAGGCTGGCTGGCTGGCCAACATACTATACTTTACACTGGCCGGCTGGCTGGCCAACATACTATACTGTCTGCTGGCTGGCTGGCAGGCTGGCTGGCCAACATTCTGTACTGTACACTGGCTGGCTGGCCAACATACTGTACTGTACACTGGCTGGCTGGAAAAACCCTAGAAGGAAAGGCTGCTCAGTCAGTGTTAAAGTTGGGGAATTTTGGAAAGATCGGAAAAAAGGAGATACTTGGGGAGAAGTGATGGATAGAGGGATGCCGGGGGACCGATAGTGAGGGAGGACAGAGAGGGAGGGTGGAGGGAGGGAGGGAGGGATATGTTTGGCTGTGGCACATCATCTAACCAGACACATATGTGACTGAGCACACACACACACACAGCCCACACATTGTTTCTAATATATTGTGTGTGTGTGTGTGTGTGGGTGTGTGTGTGTGTGTGTGTGTGTGTGTGTGTGTGTGTGTGTGTGTGTGTGTGTGTGTGTGTGTGTGTGTGTGTGTCTGTGTGTGTGTCTGTGTGTCTGTGTGTCTGTGTGTCTGTGTGTCTGTGTGTGTGTGTGTGTGTGTGTGTGTGTGTGTGTGCATACCAGAGGTGGCTTGTAGGAGGAGACCTAGGCGGACGGGCTGTTTGTAATGGCTGGAATGTAATCAGTGGAATTGTACCAAACATATAAAATACATGGAAACAACGTGTTTGACTCCATTCCATTAATTCCATTTCAGCCATTACAACGAGCGTCTTCCTAAAGCTCATCCCACCAGCCTCCTCTGGTGCATACCGTGTGTATGTGTGCTTGACTGCTTGTTGTGTTTCCCAGAAGGGGAGTAGATGATTTGAGGGGAAAACCAGGCAGCAGTGTAGAGTCACCCCATCCCTGTTCACCGTGACTCACAGGGACACACTGAGACAGACTGCTGCTGTTTCAATTACTGATACATATACACCTCTCCTCTCTCTCTCTCTCTCCCTCTCTTTACTTCCCACTCATTCCCTTTCTCCTCCCTCTCTCTCCCACCTCTGTCTTATCTCTTTTCCCCATCTCTCTTCTCTGTCTCCCATCTCTCTCTCTCCCTGTCCTCGCTCCAATGACTGCTCTCTGGACTCAAGGCCCACACTATGACCTGAGCAGGAGGCAACTGAAGTGGCTGAGAACCGGTCAACGTTTTGGGGCTAAGAGAGGGCCTGGACGACCCAGGAAGAACCCTCTACCCTCCCCCTTGGTCTCCCCCTTCCTCTCCTGTACAACCCCACCAAACCCTCCAACTGAGACACACGTCCAGAACAGAGACAGAAACAGAGGAAGTAGAGGAGGAGGAGATACAGTGCAAGAGGTGATTGAAGCTGTGATTCGGCGCCAGAGGAGGAGAAGACTGAAGAGGAGGCGCATTGAGGAAGAGGAGAAAGAGGAGGGTGAGCATCCACCCTGTCTCCAAAGGTAAACCGTCAGAACTCACCCTTATCCCAACTGACCCAGCGGGTGCACTCGCAGATGCTCGCAAAGTTTAACTCAGCAACATTTCACTCCCACAGCGATCAAAACGTTACTGAGAAAGTATAGAAAATGCATGCTATTTTACATGCCCTGCAACTAGCTGCTAGATGTGCACTGAAGACTCAATACCTCACACAGACAAAGTATATTAACACATGGTTGACAGCACTGTGTGCTAAGCCAGTGCCCTTTCTTTCTCTCTCTCTCTCTCTCTCTCTTTTTCTTTCTTTCTATCTTTCTATCTCTCGCTCTCTCTCTTTATACCTTCCTCTTAGTTCTGGTGAAGGTGAGCCAGTCACCCACACCCCCACCATATGCACAGGCCAATCAGAGCTAAGCCAAGCTCCATCGCTAACCCCGGCCAGCCAATCAGATAAGGGAGCTGACCAGCTGCCTAGGAAGAGGTTTCAGAGGGCAGGGCTCTACTCAGATGACTACAAAACTACAGAGTGAGTTATCATGCACCCGTTCACACAAACTAACTTCACATACTTTGAATTTATTTCACAATTGGTGTGTCTTCTATTAATTTCATTGTGTAAATGTGTCTCTTCCCCAGTCCCTCCTCTCAGAGCCAGCTGAACAGAGAGAGACTGGAATATACACCAGGAGAACAAGACTACAGCCTCCTGCCTGCTCCCATACATGTCGGTGAGTGTGTGTGTGTGTGTGTGTGTGAGATTGTGTGTGTGTCATGTTTTTAACCCCCCCCCCCCCCTTCTCTCTCATAGGGAAGTACTTAAGAATGAGACGTATTGACTTTCAGTTGCCTTTTGATGTCCTGTGGCTCTTCAGGCACAACCAGGTAACACACACACATACACTATACACAATATACAAACACACACAAACACACACACTTGAATGACCATGTCTCTGTGTGTTCCAGCTCCACAAAGAGCCTGATGTTCCTCTGACCAGAGAGATCTCATCCCGTGAGTACCCTAAAGTCAGAGCTGGCTTCTGTCTGTGCATACAGTGCATACCATACACAATGTTTATACTGTAGTGTGTACATCAAGACTTGACTTCAACATGACTTACCACCCTACCTGGTTGGCGGGAGACATCCAAGTGTTGCAGTGACACGTTGAAGGTGTTCAGTCTGTGTGGAGGGGTCCGTACCTCACTATCTCTCTTTCTGTCTTTGTCTTCCTCCCAGGCCAACCAAAGGAGAAGAGCCTGTCCAGTCACCAGACAGGGGTGTCCCTCCCTCCCTCTCCCTTGGAGGAAGTTTCCAGTCCCAGTAAGAAGCTGTTTCCCCACCTGGACATGGAGCCTATGACCACCAGTGACAGGTAAAGACAGAAGAGAACCCACCATGTCAATACACATGGAGGAACAGACTAGTTGTTTGTGTGCATTTATCAAAATAATAATAATGATGATCTTATTGATGTATTTGTTTGATTGTCAGGGTGTTCGTCCTGAAACAGCACGTGTTCCTTTTAAGGAACTGGGAGAGGGTCAGTGACAGACAGATACGCCTGAGGAGGGGGAGAGAGGGGGAGCGAGAGAAAGAAGGAGAGAAGGATGGAGGAGGAGTTTCCAGCGATGTAGCTACTGGGGACAACAACAGCATGTCAGGTCCATGAAGCAAGTGTGTGTGTTAGTTTAAGTTTTTGTAGGTGTGTGTGTGCTCGCCCGCCTGTGTGTCATTGTGTTTTATTTGAAATGTGTTCATTGTCTTTCAGTAGTACTGTACTGAATGGATGTTTATATGGACATAAATGTGTGTGTTCATCTCAGTGTTCAGTTTAGCTATCTGTTTTACAGTATTTATTTAGTCATATCGTATTCAGCATTACACACACAGCAGTTTTCCGACCACAGAAATAACTGTCATCTCTTCACTGCCGTCCAAGAACATCCAGCTAGGTTCAGCTTTCCCCATAAACTATCAACCAAACTTTATTTCCATCAAACAGTCACCAGCCAAGAACAGACACACATAAGGGAATTTAAGGACATCTACTGTACACACACACACACAAAACCATCCATGGGCACTAAAGTTATTTCCTCTCCCTGTAGGTCGACGAATGTCTGTGAAGAAGAAGGTTGTGTTGACTAGTGAGCCCCTTCGTGATCCCCAGTGCCCCCCTAACCCTCTCAGCACCACACCCCATGTGAGTACTCTACTCTGTACTGTAACTGTAAACAGATTCACTCATTACAGTGTCTCCCATGAGAGCTGCCTTGAAGTGTAATGTATTCATACAGAGTGCTTTGTCTGTGTCACTAATTCTTATAACTAACTGCTGATGTCGCATCTACCCCACCACAGCTCACTCAACCTCAGAACAGACGAGAGGAGAAAAAACAGGGGGAGGAGGAGGGCCGGAGGGAGGTGCGGAAGGAACGACTGAACAACATACTCCTGAAGCTGCGGCAGGCATGATTGGTGACAGAGAGGAAAAGGAAGGAAGGAGGAAATCTTCTTCCTCCAAGTAGCTCAGCTCAGTCTCTCTTCTTCCTCCAAGTAGCTCAGCTCAGTCTCTCTTCTTCCACCAAGTAGCTCAGCTCAGTCTCTCTTCTTCCTCCAAGTAGCTCAGTTCAGCTAACTTTGCACTAGTGTTGGGGGGGGGGGAAAGCTTCCCTGAAATGATGTGTTATAAAGATTATTTTCGTCTTTGTTTCTGAGAGGAATGTGGGATGGGTGTTGTTGTTTGCTGTACCATTGAGAATGATTGACAGATGGTCAGCAGACCAGTGACAGTCTGATTTAATAGTCAGAGAGGGCGGAAGGGATGGATGGAGACCATAGTCTTAGGGCTGGATTCAATTCGTATCGCGGAAGATCCACGTTATAGCTCGATTTAAATGTAAAGGAAATGTTCCCGCGTTCGCGGAGACTACATTCACGGTAAACGCTGCATGTCGGCTTAATCTAAAATTACCTTTTTCTCCCCAATTTTGATTTTGATCATCGCTGCAACTCCCCAACGGGCTCAGGAGAGGCCAAAGCATGACCCAAGCCGCGCTTCTTAACACCCGTTCGCTTAACCCGGAAGCTAGCTGCACTAATGTGTCGGAGGAAACACCGTTCAACTGACGACCATCAGCTTGCAGGTGCCCGGCCCGCCACAAGGAGTCACTAGAGCGTGATGAGCCAAGTATAGCCCCCCTGGCCAAACCCTCCCTTAACCCGGACGACGCTGGGCCAATTGTGCGCCGCCCTATGTTTCTCCCGGTCACGGCCGGTTTTGAGACAGCCTGGGATCGAACCCCAGGCTGTAGTGAGCTGCGCCACTCAGGAGTCCTATCTTTACATTTTTATGCAGATCTTCTGCGATACACAGCCCTTAGGGTTTGATTCAATCCCTATCACTGAAGGTCATTTCCAATTGAGCCGACATATGCAGTTTTTACTGTGAATGCAGTCTCCGCTAGCCTGGGAACATTGCCTTTAATATTCTCTTCAGCGCTACGGATTGAATCAAGCCCTTAATGTAAATGTGCCATGTTGTAAATAAACTGAAGCCTAAGTGAGTTCGATCTCCAAAAGCAATACATCCTGTAAGGATTTCACTACAATAACTGTAATATCACTACCAGTAGCAGCTAGAGATCCTTCTATGTATCAAACCAAGTAGTTTTTATTGCCTTAGTGAATATGATCATTTCAAGATCGTTATATTGTACCAATTATAATGCAGTAACATTGACCTAATAATGTAATGAATCAATTTCATATTTGATAGGTATCTAAGAGTTAAAATTAATAGTCAAAGGCCTTCATTTTGCTACAAAGTGTTAAACATATAACTGACCTATGTTAAATATTGCTATGATTGTATATTACTTTATTTTCTTCACCTGTATAGTTTTTCTGACTAATGGAATGTTACTTTTTTATTTGGTCAGACAATCAGGAAAATGAATTGAATCTGAGATTTGTAACCGTTCATTTGCACAGTTCTCTTTGGTGCAGTTTCTAATTTGACTTTGAACACTAAGTTGAATGTTTTATAGTTTACCTGTGTATTTTCTTCACCCACTATTACCAATGGGTGATTAGGAATATTAAAGCATTCATCAATATAGTGAAGGGTTATTTATGTAGTTTGCATGAAATGTAACTTTGGGCTGGATTCAATCCATATCGCGTAAGATCGCATTAAAGTGTAAAGGTGATTTCCCATTAAGCCGACATATGCAGTGTTTATCGTGAATGCGGACCCCACGAACGCGGGAACGTTGCCGTTAAATTTAAATGGAGCTATAACGCGGATCTCCCGCGATACTTCTGCGATGCGGTGAGAATCCAGCCCTTTGTTGTACAATTTAAATTGCAGCTTATAACGTGTCTTTGGAGAAAATACCACAGAGTTCATCTGACAGAATGTAATTTCAAACATTGACCTTATTATCAATAACAATAAAATGCAGTTTTTGTTTAAAAAACATAGTGGACTTGTTGTTATATTCTAAACCGCTTAACCCTTCATACTATCACAAGGCCCATGAATATCGTTGCTCCTCCATCCTTATGAAGACGCTGCATAACTGGTGGGATATTGAATAGACATAATGGAGCAACTGCTAAATGACCAAAATGTAAATGTGTAATAAACAGCACCATCTGTTGGTGTAAAGCTGAATGACTCCTTTGGCCATGTGATCAGGTGATACAGCGCTTTCCTCCATCACACCTCCAGAGGACAGACAGGCAGGACTGAGCCTGAGGCCCTGCTCTACTAATGCATCCTTCTCTCCTCCTTACCTTCAGCAAATCACTGATCTGTATGTGATTATATAGGCTATGTGTAAGTGGAGGCTGGTGGGAGGAGCTATAGGAGGACGGGCTCAATGTAATGGCTGGAATGGTACTAAACACATCAAACATATGGAAACCACTCTGTTCCATTAATTCCATTTCAGCCATTACAATGAGCCTGTCTTCCTATAGCTCTTCCCAGGAGCCTACACTGCATGTGTGAGCTAAAGTTTCCTAGCCAATCCATCCCGCTCAGGTCTGTGGGTACTTTAATGAGGAAATCATTTTGAAAGTATTCAAACAGGGATAGTTTCTCATTTCAGAGAGTAAGTCCTTCCCTCGATCTTCCCTCATGCACTCCCCTTCACTGCTCTGATAGAAGTGGCTAGGTCAACTGGAAGCATATAAACTAAGCTCTTTGATTGTGATGGCTTTAATATCAAGGTACCCCATACTTTCTAGGCAAGCATTCGCCATAGCTCAATGGAATAGAGCAGGGGTATTCAACTCTTACCCTACAAGGTCCGGAGCCTGCTGGTTTTCTGTTCTACCTGATAATGAATACCACCCACCTGATGTCCCAGGTCTAAATCAGTTCCTCATTAGAGGGGAACAATGAAAAACACAGTGGAACTGGCTTCGAGGTCCAGAGATGAGTTTGAGGGGAATAGAGAAGAAATGAGACGCATGAGAGAGATTGAGGTTTGGTTTATGTTGAATATTTATTGGGTATTTACAAACAAGCACATGCGGGAGTCGGACACTGACGGACTACAGGGACACAGTACACAATGCAACAGTTAGGTACAGGGCTGGCTACATCACACCAGAGAGAGATACAGAACCCACTGCTACACACAGACGCTCGCTCGCTCGTACATACATGTGCGCATGTACGTGCACACACACACCAGTGGAGGCTACTGAGGGGAGGATGGCTCATAATAATGGCTGGAACGGAGCAAATGGAATGACATCAAATATATGGAAACCATGTGTTTGATGTAGTTGATACCATTCCACCGATTCCGCTCCAGCCATTACCACGAGCCCGTTCTCCCCAATTAAGGTGCCACCAACCTCCTGTGACACACACACACACACAGAACCCCAGATAGATAGAGAGAGAGATAGACGTGAGGGGACAGATACAACATAGCTATATACCTTTCTGGGACTCCAGGGTCAATAAATAACACATCCAATAAATGAACAGCTTTTCATACAAATCAATGCATTTATCATGGATCATCTCACACAATGGAAAATATACCCGAACCAACAACAAAAAAATAACAAAAAAATCCTTGTCAACATACTGAGATTGTTACCCTCACAGACCATGTGTATTTCCTGAAGTTAGGTTTACCCCTCACCTGCATCTAGGCATGGCATATTGAATGGTGGGCCTTGCTGACACTAACTAGCTCTTCCCTCATACAGCCTAATTTACTACAAGCTGCCATTAAAATACATGATAGATAGCTCTAAACAACTCATGTCAATTTACTGGCCTAAGAAAGTAGTTCTCTAACTTGTTTTGCTGCCGTGACCCAGCTAAAGCCTTTAGAAAACCAGGGGTTTAGTGTGACTGGCCATGACACGCAGTGGCTCAACTATCTATTCTAGCTAAACAATGTCTTGAGACACGCAGCGATTTGGATTAGCTAGTTAGGTTGTTGACATACTAGCCAGTGCCATACCATTGCATTTGGTAAAGTAGCCTATGTAATGCAAGTGCAAAGTTACAATGTTTCCAATCTAATGTCACATATTTCTTCTACGAGGTTGTCATAGGGACACTAACCCTGTGCTACACCACAGAGGCTTGTTGGCATGGTAACCTTTTATATTTTTTCTGACCAATCAAAAGAGATATTCCCATAGAATTTGAATTTATGGGTAATCTATTCTATTCTTCATTCCTCAAGTACCCTGAACTCCCGCGAGTGACTTTGAAAAACAAAAAAACAGTAAACAAACCAAAAAGACAAACAGTTCCTTTAAACCACAAGCCTTTCAGAAGTACATCATATGCATCATCAATACCAAGCCTACAGAATAACTACCAACCAAATCATAAGATAAACACAGTAATAAACATTACTACTTTAACGTTATTCTACTACCACTATCGTTACTACAGTATTAATAATGATGACCTTACACGGGTTAGCATGACAGGTAGGGAAAGAAGGGAGGTACATATGAGAGCTGAGGTACGGTTGGGGGAAGGGCAGCCTCTTCCTCAAATACATAGGCTTTACAGTAGTGGTATCGTCATACAGTACATCAGGGAGTAGCTTGCTGCTTCATCTGAAAGCTTGGATAGTCTAGGTCAGGAATGTACAACTACGGCCCTGGAAGCCCACATTGTCTACTGGTCTCTGTAATCTTTTGAATTGTCTTGTAGTCTGAGACTTAGTAACGCCCAGGTAACCAGTTGAGTTAAATATCTGGCAAATCAAAGATACTAATTGATCTATGAGGTAAAGGAAAAGCTACCAGACTAGAGTTGATCATCCCTGGGCTGAGTAGAAAGAGACAGGTCTCAAGTCCCTGTCAGTCTGTTTATCTGTCAGTTTATCTGTCCGTCTCAAAGCATTGATATTTCCATAAGCACTGAGTAGTATGTGTTAGTGAGGTTTAAGAGGTGTGGACTGATTGAAGTTACAGCATTGCTATGCCAGTTATACTTATATACTGTTGAATACTAGAATGTCCATTAGATAGATAAGTGTCATATAGATAGATACTCTTCTGCATTGCAGGGTTGGGCTCAATTCGAATTGAAGGCAGTCAATTCAGGAAGTGATTTGAATTTAAAATCCACAAAATTAAAAAACTTCACATACATAGCTTCTCCTTTACAGTTCATTAAGAAGTCATTAAAAATAGATGCCCCTTTTTTAATCATTGAATTGTAATTTCAGTTTACTTCCTGAATTGACTGCCGAATTGAGCCCAACCCTGCTGCATTCACTCAAAGCATTCATTATACAATACAGTGTAAAGGTATGAGACTAAATCTATCAGATTATGATGAAGATATGAAGGATATGAAGTCTGTATGCCAATGCATACAACACACACACTAAGATGAAGCCACTGGATTCAGATAATTGACAAACACACTCGAGCTGTCCCTGTGTAAAACAACTATAGAGTAGTGACTGGTGAGTTGGAGATGTAGTGAGAGCAGCAAATAAAAGGCCAGATCACTTATCAATTTGATTCATGATCAACCTTATCTATAGTAAAGTTTGACTATCTGTTTTCTCTTGGTTATCTATCTTTCTATCTATCTTGGTTAAATCAATCTATATTCATATACCTAAATATTATGTATGTATATTTATACAGTCAAATAGTTATCATTTTTAAACGGACTATTAATTGTAGTGGGCACATGTCAAACACACATACAGAGAACAGGCGATTGAGGTGAGAGATCAATAGGGGTGAAAGGTCAAATAGAACACAGAAAACGGCTACATTTCACTATGGTACTACGTTACATAACAGGGGCTACGCTCCATTGCTCCAATACTCTACTATGGCTCCCTTCACCGGTTAGCCTGGCGGCAAGGTCTGAGACGAAGGAGTTGGCTAGAGCAGAAACCGACCTGGCTACCAGGCTATACATCTTCCCATGGTGACCGCTGATCTGAAAGTGTCTGGATAAACTGAATGCATAGGTTGCATGTTTCGTCACAATATTGTTTTTACCGTTCGTTAGGACTGATGATGCCCGACTGAACATTCTACTCAATGCATCGTCAATGAGCGCTGATGAAGATTTCATCAAAAGTGCATTACAGTGGCATGGAAATACAATGGCATTCAAAAAGAGGCAAATCATTATTAGGAAAACCTTTCGTCATAATTTTGATGTCACCAGATTGACTTTAGATGCAGTATAACGTTAGCTAACTAGCTCAAATTGAGGGGAGGCCACCGGATTGTAGCTAGCTAACGTTTGCGTTGCTAGCTATTTTTGACGAACTTTGTTAGCTAATGACATTACCATCTGTCTAAAGTAAATTTGACGACATGATCATGCTGGCAAGGTTGTTTCCTACTACATATTTGACTACTTTAGCAATGTCACCGTATTTCCAGGCACTATAGTGTAATTTAGACTAAACAGTAGTTAGCCTCAGTTATCGCCACTTTAGGGCAACGCCGATAGAGGGCGGTTTGAGAACGTTCATAACAATGGCATGACGCGAAAGAGTGACGGAAGCGCAACCTATGAATAGAAAGCTATGGTGTAAACTCTACAAAGCTTAATCCTTCTCAGATCAGTGGTCACCAAAGAGAGGAGATGATGAATGGAGGACATTTAAAGGGATAGTTCACACCAAGATAAGTGTTTGTCCGAAGTTTTCGAACTTCGAAAGTGGTCTGAAGTCGTGCTGGGTCCATATTCCACGCCATCTGGTGAGCTAAATAAAGTCTTCATTAAATCCCCCTAATTAGATGGCGCAGTTCTTTAGGGATTGAGTTTTGCAGATTTCTCTCAGTGAATATAGTGGGATCTACACAACAGATGGTGCGGAGTAACGACTGAACTAAATCACTGAGACCAGAGATCATCAACTAGATTCAGCCGCGGATGGTCAGGGGGCTGGAACATAATTACAAACAATTTGTAGACTACAAATTGACCGCAAGAAGCCCAAACAGATATAACATTTGATTTAAACATAATCATTTCAAACCTTGCTTAGATTTGTAAACAATCACGTTTCTATTATGTGTGGGAATACTTTGGAACAGATTTCCTAAATTAGCTGCAACATTTTTGGTATTTTATGTCCAACAAGTAACCCTAACCCTTTGCTCAGAAAACTTGGGGGGCCAAATAAAATCACAGGCCGCCAGTTGGGGAACCCTGACTTACGACTTTGGACCACTTTAGAGGTATAAAAACGTGATTTGAACTTAGATTCGGGGGTGAACTATTTATCTGAGAGCATTGGGACTTCGCCACAGCCTCTCAATGGTTGCCTAAATACATTATAGCTTTATGACTTCATTTTCCCTCCCCCAGATATATTATAACAATCAAAACTCTGATCAGGCGTCTGAAATCACATGATCAGGGAGGCGTAGCCAATGGGCACGAGCCCCTCTCGGTCTCCCTGACGACAGCGAATCCAGTCGTGATCGACACCCCCTAAAACCAATAACTCCTCCCCTTTCTGGAAGCTTAGCTCCGCCCCTGTGCCAGAGTGGTCGCATAGTGTTCTGACTGACCTGAGAAAGAGAGAAAAAGAAGTCTCATAAGAATGACATAACACAGTCATAATAGACAGTCATGACAACTGAACTGATGTCTGAACTGAACAAACTAAACATGTAATCTAGAGTGCGAAGAGCCTTGGCGTGACCCTGGACAACACCCTGTCGTTCTCCGCTAACATCAAGGCGGTGACCCGATCCTGCAGGTTCATGCTCTACAACATTCGGAGAGTACGACCCTGCCTTACACAGGAAGCGGCACAGGTCCTAATCCAGGCACTTGTCATCTCCCGTCTGGATTACTGCAACTCGCTGTTGGCTGGGCTCCCTGCCTGTGCCATTAAACCCCTACAACTCATCCAGAATGCCGCAGCCCGTCTGGTGTTCAACCTTCCCAAGTTCTCCCACGTCACCCCCCTCCTCCGCACACTCCACTGGCTTCCAGTTGAAGCTCGCATCCGTTACAAGACCATGGTGCTTGCCTATGGAGCAGTGAGGGGAACGGCACCTCCGTACCTTCAGGCTCTGATCAGTCCCTACACCCAAACGAGGGCATTGCGTTCATCCACCTCTGGCCTGCTGGCTCCCCTTCCTCTGCGGAAGCATAGTTCCCGCTCAGCACAGTCAAAACTGTTCGCTGCTCTGGCACCCCAATGGTGGAACAAGCTCCCTCACGACGCCAGGACAGCGGAGTCACTCACCACCTTCCGGAGACATTTGAAACCCCACCTCTTTAAGGAATACCTGGGATAGGATAAAGTAATCATTTTACCCCCCCCAAAAAAATTTTTTTATTTTGGAAAGTGGTTATCCCACTGGCTATAGGGTGAATGCACCAATTTGTAAGTTGCTCTGGATAAGAGCGTCTGCTAAATGACGTAAATGTGCCCTTGAGCAAGGCACTTAACCCTAATTGCTCCTGTAAGTCGCTCTGGATAAGAGCGTCTGCTAAATGACTAAAATGTAAATGTAAATAACTTTCCTAATTTTTACAATACCTGAGGGGTCTTGGGTTGTCCCATGTCTCTTCCTTCTCTCTCTCTACCACCTCTTCTACCTGCTGGGGCTCCAGCGCCCTCCTCTGGTTAGCGCTGGAACTGCTGCTCACCATCCGGGTCAGAACAGACACCCCTGGAGACAACCACTGAGACGGACGTCTGGGGAGGGAGAGAGATACATCAATAATAAGAGTAAGATACTTAAACGGTATAGTATCATAAAACTCTATCACACAAACACTTACAGACACACCAGCTCACCTGGTTGAAAGTGTGGGTATCGTGGGGTTATTGGAGGCTCCAAACAGCCGTCCCAAACCCCAGGGGACCGCCAATGCTCCATCGACCTGAGGAGGGTCACTCCTGGCCTGGGTACTGGCCTGGGGCTCTGGGGGGTCTCTGGATGTCCCGTTCTGGTTCTGTACTGCAGACAGGCTGAGTTCAGCCAGGTTCTGGCCCAGCTTGCCCCCCCAGCGTACCACAGCCCCCCATCCCTGCTGGATCACCTAGAGAGAGAATAACAGCTCAGAAAAGTGCTGTGTGGCACGGACACTCACACATGCATTCAAACACACACACACACACACTAATACACACACACACTAATACACACACTTCAGGGAAAAAAGAGCCATTGAATTGTGCTCACCTGTCCTGCCTGTTGGGAGAGACTGGCCTCCTCAACATTAGGAGGTGCTAGCTCCCTAATTTCTTTCTCCTGAACCCACATCAGCTGAGGACTCGTCTCCGCAAGACCCCCAGAGACCTTCGCAGGCCCCACGCTGAGACTCGCTGGCTTCAGTGACTCCACCAACCCTCCCACCCCCGAGTTGGCCAGGGACGACGAGCTTGCATTACGATTGGTCACCTCGGGTTCCACGCTCCCAAAGTCCAGCTCTGATAGACTCTCGAGATAACTGCTGCCCCTGCCTTGGGAAGCGGACCCCCGGGGCGAGAGCCTGAATCCCAGGTCCTGATTAGGTGGGCTGAGGATCTCTGGGCTGTGATTGGCAGGCTCCAGGTGGTGGTGCTGGAAGAGCAGGTCGAGGTTAAGGGTCAGGAGACTGAGGGGCTGCAGCAGGAGGAGGAGCTCCTCAAACAGAGGCTGGCAGGAAGTCAACGACAAGCGCATGAAGGAGGAGGGCCTGTAGAACGTCACCAACACATCTGACAGAGAGAGAGGGAGGTGAAGGAGAGAGTGTGAAAGAGAGAAAGAGACAGAGGGGTGGGGGTGGTGGGTGGAGGGAGGAGACAGAGGGGTGGTGGTGGGGGTGGAGGGAGGAGACAGAGGGGTGGGGGTGGAGGGAGGAGGGAGGAGACAGAGGGTGGTGGGGTGGGGGTGGAGGGAGGAGACAGATGGGGTGGGGGTGGAGTGGGAGGAGAAGAGGGGTGGGGGTGGGGGTGGAGGGAGGAGAGCTAGGGGGTGGGGGGGAGGGAGGAGAGAGAGGGGTGGGGGTTGAGGGAGGAGAGAATAGGGTGTGTTTTCTGTTTGCTTCGCTCTCCGCTCTTTTTGGTTGTGCTCTCGCCGTGGGAGGGGAGGAGATTAAATACGGTTATAACATATTAATATTCAAACGGATAGATTGCGGACATGAACTTTAGGCTTCAGAGACTTACCACTGCATGACTGGAGATGGGACAGCCAGAAATCCAGAAGCTTGATGCTGAACAAGAGAGAGAAGAAGCAGGTGAGAATTGGAAATTTAAAAAGTCAAACAGAAAAACCCTAGGAGAGAAGAGCCAGGTCTTACTTGAGGAGGCCGAGGAGGAAGGCGTTGAACCTGTGTTTGTTCTGCCTGAGCTGGGGCAGCTCTCCTATTCTAGCCTGTAGGCTGTGCAGGGACTGAGTGCTGGGCCCTGGAGGGACAGGAGGGGAACACAGATCAGACGAAAGAAAAAACACTTAGTAGCTTTGGCACAGTGAACAAATCACTATCATGTTACCTTTGGCCACAATTGACTGAAATTGAAATTGAAATGAACAAGTACTGAGTCAATGGAATAACCCTGATCACCAGAATAGTGAGAAGGAGAGAATAAGGGGGAATAGAGGAGGGGAGAGAGTGATAATCAGAGAGAGAGAGAGAAAGGATGACTCACACTGCAGAATAAGAGTGCCAGACTGGAGCGAGAGAGGAGAGAGGAGATCCGAGACTGACAGTACTATGAACCCACATTACGTCTGGGGAGGGTGAGAAGAGATACCATATTGGAGAGAGGGAAAGAGGAAGAGAGATATTGAGAGATTGGCTAGGTGTACGGCCATCATATCTGAGGAAAGAGAACTAGAGGAGAGCGGATGGATATAGATAGAGATATATAATAGATGGAAATGGGAGGGGTGTATAACAACCATAGCCCTCCTATGCTGTCTATTGCTCTTCTTGCCAACCCCCTCTGTACTGCGCTCCAGAGTTCCATACCTGGCCTGGTGGTAGGACCTGTGGACCAGTCCCCAAGGCTGAAGTTTGGGCCTCCTTGCCCCGAGATCCAAATCACTCTGGTGGGGCTTGAGGCCATCGGAGAGCAGGCTCCGCAGGGCGGGGCACAAACACTGCCAGCACCAGCCGACCCCCAGAGACGGATTCACACTTGCTGTCCTCCTGATAGAGCCTGCAAGGGGAGGCGGAAGGAGAGGGCAACTATACAGGGAGGAAGAGAGAGAGGCGCCAAGACTCTCCACGCCGTCTGATTACACTGGAATACCAAACGACCTCCCCAAACGACGAAAAATCAAAGAATGCCCACGACTACACCAAGATCAATCCACGTAAACAATTCACAGTACGAACATCGAGGAGCGACAGAATGAAAACGAAACCAGAGAGAGAGCAAGAGAGGACTTGGGGAGAGAGGCACCACAATGAGTCCAAAAGAAAGACACGGGAGGAGAAGACAACATCCAAGCACCCACCCCCTTCGCCTTGTTTTTGCTTGTCCCCTCTCTTATGTCCTTCCCCTCCTCACCTCTTCTCCTTCTTTTTCTCTTCGTTTCCTTCCGGAATAAAACCCAACCAAATCACACGTAGCAACTACATGAGGTGTCTGCAGCCCCATGAAAACAGAGATGGACAACAGACGCCAAATTAGAGAGGAGGAGGCGAGGAGACAGACTCCCCCGCTGCCCTAAGCAGAGACGAGAGTCAGAAAGCGACGGGAAGAGATCAAGAGAAGAGAGCAAAGAAGAGGAGCGAGCGTACGAGGAGAGATCGAGAGCCACGACGCGGAGCGAGAGAGAGTGAGAGGAGGAAGGACGACGGGCCCCCCGAGAGAGGGAAAGAGAGGATAAATAGGAGGAGGAGGAGAGAGGGACAAGATGGGGATAAGAGGGGGACGCATGGGATAAACTCCCTCCCGCACCACTCGTCCACCCCCCTAAATAACGAAGAGCGGATCCAACCATCTTGGGAACCCATCAGCAAACCCCCGCCCCCTACACCAACATCTAGCACACCGGGGAGTAGGATCCGCGAGGACCGTACATCTCCGGAGGGAAGAAAAGAGAGTCGTACCTTCCATCTGACCACAACGGGAGAGCGAACCGACAGGCAAGATAGAGCGAAGAGAGCAGGGCAACCTTCTATCCTCACTAGACGAAAGCAGAGGAGCGACCGCCAGGCGCATTGCGCCGGGCAACCAGCAACCTACCCTAAACTACACTGACTGGGAAAAGAGGGAGGCCTCCCCCACAAGAGAGGAGGATCATCGAAAGAGAGAGGAAGAGAGGAGCGAGAAAGCAGAGGCTCTTATGCGACGAGCAGACGAAGCAAAAGAGGGGCAAGAGATCAAAGACGAGCAGGAAGCAGAGCGGGAAAGAGAGGCACCGAGGAAAGCACGTAGACGAGGAAGTCGCCGAGAAGCACGGTGGGGAGTGTCATAGAAAAGCGCCACCCCTCTGCAGGAAGAGAGTTGAGGAGAATGTTACCTCCCCGTACGGGACAGAGAGCGACCCGAGAAGAGAGGAACACAGACCGGGCGAGGAAGAAACCCAGCTAGACACCGAACGAGGACAAGATCGCAGAGGAGCCCGCTGCTGCACCGCACATGCAATCACACCCCGTGAATGATCACCGACCCCGGAAAAGGCCACCAGATCCTGAAGACATCTCGTAGCACCAGGTGTGCCAAATTACACGAGACGCAGACCGAGAGGTAGAGAACGTAGGAGCGAGTCCGTAATCGACCTCGTTTGAAAGACGGTACTAGCAGGGACAATGTCTCAAAACGACGGAGAACCGAGAGCAACCGAGAAGCGCCGACTAGCCCCTCTAAAGACCGTAGCGAGCCCGCACTCGATGTCGCGGCAGTCCACCACTTGTCACACGGGAGCCCTAGAAGACGACAATAGGAGACACACCTGGTACTCCGTCAGCCGACCGCGCATACTGAGACGGTAGGACCCGCAAAACCATCTGACCCTTGAGAGACTTAGGGAATCGCGATCGGGTGTAGGGCGGGGGGGGCGGAGGAGAGACGAAATCGCGACCGAGAAATGATGAAGGGAGAGAGGAGGCGGAAAGCAGCAGGGGAGAGCCAGGAGGAGAGAGAGAGAGGGGGGGGGGGGGAGAGTAGGGAGAGAGAGTTGAGGAAAAAAGGAGAGAGGGAAGAGGGGATATAAAATAGAGGGACCGGCGAGAGGGAGAGAGAGGGAAGAAGGGGTAAAAAGAGCGAGGGGAAGAGAGAGGGAAGAGAGGGGAAGAAAGAGAGGAGAGAGATGATCTGAATGGGCAGAGGGGGGTGATAGCTGAATAGAGGAGGGAGGACTGACGAGAGAGCAGGGGACAGACGAGGGGAGAAATAGAGGAGGAGAGGATCGAGGGAACAGATACAAAAGAGCAGGGGAGGTGAATAGAGGAGGAGGAGAGAGGGAAGAGGGAGGGAGAGAATGAGGAGAGAGAGGAGAGCAGGGAAGGGAAGAACAGAGTGGGATGGAAGAGGGGATTTTAATAGAGGAGGAGGAGGAGGGGAAGAAGAGGAGAACAGAGGAGGATAGGAGCAGTGCGTGGAGGATTGGATGGTGTGAGGGAAGAGGAGGACGGAGTGAGGAGAGGAGAGAGAGGGGAAAAAAGAGGGATTAATAGAGGAGGAGAGAGAGGAAGAGAGGATTAATAGAGGAGGAGAGCGAGAGGGAAGAGGGGATTAATAGAGGAGGAGAGAGCAGGGAAGAGGGGGATTAATAGAGGAGATGAGAGAGGGAAGAGGGGATGGGGATAATAGAGGAGGAGGAGTGAGAGGGAAGAGCAGGAGACAGAAAGAGAGGAGGAGATGAGACAGTCGGGAGCACCCTCACTGACCACAGGTGAACGAGCGGGTGAGAGGTGCGGACGGAAGAGCAGGAGGAGCGACGAGACAGCGGACTAAAGACGCAAGCGGTGGAAGCTAAGAGAGGATGCGAGGAGCAGAGCCCAGGGAAAAGCACGAGCGAGCAGAAAGCAGAGGAGGGGACCGAGAGGTACAAGACGGGAGCAAGAGTAGAGCGGTGCGCAAGAAGAGGGAAGACGAGGGCACGAAAAAGAAGGAGGAAGGGGAGGGAAGAGGGAAGAGAGAGGGAGAAAGACGAGGAGGGCGCAGCAGACACACCCGTAGAAGAAGAAGTGACGGCGACGGAGAGAGCTGACGAGAGGGATAAGAGGGGGAGGGCCAGAGAAGAGGGAGGAGGGAGGAGAGCGAGAAGGGAAGAGGGGGACGAAATAGAGGCACTGGTGGCCCAGAGATGGGAAGAGGGGAGAAAGAGGAGCGATGAGCAGAGACAGAAGCGGACAGAGGGAAGAGGGGGCCAGAAACGCAGGGAGAAGAGAGAGAGGGAAGAACGAGGAGAGAAAGAGAGGAGGGGAGCGACCACCTCAATCAGGAGAGGGAACCCTGCAGAAAAAGAGAGAAAGAGAGAGAGTGAACGGTGGACGAGAGAGGGAGGGGAAGCGAGGATAAAGCAGAGGAGCAACGAGGAGAGGAACGAGGGGATAATAGAGGCAGGAGAGAGAGGGAAGAGAGGAGAGGAGAGGGGGAGAAATAGAGGAGGAGAGAGAGGGAAGAGAGGAGAATAGAGGAGGAGAGAGAGGTAAGAGAGGAGAGGGTGAGAAGAGAGGGAAGAGGAGGAGAAATAGAGGAGGAGAGAGAGGGAAGAGAGGAGAGGGTTTTATGGATTGGAGGAGAAAAGTAGAGAAGGATGAAAACAGAGAGGGGGAAACAAGAGAGAAGAGAAAAGGAGTAGAGTAGAGAGAAATGTGGGGGAAAGAGGGATGTGGAAGGATGGAGTTAGTACACAGAGGTTCTGACTACTGAGCCAAAGATAGGGATATCTGAAGACAATCTAGCACCTTGTTAATGGAGGCAGACTAGGGGAGAGGAAGAGGAGAGACAGAGAAAGAGACAGATATTTCCAGTTATTCAATGGATGATTCATAAATTATATGGATATAGAGCCACTAACAGGCTGTTTGAGCCATCAAGTTTGAGCCATCAAGTGTCACAAGTCATTAAGTTCCAATGAGCTGAATGCAACCACCGCTGCTATAGGCCTAAGTCTAATTTCAGAGACACGGATACAGAAATCCTATAAGGCTGAAGAGTCTTTTGGGAGATTGAGCTGGTTGATCTCTTTATGTCTTCTGTTTTTCACTTCTTCAGTGTGGAAACCCTGTCATAGCAACAGTTTGACAATACGTCATTAGGAGCGGTAGCTAGGTATTATAAACGCGGGGTGGAGGTTTGCACTGATTGGATTACCTCCCCTGATCTAAAACCAAAATGTGAAATCGGAGGAAGATGATTGGCCCTCATTTTCTCATAATTGAAATGAATATACTTTATTGATCCACAGAGGAGAAACTGAGTTTGCTACCAGCATCAGACAAAGGCAAACACAGTAGAAACAAACAGGCATGCATTCAGAAATACATCATCAAGTATATACATAATGATTAAAAACTCAAGCCCATTTTCCATATCTTGCATAATGTGGTGTGTACATCGTATTATTGAAGAGACAGTGTTAAACGTTGTGTTAAACACAGAGACAGTGGAAACTGACCTTCTGTACCAGGGTCCGTGAGGAGCTGAACTGAGCCAAAATGGCCTCTACTGCCACACTGACTGCACTGACCAGAGCTGTGGACGGGGACACAGTTAGACAGTTATACACACACAAACACAATGTCTCTAACAGTGTAAATGTACATGAATAAATGTACTGTATATCACATAGACTGTATATAAATATACATGTAGGCTATTTATGGTCCTGTGTGGCTCAGTTGGTAGAGCATGGCGCTTGCAACACCAGGGTTGTGGGTTTGATTCCCACGGAGGACCAGTACAAAAATGTATGCACTTACTGCTGTAAGTCGCTCTGGATAAGAGTGTCTGCTAAAGGCCTAAAATGTCAAATGTAAATATATACAGGTATATCATACCTCTTTTTTCCAGCAGGCACAGAGAGGACATCCCTCTCAGAGGGGCCTTCACGTCATCGCCCATCCAGGAAGTCCCGCCCCTCTGTACAGAGCCAGCGAATGAGACGCTACGAACCGCTGAGATTAACAGAGATAGAGGAAGGATCACTTACTCTACTCTAATCAGTGGTGGACTCACAGAGAGGAATAGCAATGTTACTTGGTATTTCTGTGTTACTGTTTCAGTATTAGTGATATTAGTTGTTGTAACAGTTAGTTAAAGCAGTGGTAGAGTAGCAGTACTATCAGTAGTAGTGTAGTAGTAATAGCATAGTGATAGCATAGCTTAGTTTGTTGAAACATCCCAGTCAATATTTTTCACAGAATCTAAAATTATTGTCTTGTACACTTTGCTTTTCCAATATTCTACGCAGGACATCATCCATTCTGAGGGTGATACATTATGTCAATGGGAAGTGGATGCATTAACCTTGACAGACACAGGAAACATAAAACCCCCTAAGGGAGAAGACAGCCATGCAGAAGTCAGGTAGCAGTCACAGATTGGTGGCACTTTAATTGGGGAGGACGGACTAGTGGTAATGGCTGGAGAGGAATGAGTGGAATGGTATCAAATACATTAAACATGGTTTCCATGTGTTTGATGCCATTCCATTTGCTCCGTTCAAGCCATTATTATGAGCCGTCCTCCCCTCAGCAGCCTCCTGTGGTATCAGTAAGGTGTGAGAACATTCCTTAATCTGACCTCATGATAGCCACTTATATAAATGCAGCAGGAAACATATAGACACACTATAGAAGGTTAGTGTTCAGCCTAGTTTATAGCCATTCACCGCTACATTAAACACATAATGTATAGTTATACCCAAACACACGCACGTACACCAATGCACGCATTCATGCACACACTTAAGCGTGATAATAATCGTCACAGTGATTATCATGGTTCAACAGAAGCTGAAGGTCATAGCTTCATTAAGGTGAGAGTGAAAATCAGAGGTGTCTATTTCAGCACTCCATGCAACACAGACACACAACAACAACAGCAGGGACAGACAGACTACAGACAGACTGACTGACAGGGAGATAGAGGTATAGATATACACACAGACAGACTACAGACAGAAAGGGAGACAGACTGACTGACTGACAGGGAGATAGAGGTATAGATATACACACAGACAGACAGACTACAGACAGACAGGGAGACAGACTGACTGACTGACAGGGAGATAGAGGTATAGATATACACACAGACAGACAGACTACAGACAGACAGGGAGACAGACTGACTGACTGACAGGGAGATAGAGGTATAGATATACACACAGACAGACAGACTACAGACAGACAGGGAGACAGACTGACTGACTGACAGGGAGATAGATATATAGATATACACACACTCAGACGGACAGACAGACTAACAGAGTGACAGACAGGCGAGCAGGATGTTAGACAGGGGGAGGGAGTGTGTGAGAGAGCAAGCGAGAAAGAGAGAGAGAGAGAGAGAGAGAGCTCTTACTCAGCGCAGGCGGCAGCGGCGGAGCCTGGATGAGTTTTGGGGGGTCTGGGGTTTTCCTGGGGGGGATAGGGGGGTAGAGGAAGGGGTAGTAGAGGGGTGCGGCCAGGGCAGGGAGGGTGTGAGAGCGGGGGAACAGGGGTGAGCTGAGGCAGGATGCATCCAGGCCCGGAGGGGGGGCTCCAGAGCGATGGGGGGGGTCGAGAGCCCCGATGGGGGAGAGGCGGGGAGGGGCGCCCCTGTGGAGGGGGCAGTTTTTGGGGTGGTAGAGGTACCAGGTGGGGAGGGGAGGGAGATCTTTAGAGGTTCTGTTCTGGCCAGGGCGAGAGGTGTATGTGTGTTTGTCTGAGATAGGGCCGTACAGCAGGTCGATGTCAGTGTGTTTGTTGGAGTGTGTGTGTGTGTCCGTGCGACCGAGGGAGCCAACGGTGTGTGTTTTGGCGTATGCCATCATCATTGCATCAATGTTTTTATATGGGGTGGTGCAGCCTTGAGTGTGTGTATCATTGCTGACGAGTGTGTGTGAGCCGGTGTGTGTGTGAGTCTGTTTATCAGTGGCGGTAGCGGTGCAGTAGAGGGAGTCAAAGTTAGTGATGGAGTCAGAGCCAAAGCCATACTCCAGCTTTTCTTTAGTCTTGGAGTCATTCACATAACGATACAAACTATCAACGTTGCTCTTGAAGTCATTTCCAAAACGATGTGCAGAGTCTAGGCCTCCATCCTTCTTAAAATAGTCACTATAGCTATATCCGGAATCAATGTCATTCTTAGAATCAGTTCCATGGCTGTCTTCATTTAAATATGTGTGAGTGTATTGTGTAGCAAAGGGGTTAGATGACTGGGTAGTGTAGGGGTTAGGGGCCGTGGCTGTGGACTGGGTAGTGTAGGGGTTAGGGCCCGTGGCTGTGGACTGGGTAGTGTAGGGGTTAGGGCCTGTGGCTGTGGACTGGGTAGTGTAGGGGTTAGGGCCCGTGGCTGTGGACTGGGTAGTGTAGGGGTTAGGGCCTGTGGCTGTGGACTGGGTAGTGTAGGGGTTAGGGCCCGTGGCTGTGGACTGGGTAGTGTAGGGGTTAGGGGCCGTGGCTGTGGACTGGGTAGTGTAGGGGTTAGGGCCTGTGGCTGTGGACTGGGTAGTGTAGCGGTTAGGGCCCGTGGCTGTGGACTGGGTAGTATAGGGTTTAGGGCCTGTGGCTGTGGACTGGGTAGTGTAGGGTTAGGGCCCGTGGCTGTGGACTGGGTAGTGTATGGGTTTAGGGCCTGTGGCTGTGGACTGGGTAGTGTAGCGGTTAGGGCCCGTGGCTGTGACTGGGTTAGTATAGGGTTTAGGGGCCTGTGGCTGTGGACTGGGTAGTGTAGGGGTTAGGGCCCGTGGCTGTGGACTGGGTAGTGTAGGGGTTTAGGGCCTGTGGCTGTGGACTGGTAGTGTAGGGGTTAGGGCCCGTGGGCTGTGGGACTGGGTAGTGTAGGGGTTAGGGCCCGTGGCTGTGGACTGGGTAGTGTAGGGGTTAGGGCCTGTGGCTGTGGACTGGGTTTCAGTGTGGCTGTGAGGTTGGGTCCTGGGGGCCGTTCTCGTATGAGCACCACAGTATCCTGGCCGGTAAGGGGGGATTGCAGAGTGGAGGAAATAGGAGGAGGGCTGGGAGTGGGACTGGGCCAGGGAGAGAGGGGGTGAGGACACTGCCCAGTCGAAAGGGGCACAGGGCAGGAGGGGAGAAGAGAGAGGAGTATGAATGTAACAGGGGCAGGTTGGGGCAGAAATGGGGATTTGAAGGGGACAAGGGTTTTTTTCAGGGGGTAGGAGTGTGAGTAAGAGGTGCGGGTAGGTGGTGTGTGGGGGGGGGGGGGGGTAGTTGGGGTCAGAAGGGGGGTAGTTGGGGGCAGGTAGGGGTAGTTGGGGTGGGTAGTTGGGAGCAGGAGGACAAGCGAAAGCGGAGAGGAGGGGAAGGTAAAGGAGAAGCAGAGCCATGGACAAACGTTAGAAGGTCGGATGGGACGGAGGGATGAGAACAACAAGGAGAGGAGTAAAAATGTATGTTGCAAATAAATTGGGAGGAGAGAGAGAGAGATGGAGAGAATGTTAGTGTCTGTTGAGAGAAGAATGCAATGTAAACCAGTAGATCCCCACCACACCACAACATGCAGTAATGCAGTACATCACCCAGTATCCACACAACAACATATGTTCAGTAGTCTGACCCAACAGATGCACACAGACTGACCACAATACATGACAGAGTTAATGGAGGTGGAGTTAATGAACAGAGGAGTCAAAGTTCAGATTTAGAGAAGCCTTTCTCTTTCGTTTCCTACTCTCACAGTCGTTCACCATTATTTAAACCACACCCAAACCTTCTATCTCACCATCAAACAGTTAGGCTATGGCATTTCCCCTCTAGTATTTCCAGTGGTTTAAGTTAGTGGTTTCACGTTCTACTCTTCCTTCAGAGTGTATTCTGTATTATAAAACGTATTAGGTGCAGGTGACTGTATCGCTGGCCCTAGCTAGTGCCATACTTCCTCTTACTCTCTCTCTCTCTCTCTCTCTCTCAGTACAGTAGTGGTATGCTGTCCTCTCCATCTTCACCTCTCTCTCTCTCTTTTCATTTTCCTCTCTCTACAGAGCAGTACAGAGTACCGTTGGTTACGCTGAGTCAGCCTATGGAGAGTTCTGTTCCTGCCTGGCTGCACACTGTCTATCTCTCTGTCTCCTTGGAGATTATTGGATAATAGCCTGTGCTGATTAGAACTCCATTATGCACAGAAATACATTGTCTCATTTAATATCACTGTGAAAGAGAGATAGAGGCTACACAGAATGTGTGTTAACTACCATACCTTGGTTTAGCCTTGAGTTGATCTGACTGTCTCTCAGATGCAGCCACACATTACACTTCCTGTTTTTTTGCACTACTGTGAAACAAGTCTCTGCCATTGGTTGATAGATGGAGCCCCTCCCTTTTGGTTCTTAAAGCTGTACACGCACACGTGACAAATAGTCTGGCCTGTATTTTGTTTTACAGTCTGTGGGTAGAAGTTGCCCCTACATAACATAGGATCAGTTTATCCTACTGCTGTGACAAGTTGACCACACATAACTCCTTCTATGTTGACAAATACCATACAACTTAGCTTTTACATACACACACAGAGGGAAGCACACTACACGCACACACACGCACATTCAGCATGTCTCCTGAAATGTACATTGTAACTTTGATTCGAAAAATATATATTTTAGACAATAATCACATAATGAAATTACTTAATGTAAATTGTTATCAAAACAATAAAGCTGTGTAATTCAAATACAGATTAATAGAGGTATTCAGCCCTTCAGCCTATGTAACTAAGAACCACTCTAAAGGTAGCCAATAATATGAGTTATCGGATCTGAGCTAAATCTCAGACACTCTGGGAAGGGGAGAACAGTCTGGACAAAAGAAAGGAAGATGGAAGATAGAGGAGAGGTGAAAGGAGTGAGTGAGCGGTCAAGGACAGAAAGAGAGAGGAGGAGGTAGGCAGCAAAAAATGTACCGATGACTCAGCAGATAGAGGAGAGAGAGAGGGCAGAATAGAGGGAAGGGGAAACAGAGAGAAGATTAGAAAGAGAATGAGGGAGGAGGAAAGAGACAGAAAGAAGGGGAGACAGAGGGAGAGAGCGATACAGTGTATCTCTGTCTCCCTCTGAGGGAAGGAGAGAACTATAGAAAGGGAGTATTGTAGAGTTAGCAGAAAAGGGAGAGAGTAACAGAGAAAAAACTGCAAGAGAGGGAGAGCTAGAGGGAGATAAAGAGAGAGAGATAGAGAGAGGGAGGTAGATGGAGGGAGGGAGGGATAGCTGTGGGTACTCCATTACTTCCCCCCGGTCTGCAGATTGGATGAATAATTTAATAAGGCAGTGATGACATCACACCAGGCCCACGGGAAGCACTGAAGAGATTCTACCATATCTCTCTCTCTGTCTCCCTCTCCCACCCTGCCCCATACACTCATCTGTCCATCCCTGAAAAAGAATGAGTGCCGCCCATCTAATCCTATCGCTCTCCTTTCCATCTCCTCCATCTATCTGTCCATCCTAGATGGAAAACATAGATGCTGCACCCATCTATGTATGTATCTCTCTCTTGTTCCCCCTTCTTTCTCTTTCCCTCTTCTCTGGAATGCAGAGAAATCTCCCCCTGTGTTTTTGTCATCTTTCTCTCTGCTGGTTTAATTTTTATTCCCAAGAGTGGACACAGTTTCAGATGTGGTGTTGTGTGCATAATATTAGATGGAAGGTGGCTTCAGTGAATACTGTAGTTTGTTACTACCGCCACATTTTAACCCCAAATCAGCACCTCACAGTCAGCAACTAGGCCTATAGTCATCATCATGACCATCATCATCATCTAACTCACCTGTAGTTCTTGACTCCCAGGTTCTTCCTCCATCAGCTGTTCCTCTCACCTCCACCTCTTCTTCCTCTACCTCTTCTTTCCTCTTTTCTCCCTCCTCTTTTCTCTGTCCATCCATCCTCCACAGGTTCCCTTCACTGGCTGAGAACCCAATCTGCTGCGAGGGACACAGCTCGGGCTGTCCAATCGCATCCTCTGCTTTCTGGAACATTTCCCTAAAAGCAGCCAATGACGTGAGGGGAGGTGGTTGCAGGAAGGCGGCCTGGGCCTGGGAGGTGTACTCCCATTGGATCCCGTCGCTGTCCGTCTTTTCCCTCCTCCACTTGAGGTTGTAGAGGAAGTCAGGGTCAGGGGTTATGACTGTGGGGTCAGGATCTGGTTCAGTTATTAGCTGGTAGGCCGGGGAGCTGTGTTTGCTACGGTTACGCAGTTCCTTGAAGGTCATCACTTTTGAACCCGACCCTGACGTTGACCCAGATGATGACGTTGACCCGGAAGTAGATTTCTTCAGGGTTTCTTCATTGGATTTTCTAACTTCCAAGGGCGGGGGCAGGGGCATGTTTTCACCATCGGGGGAGAAGGCCATGAGCCAATCAAATCGCTCAGGGCGTAAAGAGTTGGCGAGAAGGGTGCAGACTTTGAGGGGGGGAAGAGTAGGGGGGGTAGGGGGTAAGGGACGCGGGGGAGGAGGGGGAGGGGATTCCGAGAGCACAGGGGAATATTTGAAAGTCTCGAAGCTAACATTGTTAGAGGTGTTGGTATTGCCAGTGCTGTAGTAGGGGTCAGATGCTAGGCTAACGTTAGCCCCAAACCCACTGTTTCTCTTCCTCCTTCTCGCCATGTCAGTGAAAGACGTGGTTCTAAACACATCTCTGCTCTCTACTTTCTCTCCCTCATCCTCCTTTACTCCTCCAAATATATCAGTCTCTCTATCCCTCTCCACCCCTGACCTCCCTCCGCCATCTCTCCATCCATCCACAGCCAACCCATCTATATCATACTGCTCCTTTGCCCTCTCCTCTTTTTTCCTCATCCCTCTATCCGGTGTCTGTCCAAGCCTGGAGGTGTGATGGGTCTCCCCCTCTCCCTCCTCCTCCAGTCCCCCCACAGAGACCCCCAGCTCTGGGCTGAGTTTGAGGAGCTCAGCCTGGGTCAGTCCTGCTAGCACCAGTAGCTTACGGATCTCATCATCCAATGCATGGAAAGAGGGAGGAGGGGGGAGTGAGGGCGGGGGAGGGATGGCAGGGGGGGGGGTGGAGTTGGAGATGGAGATGGTTATGGTGGGGGCAGGAGGGAGAGGAGGGGGGCGAGAGGTGGGAGGGGGGAGGGACAAGGGGGTCTTCTCGCATCCTGCTTGGAGGGTGGCGAGACGCTGGGCCTCCTTACGGGCTAGGTGCCTCCTCCGAGGGGGAGGGATGGGGGGAGTGGAGGAGGGGAGGGAGAAAGGGAGAGGGGAAGATTTGTAGAGAGTAAAGTAAGGGATGGGCTGACAGAGAAGAGGAGGGGGGATGGAGGGTGGGGAAGGAGGGAGGGCCTTCTCACACCTGAAGGTGTAGAAAGTGGGGGATGAGGATGGAGAGGTGCAGACAGAGACGGAGGGGGTGATGTCACGGCTGATGTTGATGTAGGTGTGGAGTTCAGAGTTCACGCTGGCATAGCGGGCGGGGGGGTTTGGGGGGTCTCGGTGGGGGCTCTATGGGCGAAGAAGTCTCCGATTCCGAGACCAGGGGCTCGTCACAGTCTGAAGGCGCTGTCAGGTCCACTCCAGCATCAGAGAACTCCTGGGAATCTCCCAGCGACCCGCCCCGGCCCTTATACAGCTTCCAAGACATATCCACGTTCCCCATCTCATCCAGAACATCAGAAAGATCCTCCTTGCCCAGATCGCCTAGATCCAGTCCCTTCTCATGGAGCCTGGCGATGTGAGCCAGCTTCACCTGCCTGTTGACACTCTCCAGTCGGTCCAGATGATCCAGTCGATCCCTCAGTAGATCCCCCTGAGGATCCCCCTCCAGGTCCCAGCGAACCACCTGTATCAACTGGCTGAAGCGCTCCATCTTGCCAAAGTCTCCCACTGACTCCAGGAAGTCCAGGAGGCCTAGTTTGGTGACCTCTGACCCTAAGCCTGTCTGACCTTTGACCCCCAAGTAGTCGGAGGAAGGGGAGGCGGGGGCGGAGGGGTAGCCCTCGTCTGGGGAGCAGGCAGGTGGAGGGGAGGAAGGGCAGCGAGAGACAGAGGGGGGGTTGGGATTGAGGAGCAGGGAGGGGGGTGAACGGGAGGCTGGGTAGCACTCAGGAACGTGAATGAGAGTGTGGTCCTGAGAGATTGACAGATCAGCGTTCCCCTCATGGGCAGAGGACGACAGAGAGATGGAGAGATCGGCACAGTCTGACTCCAGATCGGAGCAGGAGCTGATGGAAGTGGAGGATGAGGAGGTGGAGGAGGTCAGGGAGAGATCCAGGAGAGAGGGAGGGCAGTCGCAGCACGATGGGACCAACGTGTCATCATCATCATCATCATCTCCCTCCTCCTCATCATCTTCATCAACTTCAACGTCCACACTGTTTTCCTCTTCCTCCTCTCTCTCTTTCTTGTTATCCACCTCTTCCTCCGTTTCTTTCTTGTTGTCTATGACCACGTCTGTGTTCTTGTTCACATCTGCAGTCTCCTCCTCTTTTTTCCCTTTCTCCAGCTCCAGGGCATTAGCGGGGCAGGCCGGGGCCAGGGCTTGAGGCTGGGGCTTGGGCTGAGAGGGGCTGGCCTGTGCCTTGGCCTTGCCCCCTGTCCCCTCCTGTCTCTGGGGTAGCAGGGGAGGTGGTGGAGGGGGCTGAAGCTTTAGCTGCTGTCTGATGGAGATGGTGTTGTTGTTGTTGTGGTTGTGGTTGAACAGACTGTTATTGTCCTGGGGAGAATGGCCGTCGCAGCACAGACAAGGCAGGCTGGGTTCATTACAGTTGGGGTCCAGATGAGGAAGAGGAGGAGGAGGAGGAGGGGCGCAGTTGGACACAGCTGCTGCTGCACGGACACTTTTGGGTTTGGGTTTGGTCGTAGAGAGGGGAGCAGTGTTTCTCTGTAAACCCAATCTGGACTGACCCAAGGGGGCACGAGGCTGGACCCCCACCCTGGTCCTGGAAGACTCGGGGGTCACTTTGGTGGCACGCCGAGGAGAGGAAGAGGAAATGGTGTTCATGTTTTTGTCTTCCCAGACCGCAGGGCCGTGTGGCTTTGGTTCCGCTGCAGTGGTGGTTCGCCTGCTCGTGTCGAAGGGACGAGGCCTCAAGGGCGGAGCGGAGGTTCGGCTAGAGGAGTGCATTTTAGGAATAATAGTTTTCTAATTGTCAATTATTTATGTTTCTATAGAAACAGGGGTTCTGTTTTCTATCTAAGGGATGGAGAGATCCAAAACATGGTGGTCACATCTTGGCTTGACTCCAAAGATCCTGCAACATCAAAAGAGACATGCAGTCAATAGAGGCACAGCAGATAATAGAGATAAGAGGAGTCTGTGCTTCCATGTTCCTCTAACTGCACAAGGGACCAGCTTGTTCTTGTTCATATGAAATCTTAGAAGTTAAATCATCCCCTGGTTCATTCATTATAGCTCAATAGCTATTGGCCTTTTTCTGCTGTATAATTACCTCCTCAGTGCTGGGACTAGCTAAATTAAATCCATCTCTCCTCTCCTCAATCTTGTCCTCCCTCTATAAACAGACAGACAGACAGACACGCACACACACAGACAAACACACACACTTAAATTCAATGTCAGCGATCGAGAGGAGATCTCCATGAAAACAGTTAGCAACTAATTAAGGATTATTGTCATCCTTCAGCATCCCAGTCTACTCTGAGATTCCGCTTGATGGAGTGATGATGTTAAAGCCTTGAGAAAGGATTTACGCTCTCTCTCTCTCTGACAAATAGGTAAGTATAGTATAGCCAAGCAAATTGTATAGGCCAAGCAAATTGAATCGGGATAAATCAAAATGAACTATCTAAATTCTAAGCTTATTTGCATTAAAATACATTTTTACATATAGCCTCGTACAAACATCTTTAGTAGACAAGATCAAATTATTTAGAGCAGAAAATCCTCAGTGGCCCATCCACTGCCCAGGCTAAACACACTGGTCATATTCCTCCACAGCAGCACAGTGCCCTTCACATCAAACGGGGAGAAGAAGGTAGGCCTATATAAATCATAACCTCAACAGCGTTTAGATCGGGCCTGGGTCACGTCGCCCTGGTCAGAACCGTTAGAATAACGCACCGAAACCGCATCGCACATCATCTGCTGGATTTTCGGTATTTACCACCGGTTTTATCGACCTGAAGTGGCCGATGAAGACCGGGGAAAAGAAGGGGAGAGAGAGGAGGGAGGGAGGGGGGGGGGGGGGGGGGGGGTAGTACCTCAAGCCGCATCGTCCTGATACATCCACCCCCGCTACTATGACAAATTGTGTCGCAATTTGTATAAAATTAACTATACCATGCTTATGTTCGTCATTCTTTTGAACAACCATAGTCTATAAATCAAGAAAAAGGCTATTCAAATTGGTTATCTGGATCTGGGGATATGGGCAGTGGTTGAAGGCATAGCAAAACGTATAGCCTAGATCTGGGTAAATAGAGAGCATTTGATCAACAATACCTATAATCATATGATTGTGAGATATTTGACTCACCATCGGCTCGGTTGAGGAGAAGATGGAGATGCTGGATCCCGTTCTCGGTAAACGGATGCGAGCGCGCGCGAACCCGTCCGACCGACCAACAGCCTCTCCAAGGGTTACAGCGAGAGCTCTCTCCTCTCGCGACCACCTCCTTATCTTTCGTCATCCGCCTCTTTCTCTCGCTCTTACTCCGGGACCACACCCCTCTTCTGCCTCACCAATCCATCTCCCTCTCTCTGTGTTCATCTGCCAGCACCCTCCATCCCTCTCAGCCTTCGCTTCCTCCCTCCAAGAAAAAGTCAATCACTTCGGAATCTTCTACCATATTCTCTATGATCTCTAGTAGTGGAATTCTTCCTATCCGCCATCACACTCCCTCCGTCTTTATTATTCTATTTCATTCTCAGTGGAAATGGAAGGTCACATGGTAAAAGCCCATGCAGTATAGTAGTCTACTCACACTGATGAGGAAGACAGGGCTACACTGTTTCCCTATTAAACACAGGAGTGGAAACACAGGAACAGTGAAAAATAGACTCATTGTCTTTATGAATCATGATGGAAAGCCACACACAATGTTAGAGCTTGCTGTACTATACAGTGGGGAAAAAAGTATTTAGTCAGCCACCAATTGTGCAAGTTCTCCCACTTAAAAAGATGAGAGAGGCCTGTAATTTTCATCATAGGTACACGTCAACTATGACAGACAAAATGAGGGAAAAAAATCCAGAAAATCACATTGTAGGATTTTTTATGAATTTATTTGCAAATTATGGTGGAAAATAAGTATTTGGTCAATAACAAAAGTTTCTCAATACTTTGTTATATACCCTTTGTTGGCAATGACACAGGTCAAACGTTTTCTGTAAGTCTTCACAAGGTTTTCACACACTGTTGCTGGTATTTTGGCCCATTCCTCCATGCAGATCTCCTCTAGAGCAGTGATGATTTGGGGCTGTCGCTGGGCAACACGGACTTTCAACTCCCTCCAAAGATTTTCTATGGGGTTGAGATCTGGAGACTGGCTAGGCCACTCCAGGACCTTGAAATGCTTCTTACGAAGCCACTCCTTCGTTGACCGGGCGGTGTGTTTGGGATCATTGTCATGCTGAAAGACCCAGCCACATTTCATCTTCAATGCCCTTGCTGATGGAAGGAGGTTTTCACTCAAAATCTCACGATACATGGCCCCATTCATTCTTTCCTTTACACGGATCAGTCGTCCTGGTCCCTTTGCAGAAAAACAGCCCCAAAGCATGATGTTTCCACCCCCATGCTTCACAGTAGGTATGGTGTTCTTTGGATGCAACTCAGCATTCTTTGTCCTCCAAACACGACGAGTTGAGTTTTTACCAAAAAGTTATATTTTGGTTTCATCTGACCATATGACATTCTCCCAATCCTCTTCTGGATCATCCAAATGCACTCTAGCAAACTTCAGACGGGCCTGGACATGTACTGGCTTAAGCAGGGGGACACGTCTGGCACTGCAGGATTTGAGTCCCTGGCGGCGTAGTGTGTTACTGATGGTAGGCTTTGTTACTTTGGTCCCAGCTCTCTGCAGGTCATTCACTAGGTCCCCCCGTGTGGTTCTGGGATTTTTGCTCACCGTTCTTGTGATCATTTTGACCCCACGGGGTGAGATCTTGCGTGGAGCCCCAGATCGAGGGAGATTATCAGTGGTCTTGTATGTCTTCCATTTCCTAATAATTGCTCCCACAGTTGATTTCTTCAAACCAAGCTGCTTACCTATTGCAGATTCAGTCTTCCAAGCCTGGTGCAGGTCTACAATTTTGTTTCTGGTGTCCTTTGACAGCTCTTTGGTCTTGGCCATAGTGGAGTTTGGAGTGTGACTGTTTGAGGTTGTGGACAGGTGTCTTTTATACTGATAACAAGTTCAAACAGGTGCCATTAATACAGGTAACGAGTGGAGGACAGAGGAGCCTCTTAAAGAAGAAGTTACAGGTCTGTGAGAGCCAGAAATCTTGCTTGTTTGTAGGTGACCAAATACTTATTTTCCACCATAATTTGCATATAAATTCATTAAAAATCCTACAATGTGTTTCCTCAATTTGTCTGTCATAGTTGACGTGTACCTATGATGAAAATTACAGGCCTCTCTCATCTTTTTAAGTGGGAGAACTTGCACAATTGGTGGCTGACTAAATACTTTTTTTCCCCACTGTATATTGTGTTTCCCACAAAAGGTCTGAATACCAAACCCATGTCATGTTGGTCACATTTCTTTATTAAAAGCAATAAGATGACATTGTCAGCAGCAGGTAGATTTACAGTAGTAATTACAGACAGAAAGAGGTGATCATACACAGCGAGAGATAGAGAAAACTAAATACAAAGATAGGACAGAACACTGTGTGAGAGAGACAGCAGGATTGTTCCTTTCAGGAAGCTTCCTGCTCTAGTCTATTCACTGTACTAATAAAACTATTCTATTAGTAGAGACTGCACTCTACTGAACCATTCTACTGGTAGAGACCAGACCACTCTACTGAACCATTCTACTGGTAGAGACCAGACCACTCTAGTGAACCATTCTACTGGTAGACACCAGACCACTCTACTGAACCATTCTACTGGTAGACACCAGACCACTCTACTAAACCTCTCTACTGGTAGACACCAGACCACTCTACTAAACACTGGTCTACAGGGACCCCTGTAAAAACAGGTTGTCATCCTGATTGATGTGATCATCGACCAATAATGATGTCACTCCCTGCCGTCATTATCAAATCCTTGGGATTCTAGAGCAAACAGTTCCTGACAGTGACATGATGTCATACTCACATCATCATCAATAAATAACTAGATTGATACAGAGACAGACAAAGAGATTGACAGACTTTTTTGATGACATGATATTCACAATTTGAGTAATCAGTTATTCTGTACATAATTGAAAATCAGAGTGGAGGAAAAATGTGCACACATAGGGGTCCTTGAAGACCAGGTTTAAGACTGACTGGCCTAATCTCAACCAGGCTCACTCTCAGTCCAAACTAAAGCCTTGTTCTATTTAAGTCCCTAGACCCTTACCCTAGCCCAGGGCTCTCCAACCCTGTTCCTGGAGAGCTACCCTCCTGTAGGTTTCCGCTCTTATTAGAATCAGGTGCGTTAGATTAGGGTTGGAGCGAAAACCTACAGGATGATAGCTCTCCAGGAACAGGGTTGGAGAGCCCTGCCCTAGCCTTTAACCCCATGGTGTTCACTGAAGGGGTAGGAGCAAGGGGAAGGGGCAAGGGACCGAAATGGAAGCAGCCACACCAACTAGCCCTCCTCAGTCCAGCTACAGTGCGCGCCCCCCCCCCCCCCCCCCCCAAAAAAAAAAAACTGTCCCCTCGTCATAGTCTTCACTTGTTTCTCTTGTAGATTTTCTTGGCGAAGTTGAGGAAAACTGCATGTGGAAGGTTTTGGGCGTGACGAGCGATGAGTTTCTGTAAGCGCTGGTAGCTGTCGTTTTCGTATTGGTGGTACAGGGTGGACATCTGTAGGGTGTTGTACAGCGCTTTCACCTTCTCCACACTCACACTGTCATGCCGACCATAACATGACTGAAAGAGGAAAATAAAATGTAAATAATTTGTATTTTTATCCATTTTCTCACCAGATATACTGTAGTCAGACCAGTTTCTTGTATTGAGCTATGTAAAGAATTGAATAAATACATTCATTCCCTCAATCATTCTTCCATCCTTCCAGGCTTAGGTGTATTTACAGTTCAACGGTCAACTGTGACTGTTCATGGTTGACCTCTCACCTCCAGCTCTGCCCTCTGTTCCGGGGTCATGACCCCTAGAGCAGTCACCACCAGCCAGCCACACTTGTTGTCCTGGATGTCTGTTCCAATCTTCCCTGTCACCTCCGGGTCGCCATAGCAATCCAGGTAGTCATCCTGGCAACAGAGAAATATTGTAAAACAATGCTGTTATGACATTGTTAATGTGTGTGTGTGTGGGTGTCAGTCTCACCCATACAATTACACATAGAATGTCTGGTCTCACCTGTATCTGGAAGAACTCTCCCATCTCCAGTAAGATGTGTTTAGCGTTGTTGTGTTCCTCTTCACTGTCAATGCCCGCCTGGGAATTATTCAGAAAGGGATATTCCATTTCTATAAGTTACCTTGTATAATGAGACTGCACCAGCCATTAAAAGACTATACACACTCACCATGTACATGGCTGCTGCAACAGGGAGGTAGAAGGAGTAGAAGGCAGTCTTGTACTTTACTATGGCCTTATATCTGACACACAGAGAGTGGGAGGGAGAAAGATAAAGTGAGTAAAGAGAATACCCTTCCAAACCCTCCCCACCCCAACAGCCATGCACTACTTCTATCAACAATACCCACTCACGTGTACCTTAAATCACCATATACCCCTCCATCTCTATATCCCTCCCTCGTTTTATCCTCCCCTCTCTCTCTCACCTCTCCATGGTGAAGCGGTTGAGGTCTATTTGACCAGGAGGAGCGGTCATCAGGTCCAGAGCCTGGCCCAGCTCTGTCTGGAAGGACGTCTGACACACACAGGGACAGAGAAACAATAGTCAGCTACAGCACAAGAGTCAGCCGTGTAAGTGTGTGTGTTTATGTGTGTGTGTGTGTACCTCGGTGAAGAGCTCCAATAGGTGTACGTAGTAGGGCTGTGCCCTGCAGTGTCTGCGCAGTAGTCTGTAGATGGCTCCCTCCAGGAGGAAGGCATCATTGATGGCATCCAGACCCACTCTCTCCTGAGAAACAACAGCTATGTTACTGACTGAGCACACCCTTTACTTAAAGCCTACTACGTTAACAGGGACACATGTTATTGTTGACAGGTGATGCAGTATGGAAGTTGATGTCAGCTTACAGTTCGTTTTGGGTAAACCAGTTGGCTGACCATAACAATGCTTTTAGATTAGACTACAATTCTAGTGAGAGCAATAACAATAGTCAGTCTCACCCTCTTGTACCAGCAGGGCTGACCTCTCCGAGTCACTGAAGCATCCATGATGTCATCAGCTACCAGGAAGAATGCCTGGAGCTGAGAGAGAGAAAGAAAGAAAGAGAGAAAAGGGGGGAGGCAAAAAATAAATAAAAAGAAGAGTGCGAGAGTCAGCGTTAGTCACTTCACAGTAGAGAGATACTGGTACCTCAGCAAAGTGCTAATTGATGCAACAACTGTGTGTGTGTGTCTCACCAGCTCAATGCACCAGCCAACCAGCAGGGCCCGTTGCACAGCATCCTGGGTCAGCTCTGTGGGAGGTACAAGCTCCCTCAAAGAGCCAATCACAGACAGACCTCTGTTTCTTTTTCCTCCAGGAGTGTTGTAGTGCAACACCTGAGAGAGAGAGAGAGAGAGAGAGAGAGAGAGACAAAGAGAGCGAGAGACAGAGAGAGAGAGACAAAGAGAGCGAGAGACAGAGAGAGACAGAGAGACAAAGAGAGAGCGAGAATGAGACAGAGAGCGACAGAGAGAGACAGAGAGAGAGAGAAAGAGAGACAGAGACAGACAGCAATAGAGATGAGTTGCATCATCTTTGCACATCTCAATTTCTCCCCCCAAAAAACGAGGAACTACCGCTAGACAATTCTCGTAGATATGAAGGAGAAAGCCTTTTTTTTAAACTTCCTATGGTGGTCTCACAACACACCCTACCTCTCTGAGTCTGTTGAGAGCGTCAGCGAGGACAGGGTCTGTGAGGTCCTGCTCTGTGAGCTCTGTCACCAGCTCCTCAAACTGGGCCTCAAACAGCTGTGGGTCTGACTGCACCGCCCCCGAGTGGTGGGTCCCGTTGTTGCAACTACTGTCACCCTGAGAGGAGAGGAGACATTTCAGATTGTGAGGGAAAGTCGAGAGGGGCATAGTAAGCAACAGCATTCGTTTCCAAAGCATCACATGTTAATACAAGGTCTGGTTTCTGCTTACACAGAAACATAGTTCACAGTGTCAACAACAACCCTCAGTTTATTAGCTAACAGTACTAGCTACATTGGTATAGCCAACTAACTGAAACTGTTAGCTCGTTGCACACAAGCAGATAGGGTGAACATCTTTACAGCAAACTGGACAACTACAGTAAATGACAGCTAGTAACATCCCAATGCTGTCAGTAGTAGCTTCAACAGTCCCACCACCTGTTCTCTGCAGTAATGTGACGAATTTGAGGTGAAACTATAGCTAACAGTCTGTGTTTACCAGCTCGAAAGACCCAGATAAACAAAGTCTAAAAATAGAGGAGATGACCCACTAATATTAGTAAAAATAGCAAGTTACCTTGGCTAGAATACAACTAACGTTAGCTAGCCAAGGTTATCTAGCTACTGTTAGTAAACTTGTCTGGCTAGCCATTCAAGACACATGGCGATATCAAGCATGAAAGTTAGATCCGATAGCTAGATAAGCAATTACACACTAGGTTGCAATATCTACAGTTGTTCTTACCATGATTATCTTCTCCTTGCTTGTAGTGACTGTATGTTTGGCAAATCCCTCTTCACTGGTTTCTTTACCTGTCAAAGGGGAGAGCGCGACGCCCACAGAACTTGGGAATTCTGAGTATTGTAGTTTTTGACCACCTTGTGTTTATTTTATCTCATAGCTTCTGAACTAAATGTCCCGACAGCCTTCGCGAGTGATGGCAGGGGCGTGGGACCACAAGGCTTCATATGACATCGAGACTTTTGATTCGATAACACCATCGAACCAGGATGGGCTTTCGGGCTGACTAGCCAATATAAATTCGGAAGAGGCAGAGTTTAGATGGGGGGACCTGTCTGATGTTTAGGTAGTTTTGTGGTGATGCACATTAACCCCATGTAGTTAGTTTGATCAAAATCAATCAATTGCTTAGCATGAGTTAGAGGTTTCTGGGCTAAGTCTAATACATGAAACATTATATAATATGCAACTTGAAATCTGTGGCTCCATAAGAATAGAATAGAATAAAATGGAATAGCGCATTTCTACAACATGTTTAGCCTAGCTACACATTTGGAACATATTACACACATGAGCACTTTCATGTTGTGGATAATTTATTCAATATGTTGAAATACATGACTTGCATTAAAAGTTCTTGCATTAGAACATTTATGTATCATATTTGAAGAGAATAATACATTTATTCAGTTAGGCTCTATCACGTCAAGCCATACAATTATACAATGTGCAAAATAGGAGGTAGAAATTATAGCTAAATTCTTAACACAGCTCAGTGCTTCTGTGTGTTTGAGTGTGTGTGTGTGTGTGAGTGTGTGTGTGTGGTTGTGTGTCAGTGTGTGTGTGTGTGCATATGTGTATCTGTGTGTTGTGTTTAAATAAGTTACATACATAATTGTGTGTATATTCAAAACTTAAGTCTTCACAGATATGGGCCCAATATCGCCATTGAGTGTCTAACTCTTGTCCGACTGGGTTGAGGTTAGCCAGCTTTCTAGTCCAATCCAGAGACAGTATATCCTCTAAGAATAACGCACACTTTATGTCGTCCAACCTCCAGTATCAGACTATTATATCCATATTCTCATAGTTCTATATCCCACTAAGTCTTGCTGGAACTACCGTCCTGAATATTTGATCCCCAACATCTATACAAACTTATCTGTACATTTATTGCAAGAATCTCTTTAGTGCTTTTGGAATCATACTGAAGTGCAATTGATCATACATAATTGTTCAGCCAGAGCTATACACATCACAGAGTTCATGGATGATAGTTACAACTCAGTATATCTACGGCTCTGGGTTCAACAGCACAACATTGATCCATCCCCTTCACTATACATGAACACATTTCCAAAGGCTCAGAACAACTAGGTTTTGGGCGCAAGAGAGAGAGAGAGGAAGGGAGAAAAGTACGAAGAATTGCCAAAACATGCAGCTAAAGTCATTCTTAGGGGGAAGTTAGTTATTGTGTAGGATTTGATACACAGGGAGGGAAGTTGTGGTATTTGAACAAGGCTCCTGTTTCATTTGGAGTACATTTTGGGGGTGTTGTAGCATCACATGCAGGCATACAAATCAAATCGCTATGTCCAAGGTCATCTCAGAGAGAGGAAATGCTGAGTTTGAGAGTATGATGTCTTAGACCGGTGTAATGGAGTTCATTTTGAGTTTGGGGTAGATGGTGTGTGAGTTTTGAGTTTGAGGCACCTTTCCTCTGAAGGCAGAAGGAGATGGACTAGGTAAGGGGTGTTGAGGATTACATGTTGATTTTACCTCAAGAAAATTAACCACAAAAAATAAAATAAAAATAACAATGTAAGATTGTAAACATACGGCGACACTAGCAGGCCATTCAAACTTTCACTTTCAGTCAGCAAAACGAGTGTAATCTTTTCTGTACATTTTACAGTGTCATCAGGAGAAAAGGAAGGTGAACCATTTCACCAGTGGAAGACAAAAAGGTGAGTTCCATGACCACTTAAAGTGAGTTTCGCTCTGGATGAAGAGCTGGACAAATGAATGTACATTTGAGTGTTGAAAAAGAGTGAGCAGCACAATCCAACACGTGTGTGCAGTGGAATGAGTGTAGGTGGTTTGTGTAAGAGTGGAGTGATGCTCACAGCTCCAGAAAAGTGTTTACCTTAGACACAGATCTAAGATCAGCTTACCTTCCCCTGATCCTAACCTTAACCATTAGGAGGAGAAACACTCAACTGACCATAGCTAAGAGTCTAGGGGAAACTTCATTATCCTACTCCTTCTCTCCATCCTCTCTAGTCTTGAAGTTAGAGAGAGATCCCAGAGAGTTGGAGAGGACAGATAGAGGTGTGTTCAGTATGGGTAGGTGGAGGTTGAAGATAGGAGGTTAGAGTTGAGAGGTCAAAGTTCAGGAAAGGAAGGCCAGGCCAGGCGCAGGATGCAGAGGAGGGCTCCAAGGGGAAGGGAAAGAGGAAGGATGCATGTTGAAAGTATTGGAACAAGGCTGTAGTAAAGGTCTAGTCGTTCCCTCCTCATAGTGCTGACTCCCTCCACCGCCCATCAGGATATGTCAGTAGCCTGTTCCTTCATCCTTCCTCTCCCCTGTCTAACTCATCCTACCATCCTCCACCTCTCCTCCTCCCTTTGTATTTCTTCTTCATTACACCATACCATGCCTCCACTCTCCTCTGTGTGGGTACACTTTCTGCCTCCTCTCCTTTTCCTCCTCCCTCCTCCCCCTCTCACAGGGCTGACTCTGTGTACAGCGCCCCTGATGACCCGTGAGGGGGGTTGGCCGTCAGTAATCGCCATAGCGATGCAGAGGAGGAGGAGCTTAAGTCGCCGCAGCTGCGCAGGTGGATCCCCTCCGTCACAGGGGGTTGGTTGCTATGACGGCGGTTGTGGCGGCTGTCACTATGAGAGTGGTGGTGACCGCGGTGATGAGGGTGTGGGGGGTGGGATCCCCGGCTGGCCCCCCAGGAGTTACGTAACACCTGGAGACAGACAGACAGACACTAGTGTGAGTGTGTGTGTGTGTGTCTATATGTGTGTGTCTGTGTGTGAGTGTGTGTGTGTATCTACTGTATGTGTGTCAATGTGTCAGTGTGTGTTACCTGCTCTAAAGGGAGATGGCCTGTCCCGTTGCCCTCCGCCCCGCCTCTCCTTTTCTGACCCTGTCCCGTGTTCCCAGAATGCTCTGTGGCGGACGCCAGGTTCCGTTTGGAGCGCTGCAGGAAGCGAGCCACCAACCCCCTCGTCACCTGACAGGAAGAAAAGGAGAGAGGATGAGAAATGAGGACCTGGCATAATCTTTCTACATACAATGTCTCAATTTCTAGATATAAGTATCTTTGCAGAGTTTATGGCTGCTGTTATTTGCATTTTTCAGCCATTACACACCTTGAGGTCCCCAAGAGAGCGGTTGCATTCTTTGGGCAGGTGCAAGGGAGAGTTGGCGGGGCCTTTGGAGAGGGGCAAGGTGCGCCCCATGGTGGCTGCCTTCACACTGCCCTTCCTGGGGAGGAGGGCTGAGGGCGGCACCAGAGAGGAGTGGGGCAGAAGGCATGCCTCGGAGGACGGACCTGGGGAAGACAGTCAGACAGAAACTATAATCTGTAGTGTCTAACCCAAGGGTGGTCAATCCTGCCCTCTCTGACCACTAACCTTTAACTTCTCACCTGTGTCTGTAGAGGTCTGAGAGCCCACCCTCACTCCTTTACTGCCCACTGAGCCACAACTGAAGTCAACTAGAGCAGAGAGGGAGGAGAGGTCGATGAGAGACCGAGACCCTGCACTCCTTACTGCCCACTGAGCCACAACTGAAGTCACTAGAGCGAGAGAACGGGAGGAGATCTCTTTAGACACCGGTCATTGCGCTCTGCTAGAGGTAGGTGCGGAGAGACTGAGACTCGATTAGATACGAATTTCTCTCCTTCTCTCTTTCTTTCTTCTCCGATTCCTCTCTTCTCTCTTCCTTTCTCTCTTCTCTCTTTCTTTCTTTTCTTCTCTTTCCTCTTTCTTTCTCTCTCTTACTTCTTTCTTTTCCTGCTTCTCTCCCCTCTTTCTGCTTTCTTTCTCGCTTTCTTTTCTTCTTCTTTCCCTCGTCTCTCTTTCCTTCTCTCTTCTCTCTTCCCTCTTTCTTGCTCTCGTTCTTTCTCTCTTTCTTTCTCTTTTCTCTCCTCCTCTCTTTTTTCTTTCTCTCTTCTCTCTCTTTGTTCTTCCCTCTCTCTTCCCTTCCCCCTCTCCCCCCTATTGTCTTTCTCTGCATAGTGTGTTCTAGTGTGTTCGAGGGTGTTGAGTTGTAAATCACTACAACAGGATGTCTGTACGTGTGTGTGTGTGTCCCACCCTGTATCCAGCAGAAGAGCTGAGGGCATGCCTCGCTGTGTGACCCTCACTAGGGGCAGAAGCCCATACTATCCGCTCCTCTCCTCCCTCCTCCCCCTCCTCCGCAAGGTACAACATTTCTTTCTTTTGATTTTTCATCCCCTTTTCCCTTACCAGCCCGGCTGATTGACAGCTGAGGATGAGGGAGTGGTTGAGAGCTGCAGAGGCAAGAAGGCGGAAACACGTCGTAAAGTGGTGGCGGGCCTGACTCGTTTCTCTGGATAAGGAGCGCTGGTGAGAGGTGGCGCCCCCTGCAGCTCCAACTGGGAACAACTACTGCTAACATGGCCGTCGCCTCAAACACTGGATACCTCAAAGAGGGGGGAGGGGAAGGGGAAAAGGGGGGAGAGGGGGGGAAAAGGGAAGGGGGGGCGGGGGAAGGGGGGGGGGAGGGAGGGGGGGGGTGGGGGGGAAGGGGGGAAGGAAAAAAACAAGGGAGGGAGAAAAGGGGGGAGAGGGAAAGGGAGGAAGAAGGAGAGAGGAAGGAGAGAGGGAGGAGGAGAGGAGCGAGAGGAGAGAGGAGAGAAGAGAGGGGAAGAGGAGAGAGGAAGGGAGGGGAGGGAGAGGGAGGGAGAGAGAGGAAAGAGGGAGTGGAGATGGAGAGAAGGGGGAGAGGGAGGGGAGAGGGGGGAGAGAGGAGAAAGAGGGAGAGGGAGGGGAAGAGGGAGGAGGGAGGGGAGGGAGAGAGGAGGAGAGGAAAGAGGGAGGGAGAGAGGGAGGGAGAGAGGGAGGGAGAGGGAGGGAGAGAGGGAGGAGAGAGGAGGGAGGGAGAGAGAGAGGGAGGGAGAGAGAGGTATGACATAGATATGAAATGCAAACTATCACCATGTCTTTCCTGCATAGTGTGTTTCATAGTGTGTTCATAGTGTGAGTTGTAAATCACTAACACAGGATGTCTGTATGTGTGTGTGTGTGTCCACCTGTATCAGCAGAAGAGCTGAGGCCAGGCTCGCTGTGTGACCTCACTAGGGGCAGAAGCCCATCACTATCCCTCCTCTCGCTCCCTCCGCCCCGACGACGCAGGTACAATGGCTGTAGGGGGAGGGGCACCCCGTTGCCCTGACAGCCCGGCTGATTGACAGCTGAGGATGAGGAAGTGGGAGGAGCTGCAGAGGCAGAGGCGGAACCACGTCGTAAAGGGGTGCAGGGCCTGACTCGTTTCTCTAGGATAGAGGAGCGCTGGTGAGAGGTGGCGCCCCCTAGCAGCTCCAACTGGGAACAACTACTGGCTAACATGGCCTGTCGCCTCAACACTGGAGACCTGCAAAGAGGGGGGAGGGGGGACGGGAGTTCTTGTTTGAGAAGGAGCCGTAAGAAAATGGCTGTGCTGTGAACTGTGTGTGTGTGTGTGTGTATTTACCTGTATGTAGCTGTAGCAGTGCTAGATGAGGGCAGGAGTTGGACCTCTCCCCTCTGAAGAATCGCCTGGCCCTGGGGCCCACCAGGGGACTCTCTACCAGGGGACTCTCTCGGGGCCTGGGGAGGGGGGCCACGGAAGCTCACATACTCCCCTCCTTCTCCCCCGTCTCCCCCCTCCACTCCCCTGGTGCTCCGTCTCTCCCCCCTATCCCTCACCCCCACCCCCACGAGGCAGGAGTCCTCTGAAGGTGACGAGTCATCTGGGATGTCAACGATCTCCGACATCAACAGAGAACCACTGTCCATGGAGACTGGGAGGAAGGGAGGGAGACGGTTCATTCACTTGTTTGTATTAGGCTACATTTATGAATTGGCAGTGTTGCTGGAACAGTCAGTAGCTGTTTAGGTAAAGAACCAGAGTCAATGGGCCCTTCATGGAAACTCTCCAGTCAATACCAGACTGGTAAAAACATGACTAATAGAGCTGAAGTAAATATAAGTGAACAGAATGTAGCATATGTGACTCTCACCCTCTCCGCTGAAGGCAGTGGATGTGGCCCTCTCTCCAGACAGCTCGTTCCCATGGCTGTCAAACACCGTGGCCTAAAGACAACCACACAGGACATGTGTTTAATAAACACAAACACACGCATGCACAACAAGAGGCAAATGTCAGAGGGCTGGAGACAAAGGCGGAACTCTCTAGAGAAGAGAGCGAGCTCTAAGAGAGACGGTCTAGCTGGAGATGCGCACTGCGCGATCGATATCGCTATAGCTCTCTCTCTCTCTCTCTCAGCTCTTTCTTCTCTCTCTCTCTCTCTCTCTCTCTCTCTCTCTCTCTCTCTCTCTCTCTCTCTCTCTCTCAAATCCAGATTCCCACTGACCTGGCTAGCTGCTCTCTGTCCCATCACTAATTCGTAAGGAGGGGGACAGTCAGTGGGGTACAGAGGGACTGGACTCTCCATCGACCCGTTATAGGTGATACTGAGGACATACAGATAAACAGACAAACAATGAACAATGATTTTCTTGGCTATTTGCAAATGCTAGAGTGTGTGTGTAATAATAATATTTTGAGGGGTGCTTATATTATATTATAATATTTGTACTGTTACACAAAAGTGTTTAATGAAAATGTGTTTCTTGCATATCCCAACTCCCCCTGAGACACCTGCAGGGAGTGGGGTCATAGCCAGGGTCACCATTGTCCTTGCTCAAGGGCATCGCAACAGAATTTTCACCTTGTCGGCTCCGGTATTCGAACCAGCGACCTTTCGGTTACCGGCCCAACGCTCTAACCTCGAGGCTACCTGTCTGTGTTATTACCTCTGTGCGTCTGTCTCAGAGCTGCAGGTGTATTCAGGGGGGTAGTAGGGGGGCGGGGGGATGGGCGGGACAAACTCCTCAAAGTCCATGATGTTGGTTAGGAAGGCATCCTGAGGAGTGGTGCATTCTGGGTTGACGGAGCGAGAGCGGTGCGGGGCGAGCTAGAGAGAAAGAAACAGGGAGAGGAGGGGAGGAATCATTATAACGGATGGATAAAGAAACTATTGTCTGTGTGTGTGTACAAGAGTGTGTGTGTGTGTGTGTGTGTGTGTGTGTGTGTGTGTGTGTGTGTGTGTGTGTGTGTGTGTGTGTGTGTGTGTGTGTGGTGTGTGTGTGTGTGTGTGTGTGTGTGTGTGTGTGTGTGTGTGTGTGTGTGTGCAGACTCACCAGGTGCACTAGGTCCAGGGAGAAGATGTGAATACTACAGGTGACAGTAGAGAGAGTACAGATGATGGTAGAGAGAATACTCAGACCACAAGCACTGAACAACAGGTCCTGGAACAGAGGAGAGGACACTCAGACCACAAGCACTGGACAACAGGTCCTGGAACAGAGGAGAGGACACTCAGACGACAAGCACTGAACAACAGGTCCTGGAACAGAGGAGAGGACACTCAGACCACAAGCACTGAACAACAGGTCCTGGAACAGAGGAGAGGACACTCAGACCACAAGCACTGGACAACAGGTCCTGGAACAGAGGAGAGGACATCAGCACTTAACAAATAGTCAGGAGGCCAGGGCAGTGAGGAGCAGTGTGGTTACTGTTTGTAATCATTTATATGCTGTATACTGCAGCGTGCATCATGTGCATTTGCCTATAATATTATGCTCTGCTTAGTTTATATCTGCATAAATGATTGTCGACATCAGAAAATGTAGCCCACATACTTTCAGAGAATATAGACGCCACACACATTGAGCTGTCATTAAACACATTGAGCTGTCATTAAACACACACACTGAGCTGTCATTAAACACACTGAGCTGTCATTAAACACACACACCTTCAGCTGATGTCTGACAGAGTGGCAGTCTGCGTTTAGGTAGAGTACCAGGGTCTCCTCCTCGTTTATAGAGCAGGAGTGTGTCGGGGCGCAACACACACACAACCCGTTCTCCACCTGCAAAACACACACACAGAGGATTAACACACACACATCCCGCCCCCCCCCCCAACACCCCACACACAGAGGATTACAGTTTTTCTCAATTGTTTACACACAAATACTGGTACTTGAGACACAATGACCACAACATGTAACTCATGCACCAACCCCCTGAACCAATTCTGCTAAACTACAAGCACAATTCCTGCTTTACACTCAAATTGCAGTTCTACAACACACTTTTTTCAAAACACTACACACAAATCTTTGCATTTGGCACAATTTTCATGCAGAAAATCTGTTGTTTTCACAATGAACACACTGCCATTCAAATATGCACACTGACTCATCACATGGGCAAACACCCGTCACACAGTTTTACAATTAGCAATCAGAGCTTTAGCATAAAAGGGCAACAGGTGAGCTCTTCTGTTTTGGAGCAATGGATGCCAACATTGGAAACAGAGGCAGAGCCAGAGGAGTGAGAGTAAGAGGAGGAGGACTGGGAGGACAAGGACAAGGACGAGGACGAGGACGAGGACGAGGACGAGGACGAGGAAGGCCAAGGACCGTAATCTCTGATGAGATCCGAGCCACTTTGGTTGATCATGTGGTCAACCATGGTCTAACAATGAGGGAGGCTGGGCAAAGAGTACAGCCAAATTTGAGCAGGTACACTGTAGCATCCATTATCCGGACATTCCGAAATGAGAATAGGTAAGAAATCTACTCTCACTAGAAAATTGCAGTACTGCATATCAATACAGTACTCAATGAGTACAGTAGTACAGTATTGCCTGTGGACTGTTCTGTAGGACTGTAAAAATAAAGTATGTTTCAAGTATTTGGGAAATGTATTTCTACTTTGTATTTACAGCATTTTACTATTTGTTTGGCAGAACTGAAAGATTACCAACCAACACAAGGTGGTCGGGAACGTGTTCTGTCTCCTGAACAGGAAACTGAAATCATGAACATGGTCCTAGAAAATAACGCCATAACATTACGGCAAATACAAAGAAAAATAATAGAAAACAATGATATTTCAAAATATTGATAGGGTAAGCTTATCAACACTGGACCGTGTCTTGCGCAGAAATAATCTCAGGATGAAGCAGGTCTACAGGGTGCCATTTGAACGCAATTCAGAAAGAGTCAAAGAATTGCGATATAACTATGTGCAAGTGAGTCCTATACAATCCCACAATTGATGCATACTCTCAACACTGTATAAATTATACATATTTCAGTATTGTAATCATAATGATTGTGCTTCACAATAGTGACCACTCCATGTCTATTTCTGATATTGTCATGTGTGTTTCAGAGAGTCCTTGAGCTAGAGGTTGCTGCAGTGGAGCACCAGTTCATCTTCATTGATGAGGTTGGACTCAACCTCACAAAAATACGAAAGAGGGGAAGGAATATCATCGGCCAGCGTGCCATTGTTCAAGTCCCTGGCCAGCGCGGAGGGAACATCACAATGTGTGCAGCGATTACCCACCACGGCGTCATCCATCACCATGCTACCCTTGGCCCCTACAACACCGCCCATCTGATCACATTCCTGGACACCCTACACAACACACTCATTCCACCAGATCAGGTAGATGGCCCAGAGCAGCTCAGGTACGTTGTCATTTTTTTTTAGTTGCGGTCTGGCCACAGCACCTCATCCACATCACAAGCAATGTCTCTGCCTCTGTTTCCTTTTTAGTTGTTTATCTCCCTCCATATTCTCCATTCCTCAATCCTATTGAGGATTTTTTTTCTGCCTGGAGATGGAACGTGTATGACCGAAATCCACAAATGCGTATACCTCTTCTCCAAGCTATGGAAGACGCATGTGGAGATATAGCAGCTGATTCTTTTCATGGCTGGAATCGCCATGCTAGGCGATATTTCCCCCACTGCTTGGCCAGGGAAAACATTGCTTGTGATGTGGATGAGGTGCTGTGGCCAGACCGCAACAGAAGAGAGGATGCAGCATAGTTTTTTATTTTATTTTTTTACTGTAACTGTATACATTCAATTCTTCTGTTTTGTATGTAGACCACTGTATGTGCAACTTTGTGTTGGTTGGGAATGGGATGTACACTGTGTACATTGTTTTTGTGGGAAAAATGAAATATATTTGTTACCGTGTATTTGTGTGTTCTGAGTATAAAAACAATATTCTCAAATATTTTACAACACACTTATGTATGTACTGTCTGTAGTAATGGCAACACTGAACCAAAAAAAGGCCTAAGTCATTATGATGAATGGAGAAGAAGTGTTTTCCATTCATCATAGTGTTTTACATTGAGCACATCAGTGTTCAACTGGTTCTTATAAATGTCTATTCATATGATGGTTTGTGTGTGTCATTTGAAAACAAAATACAATTTTGATTAGAAATAACATTGTTTTGAATGTAAAGTTTCATTTTGCTGGAGAATTGAGGGTTTTTGCCCATTGTGTGTGTGTTTTTTGATTTGTGTGTAGAGTTCTGAGAATATGAGGCATGCTTTCAGAAAATGTGTGTAAACAATCGAGAAAAACTGTAACACACACACATCACCCCCCCCCCCCCCCCCCCACACACACACACACACACACACACACATTCACACTCTCCACAGAGCTGTGTACACCTCTCTGATTCAGAGGGGTTGGGTTAAATGCGGAAGACACATTTTGGTTGAAAGCATTCAGTTGTGCAACACATTTCCCCTTTCCTACATACCTGGCAGGTGAGGAGTGATTTGACCATCTGTGCGTTCTGACAGGAGAGCATGGATCCAGCCAGACTGAGGATGACACACACAGCAGACAGCAGCATGAAGAGGGACACCTGGAGAGGGAGACATGGAGAGGGAGACATGGAGAGGGCGACATGGAGAGGGAGACATGGAGAGGGAGACATGGAGAGGGAGACATGGAGAGGGAGACATGGAGAGGGAGACATGGAGAGGGAGACATGGAGAGGGAGACATGGAGAGGGAGACATGGAGAGGGAGACATGGAGAGGGAGACATGGCGAGGGAGACATGGAGAGGGCGACATGGAGAGGGAGACATGGAGAGGGAGACATGGAGAGGGAGACATGGAGAGGGAGACATGGAGAGGGAGACATGGAGAGGGAGACATGGAGAGGGAGACATGGAGAGGGAGACATGGAGAGGGCGACTGGAGAGGGGACATGGAGAGGGAGACATGGAGAGGGAGACATGGAGAGGGAGACATGGAGAGGGAGACATGGAGAGGGAGACATGGAGAGGGAGACATGGAGAGGGCGACATGGAGAGGGCGACATGGAGAGGGCGACATGGAGAGGGAGACATGGAGAGGGAGACATGGAGAGGGAGACATGGAGAGGGCGACATGGAGAGGGCGACATGGAGAGGGCGACATGGAGAGGGAGACATGGAGAGGGAGACATGGAGAGGGAGACATGGAGAGGGAGACATGGAGAGGGAGACATGGAGAGGGCGACATGGAGAGGGAGACATGGAGAGGGCGACATGGCGAGGGAGACATAGAGAGGGAGACAGAGTTTTGAGGTATGCAGATGACCTGTGTTCAAATCAGGTAGCAGGTTTGTCAGTTACATACATATGCACAAACACACACACACACACACACACACACACACCATTAACATATAAATAGACAGACACTTCTGTACTACTCACCACAAGAGTGAGTGGTCTTCTCCATGAGATAAGTCCAACAATCCCTGACGCCACAACCTGGGAACAACACACAAAAAATACATAAATCAATGATCATATCTATAACCCAGTTAAGCACAGCCAGGATATATTGGGATCATTTCAATATTCTAAAGAGGTTTCTTCTCCTTGTATCCTTTCCTCCATCTGCACTCCATCTGCACTCCATCTCCATCTCAATGAGACATTCTCCATATTGCTTTCACCTATAAAACAGCCTGCTGTTTTTTATGGGGTGAGTTTCACATACAGATGTAGGATCTTCATTTGAGCCAGTTTGCTAGAGCAGTAAAATAATCCTGCAGCGAAAAAGGAAATGTCAATTATTCATTGAATTATAATTGATGGATATTTTTGTAGGGGTTGATACATTTTCAGTTAGGACAAATCAAGCCTGAAATTTCAAAGTGGAAATTACAAACATTAGAAGCCTTTTCAAAACTCAAATACACTACAAGTTTGCATTTCATGCTTTGCAGGAGAATTCTCAGCAATAAAATAGTGAGCAAAATAAGATCCTACATCTATAAAACATAAATAATTTTTTTAGCATTAAGATCATGTTCCTCCATTGCCTAATGGACTTATGATTATCTTGCTAAAGATGATATTTAGGTTTTCAGGAAAGTCCCCCCTTATCAGTGCAGATGAAGGAAAGGTAGTCATTCAGACCATTTAGAGATGCTCCCACGGGATACTCACAAAGAAGCCGGCCCAGAAGGGGCAGGACTGTCGGACGCGGGTGGAGGATGTGAAGGCCATGCTGGTGAAGGAGAAGGCCAGGACCATGGCCCCCAGGCCCAGGTGGCACAGTCCCAGGTACAGCAGCAGCTTGGCCCCACCTTGACGGCCAGACATGCCCCGGCGGCTATCTGACCAGCCCCTAGACCCAGAGGCTGACACCACACTGCTGGAGTCTGACGGGGATGGCATGGCCGGTGTGTGTGTGTGTGTGGAGAGTGGTGAGTCTGTGTATGTGTGCGTGTGTGTAGGCCTACGTGCGGTGAGTGTGTGTGTGAAAGAGAGAGAGAGAGAGAGAAAGAGAGAGAGAGAGAGAGAGAGAGAGAGAGAGAGAGAGAGAGAGAGAGAGAGAGAGAGAGAGAGAGAGAGAGAGAGAGAGAGAGAGAGAGTTTGTTGCTTTGAAAAAAATCAGCCCTTTTTCACTTTGGCACCGCAGTCAATTGGCAGGTGACAACGCGCGTTGTGCAATCCCCAAGGTTCGATCCTGACGCGCCACAGCGCAGTTTCCAAAAACTCTCAACTCAGAAGACTGGGCTATTCAGCATTTGAAAACACCAATAGCTGCTTAGCAGAGTGTGTATGCCCTATTACATCTGCACCCCCAGACAAACTTCAGCATGTTCACGTGAGGAAAAAAATAAGAAAAATACCTAGTGCTGATGCTTGAGAACCTGAATGTATTTACGACACACAGCGCCCTTCCTCTCTTCCTCTCTCTCCATATCTCTACCTCCTAAGGCCCGTAGCATTGCGGTGGGCGGAGCCCCGAGGCCGCAGTCCTGTAGCATCTCCCGTTATTAAGGGCCAGATATCCCGTTGTTTCTACGGTAATGGGAAACGACATGTATTGTGTAAGGCGGTGAGTGGGTCTGGATCTTTTCAAGGTGACGAGGAACGAGCATTGAAACAAGGCCCGAGTTGTCCTGTCCTCACGAAGGTCCGACTACCGGACCTGTCCAAGGATGAGAGATATGGCTCTTGATCAGATCTTAATCGGTCCGGTCGGGAAACCGTTCAGGTTAAGAAATTACTTAAATCCGTCGAAAATCAACGTATATAAATTATAGAAAGTACATCCTCCTTGAGCCGTCGGCACGTTTGTTCTGTTTTCATTTGCTATTCCTCCTCTTTCCATGTTTTTCCTCCGTGGGAGTTTTGCGGTGGACCACACAAACTCATCCCCCCCCTCTCCTCTTCTCTCCTCCCTGCAGCAGTCACGCGGCCTCCCGTTCTGCTCGTGTGTATCCCGGACATCTACCTCACTGCACCGAATTCTACGTCACACACCTCAAGCGATCGGTTCCAATTTCACACACATCCGTTTCCCAAGTCAAATAGCCTCTCTGATCATCATTCTTCTATTTCCCATCCCTCCATTATCTCTCCTTCACCATAGAGGCAAAAGAAAGGAATACCTAGTGTTTGTAAACCGACACGTAGTCATGTGACGAAAAGGCAAGCATGAATACGCGCGAGGAGGATGCGGCAAAGCCAGCGGGTCCTGGTGCTGATGCTGCGCTGGAGGAAAGCCCACCTCCAAGGCTTAATGCAGCCAGCCAATCAGATAGGGTTTCATTGCACTGTGCGGCCTCCAGGAAGTTTGTAGTCCCAGGACTATAGGCAGTTGTAGTTCACTGAATTACACGTCTCACAATATAGGCCTGCCTACATGTTACATTAAACATGTTTCACATCGGTTCCATCCTTATCTCTTATATAGGCCTATACATACCAGTTTTAAAAAATGGTGAGGGACTCAACAAGAACATTTATGTAAGCCATTAAAGGAAAAATGTAGCCCAGCTGGTATGGTCATAGTGTAGAAATGCAGCAATGCTCTTTAGGGGGGCTGTTAGACTTACTCATGAAACTGTGAAGGTTTGGAGAGTGGGGGACAATGCACTGATTCCTGTAAGCTGAGATACACTCGTTATTTTAGTGGGACAGACAACAGAGTGATGCACCAAAATGCAATTCACTCTGAGGAAATGTAAGCATAGGCATAGAAAATATAAGGGTTATATTTTGACAGTCTTTTATTGAATAGGCTAAGCAGCACGTATGTTAAATGATATACATTGGTCATAAGATAATTGATCAGACAAGGAATGTTTGATAGGGTGAAAATGTGTGTGAAGGAAAAGAGGAAAGGTGAGGGAGGGAACAATGAGATATCAGAGTAAAAAACACACAGGGTGCATCATCTCAATAGTCTGGAGTGGCTTCTTCCCAGAGGAAGACACTTTAGAGAATTGAAATGAACCCATAGACAGATAAGCTTACTGGCACAGTAGTGATTATGTAGTGTCTGGCATGGGCAGTGACATCATTCCTTCAGAGTAATTACTGATCTGACACGTTTGGATTGGTGAGAGCATCGAGGTGGAAGTCTTGTCCAATCACAGTACAGTTTATGATATAGGGAGAGATATATTTGCAAATATATCCAGTAGTACATCAGTGATTACCTCCAGGAGTGCATTGGATCAGGGCCCTGGTCTGTGTCTGAAAGTGGAAGGAAGGGTGTTTCGTTTTTGCCAAAGCTGTTGAACAGGTGCATCAGATAAAAGGTATGTTTGTCTATCAGATCAGAAAAGGTCAGTATGTTTATCAGTAAAAAAAGAGAACATCTCATCCCTCTATTTCTAACTCTCATCAGCATCATTCCATCCCTGTCTCTATGACACTTGCTTTACTCATCTTTTTATTCCCTTGCTTCATCCATCCATCATTCTCTCATCACTCCACTCCTCACATCCTCTCATATTGCACTTCTCTGTCTCTCTCTTCCACATCCTCAGTCCATCCATGTACAACACTTTATGTAGTAGAAGAATAGTTTACAACAGGCACAACCCAGATCACTCATCTTTACGTAGTGTGAAAAAATCAAACAAAATTAGAATTCAGGGTGAACTATCCCTTTAAGAGCATAATGTACCGTCACCATAGTTACAGCATGTAGATCTAAATTCCTGTCACTCTCTAGAATGCCCCCTGTACTACGCCTAAACAGCTATGAGCTGCTATGACCATAGAAATAAAACGAATGGAAAGGAATGTCTGCGTGTTGTCATAATTCTAATTCTTTGGCTATGACATTGAAAAGTGATTCTATGGCAGCGGTGCACAACTCAGGTCCTCTAGGGCCGCCATTATAGTAGTAGTTACCAATCAACTGTTCAATCAAGAAGCAGCAATATGTTTGGCAGTTTCACTGAAAGGTCACATGTTAATGTTCCTGGTTAATCAAGGAAAAATAATCCCTCTGAAATAGAGAGATAAAATGAAACACAGCAGACTTGTTCCATTAAGGACTGGAGATGTGCACCACTACTCTATAGAGTGAAGTCCAGAGCCATGGGATTACAGAGTTCAGCAAACTCGGTTTGGGATTTAGAATTTGAGCGTGCACCATGTTGGTTCCAAAAAATCAAATTCAACAGTGCATTTTAGAAGGAATTCATATTGGAATGCTGTCTCATGGAACATGTGGAGCCAACATGGAAGATATTTTGCTGAACTCTGTATGGCTCTGGTGGAGTGTAAACATACCATGGCTGTCAATCAGTCAGTCACCATGACAACAAAGCCATTGCAGGAGATTTGAAGGCAGTTGATACAAAACATGTTTTGGATGAAATCAAGGTGGTGTTCATCCTATTCTTTAAACAAACCATTGAATATTCCTCTGTAAAATGCCCTTGGACCACCTCAACATAGTTACAGGTCAGTAAAAGTGCAATCCATAAGTTCGGTTTCTGGTTTAAAAAAGTGTAGTCAGCACTTTTTAAAGGGGAGGGGGTAGTAAATTAATACATTTTTATTTTTTCTCAAGTCAATGTTGTTTTTGAAATCGATCTTGTTGCCACAGGGGACAGAGAACTTGTGGATTGCACCTTTAAAACCTTTTCCTTTGCAATAATATTGTTCCTATATGTGATAGTTCCCTCAGGTAACGAAGAGTCAGCCAGGACAGGCCAGCTCTGCCTCTACAGTAGGAGACATTTGGAGGATTTCTTCTCAGCGTTGGTGATTTTGACCTCGCGACCTGTGGGGCCTGGCTTCTTGCTGGACTTCAGTAGAATATCTCGAGCCAAAGCCATAAAAGACTACAGAGAGGCAGGAAGAGGTGGAGGGAGGGAGAGGCAGAGAAAGGGTAACAGTAGGAGAGTGGGGGTATGGGGATTATTAGGGTATGTGGCACATGTAACCTGTATGAAAAGGACAACATATCGCCCATATTCCCCATGTGAAATGCATCATAAAGGACCAGATAAAGACAGACTCTGTGATTGAATAAATTACATAAATATAATATCTAAAATAACATATATTTCTCTCACCTCATCAACATTGATGCTGGCCTTTGCGCTGGTCTCAAAGAATCTGATCCCATGATCCTTTGCCAGCTGTTAACAACAAAACACAAGCGTAATTACAGCAGGATATGTCACTCCCCCTCCTAATCAGCAGAGTTTATGCCGCGTTCAAAACAACTGGGAACTCAGAAAAATACGAGGTCAAATCATGACGTCAGTGATCTTCAGGTCGAAAAGTCGGAGAGTTCCCGAATTGGAATTCCGAGTTGGATGACTGTTCAAATAGATTTTTCCCAGTCGGAGCTCGTTTTTTTTCTGAGTTCCCAGTTGTTTTGAACGCATTGAAGTCGGAAGTCTGAGATTTCCGAGTTCCGAGCTCACAGTTGTTTTGAACCCGGCATGGGAAACAGCAACACTCTGGGTGAATCTCAATAGTCTAAGGTGGCTTCCTCTGCTCTTCTCCCTCCCTTCATCAGGACAATCTTTGACCATCCATCCATCCCTCAATGATCCATACATCCCTCAATGATCCATACATCCATTCATCCATCACTCCGACATCTGCACATCAGTGTCAATATCATTGAAAGCATACACTTCATAATCCAAACAATGATCATAAAAATTGTAGAGGCTCACCTTTTCCCCCGTTTCCTTGGATACCTTCCTCTTGGCCTCAATGTCACACTTGTTAGCTAGCAACATCCGGCTGACCCCCGCTGATGCATTCTGGGGGATAAAAGACAGGGAGTTGGCATCCATTGCATCCATTTTATATTTCAATGATGTATCCCTCTCATCTTCTGCCCTTAGTTCTGCCTCGACAAGTACTCTCTTGGATAGTCTTTAATTCAGCTCTAAATTGGAGCCAAGTCTAACTCTTGGTTCAGATGTGAAATCATTAACATTTCAAAATGTTAACTTTGAACTATTATTTTTGTTCACTATGCAAACAAAATGAAACAAATTTAAACATGTTTTTGGGAGTGCAGTTGTATGCCCCATTATTCACTAAAGGCACCCCCTAAGACAACAGACTAACATCTAGTCTCAATGTAACCCTTGTTATTGTGGTTTATAGATGGCAATAAGAAGTCTGGTCAATTAGAATAATTTCCTGTGCAGTCATTCCATAATACTGTCTGTCTAGGGGTTGTATGATGTCACTGTGCATAATGGCTGATTCATCTAAAGAATGTTAACATGTTTCTATAATGAGATCGTTTTGGTTCAAAGCTCTTCTTCAGGACTAGGACTGTGCCTCCAATGTCAGTGGAGAGGCAGCTACATCATGTCTGCACCTCATGCTTTTCTAAAAGTCATCCATCACTGACCACAGAATAAGGAAACAGTGGTATGAGACCCTCTGGAAGTGTTGCTCATGTCTCAGGTATTTTATTGTTTCAAATCCTTCCTAGGGGCCTGAGAAAATGCTGCCCTCTCAGATTCCTTCTGGCCTGCGTCATGTCTTGTCCCTTCCCTCTTTCACAACACTCAGTCTGCATTTTGTTTTGCCTCTCACCTCCTTGATGCTCTTCATCCAGTTCTGAATGTTCTCGTAGGACTTCTCGTCTGTGATGTCATACACCAGGATGATGCCCTGAGAGATCACGGGAAACATGAGTCAGACAAAAAAAAAACATTGTGCAATTCCAAATCAACCTGATGGATGTAAGCAAAATGATACTAATAGTTTCAGCCATAATCTTACACACATCATGTTCTCTCATATCTACAAATGTGAAGTGAGAGAGAAGCCCCGTTTATGCCTGGTGCTAAGATGCAGCCTTTGTCCTGATCTTGTCCACATTCTGATTGTGCCCACAGTTTTAGACAGGTGTAGATGATTAAATTACTTGTGATCTGATTGTGATTGAGAGCGAGAGCGAGACACTCACCATAGCTCCTCTGTAGTAGGCTGTAGTGATGGTCTTAAACCTCTCCTGCCCTGCTGTGTCCCTGGAAACACAATACATTAGGGAAAATGTTTCACCTCCTTCCAAAAGTAGCTAATTGAACACCCTGGAGTACAGATGTAGGATCTTAATTTGAGCCAGTTTGCTACAGCAGGAAAATAATCCTGCATAAATTATTATGTGGATTATGTACATTTTTGTAGGGGTTGATACATTTTCCATAAGGGCAAATCAAGTCAGAAATTACACATTTTAGAACCCTTTTTAAAACTGAAATACACTACATGTTTTCATTTCATGCTTTGCAGGAAAATTCTCAGCAACAAAAGAGTGATCAAATTAAGATCCTACATCTGTAGTAAGCACTGAACCTACTGCTGATTTGTCTGTGTTGGCAGTTGGTGGCTGTTCTTTCTCTACAAAGTACCTGTTTTTCTAATGCAGCACCCAATTCATAGAGTACACTGTCTATACATACTTATCTGGAGAGATACAGCCTTTACACATGTGAGTGTTCCAGCACATCATTTATCCACGCTACTACGAAAACATTAAGCTATGGTCACACTAATGTTCTCATAGCACAGAACGTTGAAGTTCCCCACCTACACACTGAGCTATGGTCAGCACAGGAGGTTGGTGGCACCTTAATTGGGGAGAACGGGCTCGTTCTAATGACTGGAACGGAATTGGTGGAATGGTAACAAATACATCAAACACATAGTTTCCAGGTGTTTGATGCCATTCCATTTGCGCCGTTCCAGCCTCAGCAGCCTCCTGTGATGGTCAGTATGGCATTTCCCCCCCTAATGGCTCAGGTCAGGATTTGGGGAGGTTAACCTGATCCTAGATCTGTGTCAAAGGACAACATCTACCAGGGGTGTGAAATCCACAGAGATATGAGACATGCATATGTTTTATGCCAGTTCAATAAAGTCTTTATGGCTGCTACAGACTTCATGTCTGGCTTTATGATAACTCACTGGCACTCACTGACAGATAAAACATAGGTGAAGTCATAGCCTAAACCAAAGGTCCTGCCGGGACAGTCAATATCTCAGTGTACTCAGTGACATATTCCAGATATGCACTATATATATAAAAAAAAAAGTATGTGGACACCCCTTCAAATTAGTGGATTCGGCTATTTCAGATACAACCGTTGCTGACAGGTGTATAAAATCGAACACACAGCCATGCAATCTCTACAGACAAACATTGGCAGTAGAATGGCCTTACTGAAGAGCTCAGTGACTTTCAACGTGGCACCGTCATAGGATGCCACCTTTCCGACAAGTCAGTTCATCAAATTTCTGCCCTGCTAGAGCTACCCCGGTCAACTGTAAGTGCTGTTATTGTGAAGTGGAAACGTCTAGGAGCAACAACGGCTCAGCTGCAAAGTGGTAGGCCACACAAGCTCACTACCAAGTTCCAAACTGTCTCTGGAAGCAATGTCTGCACAAGAACTGTTCATTGGGAGCTTAATGAAATGGGTTTCCATGCCCGAACAGCCTCACACAAGCCTAAGATCACCATGCGCAGTGCCAAGCGTCGGCTGGAGTGGTGTAAAGCTCGCCGCCATTGGGCTCTGGAGCAGTGGAAACGTGTTCTCTGGAGTGATGAATCACGCTTCACCATCTGGCAGTCCGACCAATCTGGGTTTGGTGGCTGCCAGGAGAACGCTACCTGCCCCAATGCATAGTGCCAACTGTACAGTTTGGTGGAGGAGGAATAATGGTCTGGGGCTGTTTTTCATGGTTCAGGCCTCTTAGTTCCAGTGTAGCGAAATCTTTAACGCTACAGCATACAATGACATTCTAGACAATTCTGTGCTTCCAACTTTGTAGCAACAGTTTGGGGAAGGCCCTTTCCTGTTTCAGCATGACAATTCCCCTGTGTACAAAGCGAGGTCCATACAGAAATGGTTTGTCGAGATTGGTGTGGAAGAACTTGACTGGCCTGCACAGAGCCTTGAATGCAACATAGAAATATTGCATTCCTAAGGTACCTCAATCAGTGTGTGGTGGCCCTTTGAGTGACATTTGGACAGTAAACCCTGTCATAAACGCTTGGTTGTTTTGGTAAAAAGGGAGGTTCCTCTTTCCTCTGAGAAAGAGAAGTAGACACACGTCCAAAACACACAGGAGTTGAATAAAAACTGTGTGTTGGTCCCATAACTATCATCACTTTTGAGAGCAGCGAACAGTAGGCCTAAATGGACATTTCATTCATTCTTTGCCAGGATCCTCTTCTCTTACCAGACTTGCAGTTTGACTTTCTTTCCCTCCACGTCTATCGTCTTTACTTTAAAGTCGATGCCTGAAGAAAGGATGGGAGGATGACACAGAGGGGGAGGGAGGGAGGAGGTCGACAGGAAGGGAGGGAAGACAATGAGTTAAATTCCCTCACACACACACACTCACACACCACTGGCATAGCAGCAAATATAGGTCATGCCAATTAAACCCTTTTGCCATGCATGGAGGGGGAGACAGGCATTCTCAATTCATCAAACTTTCACTGGGATAGTAAAGTCTGTCTATCTCTGCCCCATTCTGCTGTGTTGTACCACACACAAGCACACACATACATACACACACACACACACTGTGTCTCTGGGTTTGTTATTGTCTGGGTTTCCTGCAGGACAGGGACAGTCAGAGAGAGAGAGAGAGGGCAGAGAGAGAAATAGAGAGGGCAGAGAGAGGGAAGCGGGAGAGAGGGCAGAGAGAGACACAGAGAGGGCAGAGAAGAGGGGCGTCTTAAGCTGTGAATGCCAAGGGACGACCACCATTCTTCTGAAAATGAGAGACTGAAAAGAGATAGGAGAGAGAGGAGGAATGGGGGTGGGTGGACCCTCTGGGTAAAGTGAGGGAGGGGAGAGGGGGATATGGAGAAGGAATAGAAACAAGAGCAGCACAGCAACAATGTAGATGAACTACAATATGGATATCAGATTGAGATATAGGTTGATAGAGACGTGTAGACACATGAACACAGCAGAACTGGAAACGTGAGAAAACTGCGGGGTGAACGTGATATGAACTTGGCATTACATGGTAGCTGAAAGAATGGTACCTATGTCAGCAATGACGAATTTAAAGGGTTCCTGAATATTTTTGTGCCGATTAAAAAGTAGGCTATAACCGATTAAATGGGGTATCGTAGAGCTAGGCTACATACCGATAGTTGATATGTAGGTTGAGTTGAAGTTGTCCTCAGCAAATCGAATAATCAGACATGTTTTGCCAACTCCACTATCTCCGATGAGTAATAATTTGAAAAGGAAGTCGTACTTTTTCGCCATAATGTTTTTCAAAGTTTTTGGTGAATGTTCAGAAACTATGACTCTTTACAAATCCAGTACAATTTCCAATGTTTTTCTTAACCTTATGTTTAACGCTTAAGAGTTTAACAAATGCCTTAAAGTATTACTCAACATACACACAGGTCAAAATTACACTCTCATTTCTCCTGGAGAGTTTTCAGCTTTACTTTAGCATAAAATCCGCTTGTTTTCCCTTTCCCTTGAAAACTGTCACCATTACATTCGGATCTCCCCCAATGTCTCTTTTGGTCCGAGAAAAATAAAACAGAACGCCACACAAGTTAAAAACGAAAGTTGGAACAAACTTTGCTGCACTGCAATGGGCTATACAATTCTACAGAGCCACAAAACTTTGTTATAATCCATTTATCAAGCCAAAATTTGAAGTTTTCTTTTCTTCCAAAGGCCGATCAACATACATCCATTCCACACAAACAGGGCTAACTCGCCAAAAAAACTTTCTCCTGTCGAAGTTCATGTAGGATTACGTAGAGAGGGAGAGGTTCGCAGTTATTACAGTGGAGAGAAAAGACAGGAATGGGACAGCAGAAATAGCCGATGCTGCTTACAGACAGCAGAGGGCGCTCGACCAAATGAATAAAGTCAGTGGTTTCTTAGGTGTATATAGAGCTCCATGTAATTGCGTTTACCTAAGGCCTTTACTGAAATATGTGTATCCTTAGTACCACATTTCAAGTGGTCTCTCCCTCACACTGGGAGAGAAATCGAACAAAATCAAATTTACCAGTAGGCTAGTTAAAGATGGCTCTGAACAAAACCTCTCTGTGTATATGCCTGTGTGATTTGGTAGGAAGAGTAGACCTCACAAACATGGCATCCTTGCCTCTCCTCCATGACACGTAATGGCGACAAAAACACTTCCGGCCCCTGCACCTCGAGCCCTGTTCATTTATTAACTTTCAACTTCCGGTTGATCCTTCTTTTCGGCTACGGCTACAAACTCGCCAAGATGCCAGTAAGTGCGCACACAGGCTATATAACCCTTGCTTCAGTTTGGGAAATTTGTTTGGGCGGGACATGACCACATCCATCGATGCATTAGAACTTTGCGAATATTCCGATCTATTTATATTCAGGATTAGTCTAGCAATGGATAGCTAATGCAATCTTGAACTGCGGGCCAAGCGCGTGCTATGGGCTTTGCTGAATTGACGCAATATGGCGGCGTACATGCAATAGAAAGCATGGACTGACATGTAGCTAGCTAACTACTTTGATGTTTTAGTGATTGTTTATAAACATTTGACAGCGCTTGTACACGATGCATTTTGACTAGATATGCACATTCATTGACTTATGTTTGATAGTGGACTTACGCATGTTTTAGCCAAACAAGCTAACGGTAACTAGCATAGCCTAGTCTACTGTAATTACTAGCCATGAGTTTACCCAACGAACATTTGTCAGACATGTCAAATATGTTTGATGATACTTATCTTATGTACACGTCTCCTGTATGGACATTGTTTTAACTTGTTAACTAGCTAGATTATCAATTGGACACCCCCATCTGCATTTTCTAAGATGGCCACCCTCTGGTTTCTCTTTTCTTCAGCTCGCAAAGGACCTGTTGCACCCAACCTCCGAGGAGGAGAAGAGGAGTCACAAGAAGAAGCGTCTTGTACAGAGCCCTAACTCGTATTTTATGGATGTCAAATGTCCAGGTTAGTGTCTCCCTGTAGCCTGGCTAGAAGTGGCTCCCTGTAGCCTGGCTAGAAGTGGCTCCCCGTAGCCTGGCTAGAAGTGGCTCTCCGTAGCCTGGCTAGAAGTGGCTCTCTGGCACAGCTCTAGGATCATCTCACCCTAAACGTTACCTAAACTGACCTTGGTTTATTATCTAGGGATGTGGTTTGCCTGTCTTTATTAAAACTGGTCAGTCCACCAAAGAGAGAGTTTGCATGGCTAATGGAAAGTCAATGTGGTCCCGTGTGGTTCAGTTGGTAGAGCATGGTGCTTTAAACGCCAGGGTTGTGGGTTTGATTCCCATGGGGGACCAGTATGAAAATGTATGCACTCTACTATAAGTCACTCTGTGTAAGAGTGTCTGCTAAATGACTTGAATGTAAATCTAGTCTGGTGGTTATTGATTCATCACTGAGACTGACTTGTTTCTAGGGAGATGTGTAGCGTCTTGCCTTTATGTGTTGCCCGTTCATTGTCTCCAGAGTGAATGAGGTGTCAACCAAGGCATACAGTAACCTTGTTGGTTGTCTTTGTTTGGAAGGAGTCTCCACTGATTCCTTTTAATAACTGCAATTGCAAGAACACAACAGTAATTGGAGAATATAATGTGTGATTTGTTGGGACTGAAAACATGAGTAAGTCGTTGAGTTTAGGACATTTTGAGGCAAATTTAATTCATATTCTGAATGTGTCTGAACTGTTCTCTCTACAGGATGCTATAAGATCACGACAGTGTTCAGTCACGCCCAGACCGTCGTCCTGTGTGTCGGATGCTCCACAGTCCTGTGTCAACCTACAGGGGGTAAAGCACGCCTCACAGAAGGTACAATACTACACACACTCAGCCTTCCACACAGAGTATCCAGGATGGAAAAATACTGATGTTGGACATAATTGTTGCCTTTATGTGTTGCCCATTCATTGTCTCCAGAGTGAATGAGGTGTCAACCAAGGCATACAGTAACCTTGTTGGTTGTCTTTGTTTGGAAGGAGTCTCCACTGATTCCTTTTAATAACTGTGACTGCAAGAACACATTTAATATACAGAAGTAATACTGTCCGTTCTGTTTCTAGTTGTAATAGTCTGATCTGCCACTCGTCAGGATCATGCACGAGATGGCAAATATTTTGGGGGAAAGTTGCTTACCTGAACTTGTCAAAGACCCTTTTGTTTTCCAGTTGAAAACGTAGTTTTTTCATACTTTACTGATCATGACCCAAATAATTTAATGTATTGCTGTTCAATAGCCCCAATTCAAGTGTGACTCTTTACCTGCTCAGCTGGCTTGGTTTGTGTTCACCACAGTTCAAAGCGGTTGGCAGTGTTTGTAGGGCTGGGAATTGCCAGGGACCACACAATACTTAAAGGAAAAATCCACCCAAAACCACTCATTCCTATAATTTACAGTGCTACATAACACTATGTGAGGACAATATATTTTGTGAACAAATGTTTCATTTTGTCGTTAAAAGATGGTTGGTAGCAACGTGAAAATCATTGTGGAAATCTGTTGCAGCTCAAGTCGACTACAAAATCCACAATGCAATGCTCTATGGGCTTGCTGGCTAGAAAGGTAGGTAGGTAGCTAGCTAGCAAACGTACCTACACACAATACCTAAGTCAATATCAGCATATGAAGTAGCTAGTTAGCTATAAAATCACCTAAACAAACTGCACTATCAATTTAGGAGTCTACAATCTCACCATTTCAACCTGCAGATTGATGTGGAGTCTGACATTCGAAACGGCACCATGCAATGTACCCTGGACTGACGAAGCAGACAAATAGGAGGAATGTGTTAGATCCTCTGTTAAATTACAAATTTCGAGGTAGGAAAATTGCAAAAATATGATCAATGGCTCATTCAAGAGAAGACAACCTCCAATCGGCCAGTATTGAAATCTGACGTGTATGATAGACGTTTTTGCGATCTAAAAGTAATATTCCTATTAACTTCCAGTGTAGTGAGAGCGGCTTTATCACAATGCTACATCATACCAGCCAAATTTCTGCCTGCTTGAACAGCAATGGCTCAGATAAACATGAAATGACCCATGGAATCGATAGAACATCACTCAGAGATGCACAAAAACAATATAACATTCAAAATGGGTGGATATTTACTTGAAGTGCCGATACGATATGTATTGCGATTTGATGTTAAACATATTGCTCAAGATATGATCTGTGCTGTTGCCAGGTGGAACCTATTCCCTGTGTTAGCTTAGTGACAGTGGTGCTATATACCGCTTCCTGGCTCACCAGTCGGTTGGTCAATATTGACCTAGTATTAATGATTGACAATATTGGCATGCAATGAGTTCCTAGTGAATGTCTGTCCATAACATGACTAGACCGTGTTGATTTTGTACGTGCACACCAGACGCGATCCAAGACACGCAGGTTGATATATCAAAACGAACTCTGAATCAACTACACTGAATACAAATATAAACGCAACATGTGTTGGTCCCATGTTTCATGAGCTGAAATAAAAGATCCCTGAAATTTTCCATACACACAAAAACCTTATTTCTCTCAAATGTTGTGCACACATTTTATCCCTGTTAGTGAGCATATCTCCTTTGCCAAGATAATAATAATAATATATAATAATAATATGCCATTTAGCAGACGCTTTTATCCAAAGCAACTTACAGTCATGCGTGCATACATTTTTGTGTATGGGTGGTCCCGGGGATCAAACCCACTACCTTGGCGTTATAAGCGCCGTGCTCTACCAGCTGAGCTACAGAGGACCATCCACCTGACAGGTGTGGTATATCAAGAAGCTAATTCAACAGCATGATCATTACACAGCTGCCCCTTGTGCTGGGGACAATGAAAGGCCAATCAAATGTGCAGTTTTGTCACACAACACAATGCCACAGATGTCTGAAGTTGAGGAAGTGTGCAATTGGCATGCTGACTGCAGGAATGTCCACCAGAGCTATTGCCAGAGAATTGAACGTTTCATTTCTCTACCAATGTCGTTTTAGAGAATTTGGTAGTACATCCAATCTGCCTCACAACAGCAGACCACGTGTATGGCGTTGTGTGGGTGAGCGGTTTGCTGATGTCAACGTTGTGAACAGAGTGCCCCATGGTGGGGTTATGGTATGGGCAGGAATAAGCTACAAACACAATTGCATTTTAAATGCACAGAAATACCATGAGATCCTAAGGTCCATTTTTTGAAATTATTTTTTTTACGTATCTGTGACCAACAGATGCATATCTGTATTCCCAGTTGTGAAATCCATAGATTAGAGCCTAATGATTTTATTTCAATTGACTGATTTCCTCATATGAACTGTAACTCTGTAAAATCTTTGAAATTGTTGCATGTTGCGTTTTTATATTTTTGTTAATTTGGGGACAGGTCGAAACATTCATGGACATTTAGCTAGCTAGCTTGATGTTGCTTGCGAATTTGTCATGGGATATAAACATTGGGTTATTTTACCTGAAATGCACAAGGTCCTTTTTTTCTGGATCTTTGTAGATTTTTCTCCCATTTTGAGTCACACAAAATCGTGTGTTCTCTACTCCGACAATTAATCCACAGATAAAAGGGGAAACTTAGTTAGTTTCTAGGAATCTCTCCTCCTTCAGTAGTCTTCTTCTGTGGACTTTTATATGTCGGTTGGCAACCAACTTTAAGGTGCATTACCACCACCAACTGGACTGGAGTGTGGACCTCAGTTCATCTTTCAATCACCCACGTGGGTATATGTTCCTAAAAACCAATGAGGAGATGGGAGCGATGTGACTTGCAGCGCGTCAAGCATCAAAAATAGAACCCTGGCTACGCATACATTTATTTTGCAACGCGAGCGGTGTGGTCAGCATGCAATGCACACACTTGACGCCTCACATGATCCCTGCATGTCCATTGTCTGGATTTCTCTCCCTTCCTCCATCCCCGTTATCCTCATATCGCCTTCCCCGCTAGGCTGTCAGTCTGGCCTTAAGAATCAACAGTAGTTTGATCCCCTCACTCTCCCTACTGGAGCCTGTTGGGAGCTCTGACTACCATATAAAAGTGAAATCTGTCTGGGACCATAACTAACTCCTCTTCCTCCTTCACCCAGGATGCTCATTCAGGAGAAAACAGCACTAGTCTCTCAGCAATGGACCTTGTTGGACCGAGAGACCAAGGGAGGAGAGATGGGATTGACCCCACAGTGACCCTGTTCAGGAAGTGACAACGCGAGAGGAAAAGTGGAGATGAAACTGAAGAAGAGGAAAGATGGTGTTGAGCTCTGCTTTGTGTGCGTAGAGAGAAAACGTCCCCTGGCATGATGACATCACTGTAACACCACTCCTCCACCGATCTTTCTCACTTATTAATAAAGTTTAGTTTTTTCGTTAAAGAATCCAGTTTACTTGTCTGTCTTTGATCCAGGTGTCAAATATGTTTGACTGTATTATTAGAAAACAACATGAAGGTGTCATATGGGGAAGGTAAGCTGGTCCTAGATCTATACCTGAGAACAACTTCTACCTAGAGCTCCACTGTTCTTAATCCAGGGGTGTCAAACTCATTCCATGGAGGGCCGAGGGTCTGCTGGTTTTTCCCCTTTCAATTAAGACCTAGACAACCAGGTGAGGACAGTTCCTTACTAATCAGTGACCTTAATTCAATCAAGTACAAGGGAGGAGAGAATCTGCAGACACTCGTCCCTCTGGAATGAGTTTGACACCTGTGCCTTAAATGGACCAACGCAACACGCTGACAACGTTTGCCAGGAAAATGTTTAGTTGACGGTTTTAACATGGATAATTTACAGGGCTGTTAGTGTAACCGTGTGCTCCAGAGCCAGTTGCGTCTGCGGAGGATCCTTTCTGTGTCTGGGGATGAGGGTCTGATCCAGGGAGAGAAACGCACCGTCCTGCTGCGGGCCACTGGAACACACACACACACCAGCTTAGACAACCCCAAGACTGCTGCTGTCCACTGGAGAACAATTATATTATTAATATAAAGCTTACAAATCATTTATGCTACCTGATGCACCAATATAATAGGAAAGGGTAACGTACTGACCTGTGTTAGGTGGTGTATTTGGGTACAGGCCGACCGCAGGGACAGGAACCGTCTGCATGCAGGAGTTGTACACTGACAAATACAGAAGTTAACTGTCACATTCAGCTGCACATGACACACCACCAATTGAGTGGTTAGTTACCTATGAATAAGGTAGTGGTGGTCAGATAGTTACCTATGAATAAGGTGGTGAGTGGTTAGACAGTTACCTATGAATAAGGTAGTGGTGATTGGTTAGTTACCTATGAATAAGGTAGTGGTGGTGAGTGGTTAGATAGTTACCTATGAATAAGGTGGCAGTAGTGGCCATAACTGCAAACACAGCAAAGACCAGGATGAGATGGAAGTCCAGGAGCCGAGTCCAGGAAGATTGTAGACTAATCAGATCTGTCGAACCTGAACACACACACTCAGACAGGGTCAGATGTGTGGATACAGGGGTGAGTCAGTGGGCTATATCAGCTGTGTAGTGCTAGGGCAAAAACCAAAATGTGCCCCAGGACTGAGTTTAGGAAACACTGTTGTATATTAACGTTTTCATTGTCGTGTTTTGGCTGTGTGAGAGTCTGCTCCTCACCTATCTTCACCTCACTGTCCGCCGTGATGTAAACCATGAGGACATGAGTCTGTGGGGTCAGGTGGCTGGACAGGGTGATGTTGGCAGGAGGGGGCAGGGCCTGACCTTTGACCCAGGAAGTGGAAATGTAGACAGACAACACTAGACGTCCGTCTGATTGACTGGGCTCAGATAGCAGTACGTCAGTACTGTCAGAGTGGAACTGAACACAACACAGAGAGAGAAGAGATATGGATTGCATTCACTCCATACTGCCTATGCCAAGGTCTTAAAGCAGTGTGTATTGTGGGGCTGTAAATGCTCTAATGCTTAATGTTAGTCCTAATGTGACCCACCCGTAGGGCAGAGAGCACCTCCTTGGTGCCCAGCACAGAGAACTCTGCCACGGGCTGCAGAGCAGAGAGCACCAGGAAAGACACCGGGCAGTGGAACGCAGGCAGGTACGGCAACTGTACCAAACGTCCGGAGAGAGGAAGCGACAGAGCAGAGAGAGGAAGGATAGGGATGGGGGACTGGCCCCGCAGAGAGGCTGAGAGTGAGACGGAGAGAGAGAGAGAGGAGAGGAGGTGGAGGACGGAGTCTGACTGGGGACGGACGGAGACTCTGCAGCTGTATTCACCTGATGGAGCAAGAGTAAAAATGGGTCAAATAATTATTTAATGTATTATTTTAGAGACATGGTCTTTTTATCAATGGGATGGGGAAGGGAGGTCCTGTGTTCCTGTCGTACCTGTGTCGAGGTCATAGTGAGGTGTGGCGACGATCACAGCCTGCAGTGTGTTGAGCTGGAGGTAGGGGGCGCTGAAGTGCAGGGAACACCGTAACTCTGCCTCTGGCTGCAGCTTCTCTATGGCCTCCCTCTGGAACAGGGAACACTGGGCTAGGGGGAGAGATGGGGAGGTGGGAGAAGAGATGGGGAGGTGGGAGAAGAGGTGGGGAGGTGGGAGAAGAGATGGGAAAAGAGATGAGGAGGTGGGAGAAAAGATGGGAAAGGAGGTGGGAGAAGAGATGGGGTGGTGGGAGAAGAGGAGCAGGGAAAGGAGAGAGAGAGAGAGAGAGGTATCAGTGTACTACTCACCTCTGTTGTAATATGGATAACCTGTGTAGGCCATGTAGGTGTGAAGCTCCACACCTGTGTGTGTGTGTGTGTGTCACCTGTGTTGACGGGGGAGGTGTATAGCTCCACAGGAACAGTGTAGTCAGGTGCGTCAGGCCAGTTGGTGAGGAAACGATCCTCAGGGGGATAGAGTTCTGGGATGGCTGGAGACTCCACCTTCACCTGTTGGCAAAACACTACCATGGTGACCCCTTCATTTCCATGGCAACCCCCTCATTTCCATGGTAACCCTCTGCTGTACTGTACCTCTCTGAGGGCCTGCTGTCCTCCTTCCAGTCTGTAGTAGACCACTACCGTTCCAGAATGCTTTGCCAGGGCAGCTCCCGTCTTTGGGTCGATCTGCAGAACACGACTAGACGACACATTCCACTGACCTGGCTGGCCTGAGAGAGAGAGAGAGAGAGAGAGAGTGTGTGTTTTATTTAATTTTTTAAATGTTTTTATTTAACCTTTATTTTATCAGGGAGTCATGCTGAGACCACTGTCTCTTTTACAGATGAGCCCTGAAAATAACTAAAACTAAATGCAAGCAGAAAGAAAAACAGGGTCCTAAAAAACAAAGACATTCATCAGTAAAAAGGTCCTCTATCAGCGTTCTGACCTGGCCTAGCGGCATCAAAACATCACATTTCAGAACATTTTGAAGATTGTTCCACAAATAAGGTGCAAAAAAACTAAAAGCTGATTTACTTAACTTAGAGACCAAAGGAATAATTACCAGAGTTAGCCATCACTGAGACCAGGTGTGGTAACTCGTATGTCTAAAGTTTAGTAATGATGTTAGGTACAGTGGGACTTTTTGTAAATGGGCTTTATAAATGAAAACATAGCAATGTATCAACCTACGTGAGTGACATCAAAGAGGGCCAACCAACATTCTGGTAGAGAATGCAGTGATGAGTGCTAAAACTGTCGCCCGTAATAAAGTGCAGTGCGCTATTATAAACTGCATGTAACGGCTTTAATGAAGTAGCAGCTGCATTCATATAGATGATGTCACCATAGTCTAGGACCGATAGGAACGCCGACTGACTAATCTGATTTCTACTATTTATCGAGTGGCAGGACCTATTTCTATAGAAGCCCACTTTTATTCTCAGCATCTTAACTAACTCGTCAATATGCTTTTTAAAAGACAGCTTTTCATCTATCCAGATGCCCAGATATTTGTAAGCAGGGACACGATCAATATGGACACCATCCAAAGTACATATGCTTAAATCATCAGAGTTATTTGTATGTGCTCTAGAGAACAACATGTAGTTTGTTTAAAAAAATTGTTTATTATTATTTTTTATAAAAATTATTATTTTTTATAAAAATTATTAAGATCAGCTTTAATATTGCAGATATATTGTAACTTCCATCAACGTAATTGTCTGCATCACTTCCAATCCCCCATATGTTTTTTTTCTCTCGCATATATATATATATATATATATATATATATATATATATATATATATATATATATATATATTGAAAAGATTCGGCATGGGTCCTCAGATCCTCAAAAGATTCTACAGCTGCACCATCGAGAGCATCCTGACTGGTTGCATCACCGCTTGGTATGGCAACTGCTTGGCCTCCGACCGCAAGGCACTACAGAGGGTAGTGCGTACGGCCCAGTACATCACTGGGGCCAAGCTTCCTGCCATCCAGGACCTCTATACCAGGCGGTGTCAGAGGAAGGCCCTCAAAATTGTCAAAGACTCCAGCCACCCTAGTCATAGACTGTTCTCTCTGCTACCGCACGGCAAGCGGTACCGGAGTGCCAAGTCTAGGTCCAAAAGACTTCTCAACAGCTTCTACCCCCAAGCCATAAGACTCCTGAACAGCTAATCATGGCTACCCGGACTATTTGCACTGCCCCCCCACCCCATCTTTTCACGCTGCTGCTACTCTGTTAATTATTTATGCATAGTCACTTTAACTCTACCCACATGTACATACAGTGGGGAAATTTTTTATTTAGTCAGCCACCAATTGTGCAAGTTCTCCCACTTAAAAAGATGAGAGAGGCCTGTAATTTTCATCATAGGTACATGTCAACTATGACAGACAAAATGTGGGAAAAAAATCCAGAAAATCACATTGCAGGATTTTTTATGAATTTATTTGCAGATTATGGTGGAAAATAAGTATTTGGTCAATATCAAAAGTTTCTCAATACTTTGTTATATACCCTTTGTTGGCAATGACACAGGTCAAACGTTTTCTGTAAGTCTTCACAAGGTTTTCACACACTGTTGCTGGTATTTTGGCCCATTTCTCCATGCAGATCTCCTCTAGAGCAGTGATGTTTTGGGGCTGTCGCTGGGCAACACAGACTTTCAACTCCCTCCAAAGATTTTCTATGGGGTTGAGATCTGGAGACTGGCTAGGCCACTCCAGGACCTTGAAATGCTTCTTACGAAGCCACTCCTTCGTTGCCCGGGCGGTGTGTTTGGGATCATTGTTATGCTGAAAGACCCAGCCACGTTTCATCTTCAATGCCCTTGCTGATGGAAGGAGGTTTTCACTCAAAATCTCACGATACATGACCCGATTCATTCTTTCCTTTACACGGATCAGTCGTCCTGGTCCCTTTGCAGAAAAACAGCCCCAAAGCATGATGTTTCCACCCCCATGCTTCACAGTAGGTATGCTGTTCTTTGGATGCAACTCAGCATTCTTTGTCCTCCAAACACAACGAGTTGAGTTTTTACCAAAAAGTTCTATTTTGGTTTCATCTGACCATATGACATTCTCCCAATCCTCTTCTGGATCATCCAAATGCACTCTAGCAAACTTCAGACGGGCCTGGACATGTACTGGCTTAAGCAGGGGGACACATCTGCACTGCAGGATTTGAGTCCCTGGCGGCGTAGTGTGTTACTGATGGTAGGCTTTGTTACTTTGGTCCCAGCTCTCTGCAGGTCATTCACTAGGTCCCCCCGTGTGGTTCTGGGATTTTTGCTCACCGTTCTTGTGATCATTTTGACCCCACGGGGTGAGATCTTGCGTGGAGCCCCTGATCGAGGGAGATTATCAGTGGTCTTGTATGTCTTCCATTTCCTAATAATTGCTCCCACAGTTGATTTCTTCAAACCAAGCTGCTTACCTATTGCAGATTCAGTCTTCCCAGCCTGGTGCAGGTCTACAATTTTGTTTCTGGTGTTCTTTGACAGCTCTTTGGTCTTGGCCATAGTGGAGTTTGGAGTGTGACTGTTTGAGGTTGTGGACAGGTGTCTTTTATACTGATAACAAGTTCAAACAGGTGCCATTAATACAGGTAACGAGTGGAGGACAGAGGAGCCTCTTAAAGAAGAAGTTACAGGTCTGTGAGAGCCAGAAATCTTGCTTGTTTGTAGGTGACCAAATACTTATTTTCCACCATAATTTGCAAATAAATTCATTAAAAATCCTACAATGTGATCTTCTGGATTTTTTTTCCTCAATTTATCTGTCATAGTTGACGTGTACCTATGATGAAAATTAAAGGCCTCTCTCATCTTTTTAAGTGGGAGAACTTGCACAATTGGTGGCTGACTAAATACTTTTTCCCCCCACTGTATTACTTCAACTACCTCAACTAGCCGGTGCCCCCGCAAATTGACTCTGCACCGGTACCCCCTTGTATATAAGCTACAGGACTGTTTTGCTAGCACAGACTGGAACATGTTCCGGGATTCTTCAGACAGCATTGAGGAGTACACCACATCAGTCACTGGCTTCATCAATAAGTGCATCGATGATGTCGTCCCCACAGTGACCGTACGTACATACCCCAACCAGAAGCCATGGATTACAGGAAACATCCGCACTGAGCTAAAGGGTAGAGCTGCCGCTTTCAAGGAACGGGACTCTAACCCGGACGCTTATAAGAAATCCCGCTATGCCCTCCGACGAACCATCAAACAGGCAAAGAGTCAATACAGGACTAAGATTGAATCGTACTACACTGGCTCTGACGCTCGTCGGATGTGGCAGGGCTTGAAAACTATTACAGACTACAAAGGGAAGCACAGCCGCGAGCTGCCCAGTGACACAAGCCTACCAGACGAGCTAAACCACTTCTATGCTCGCTTCAAGGCAAGCAACACTGAAGCATACATGAGAGCACCAGCTGTTCCGGATGACTATGTGATCACGCTCTCCGTAGCCGATGTGAGTAAGACTTTTAAGCAGGTCAACATTCACAAGGCCGCAGGGCCAGACGGATTACCAGGACGTGTACTCCAAGCATGTGCTGACCAACTGGCAAGTGTCTTCACTGACATTTTCAACATGTCTCTGACTGAGTCTGTAATACCAACATGTTTCAAGCAGACCACCATAGTCCCTGTGCCCAAGGACTCTAAGATAACCTGCCTAAATGACTACCGACCCGTAGCACTGACGTCTGTAGCCATGAAGTGCTTTGAAAGGCTGGTCATGGCTCACATCAACACCATTATCCCAGAAACCCTAGACCCACTGCAATTTGCATACCGCCCCAACAGATCCACAGATGATGCAATCTCTATTGCACTCCACACTGCCCTTTCCCACCTGGACAAGAGGAACACCTACGTGAGAATGCTATTCATTGACTACAGCTCAGCATTCAACGCCATAGTGCCCTCTAAGCTCATCACTAAGCTAAGGATCCTGGGACTAAACACCTCCCTCTGCAACTGGATCCTGGACTTCCTGACGGGCCGCCCCCAGGTGGTAAGGGTAGGTAACAACACATCTGCCACACTGATCCTCAACACGGGGGCCCCTCAGGGGTGCGTGCTCAGTCCCCTCCTGTACTCTCTGTTCACCCATGACTGCATGGCCAGGCACGACTCCAACACCATCATTAAGTTTGCCGACGACACAACAGTGGTAGGCCTGATCACCGACAACGATGAGACAGCCTATAGGGAGGAGGTCAGAGACCTGGCCGTGTGGTGCCAGGACAACAACCTCTCCCTCAACGTGACCAAGACAAAGGAGATGATTGTGGACTACAGGAAAAAAAAGAGGACTGAGCACGCCCCCATTCTCATCGACGGGCTGTAGTGGAACAGGTTGAGAGCTTCAAGTTCCTTGGTGTCCACATCACCAACGAACTATCATGGTCCAAACACACCAAGACAGTCGTGAAGAGGGCACGACAAAGCCTATTCCCCCTCAGGAGACTGAAAAGATTTGGCATGGGTCCTCAGATCCTCAAAAAATTCTACAGCTGCACCATCGAGAGCATCCTGACTGGTTGCATCACCGCCTGGTATGGCAACTGCTTGGCCTCCGACCGCAAGGCAGTACAGAGGGTAGTGCGTACGGCCCAGTACATCACTGGGGCCAAGCTTCCTGCCATCCAGGACCTC